AAGCACAGCAAAGCACAGCAAAGCACAGCAAAGCACAGCAAAGCACAGCAAAGCACAGCAAAGCACAGCAAAGCACAGCAAAGCACAGCAAAGCAAAGCACGAAACGGAAGAAACAGACTGGACTTGGGTCTTTGATGATGTGTATCATGCCCACGCCGGGGACTTAGCAATGAGAACATATTCCAACTCCTCGACAGGAACTTCCCACCCCCTGTCCGTCCCTCCCCCCTCCCCCCTGCCCCCTCCCCCGATATCCTCCTCCCCTACTGTGGCTTGAAGCCAAAGACGTTATGCACCATCCACATATGGCGCACCAGGCTGCTCTTGTGCACGCAACCCCGGTGATTGGGGTAGAGCTGACAGACCCAGAGATTGGATCTGCCAGCGTCTGCAGCACCATCACCGTCTGAAGCGGCACCGTCCTCACCGGCACTGGTCTCTTCGCTCTCGCTCTTACTCTCCTCTTCCTCCTCCTCCTCCTCCTCCTCCTCCCCGTCCTCGCCCTCTTCCCCCATCCCTTGATCACGGTCTTGCCCGTGACCGGCCATCGGCCTGGGAGCAGTGCCCATCCGCACAAAGAGCCCACCGTCACACTCGTACATGTTGATGGCGCGGCGCTGTGCCTCCTCCAGCCAGATAGACTGACCAAAGGTGACAGCAGCGTTGTCGAGCGCAGCCACCAACAGGTGCATGGTGTCGATTTGCAGCTGAGTGAGATTGCCATCCCACCCAGCTGCCGCCAACGTTAGAGCCTGCGTGACACGGCTCCATACCGAAGCCTCGAATTCGAGACTTCGGACTTCGCTGAGCACGTCAGCCTCTTCGCCACGGCGGAGGAATGTCTCGACACCAGCTCTGTACGCCGCCGTTATATCCGGCGTTGACAAGGCGGTGCGGATCGTGACGTCGACCGCCAGATCCCGCACACTTGATAATGCCTTGCCGTCGTGTGCCATCGGTGTAGGTCTCGTGTACTTGTGCTTGCTTGGATGCTGTAAAGAAGGAATCAGTACGAGAATCAAAGGGAAAAAAGCGAAACAATAAATAGAAGACTGGAAGAGTGAAGGTGAAGGTGAGGGGATGAGGGTGAAGGATGATGGTGAAGCACAAAGGTGAAGAGTGAAAGCGAAGTGAGGTTTCAGATCGGAGGTTGAGCATGAGACCTAAACCTGCGGTCCCGGAATGAAGGCAAGGAGGGCTCACTTACAGCTTGTTCGGATGAGAGATGCTTCAAGAGAGATACTCTGGTCTCTGTCGATGATCCTTGGTGGATTGTCTTGGATCGCTTGAGATTGTTTCTCTTGTTTGTGGTAGTGATTGTGAGGATTTGTGAAGAAGAGAAGGCGAGAAGGAAGCATGCATCGCACGCGTGCGTATATTTATCTGCTATACCAAGGTACCAGCAGAAAACGCTTGGCGAATGCTCTGTGACTTCGCCAAGGTTGCCATATTGGACGGTCCCGTGAGGATGCGGCAATGCCTGTGTTGTTGTTGTGAAGGCTGTGTGTTTTGCTGCGTCTTGTGTTGTGCCTGAGTTCGTTGCTTGAGGCTCCAGGCCCCAACAACGAGGCTGCCGAAATTTCAACATCCCTATGCCAACACCACAGTCAACAAACAGGAAGACCAGTAGCCTTGCTTGATGACAATGACAACGACTATGGCTGCAGTGATGATTGAAGACGTGTTTGAAAACAGTGTTGGTATGTTTTGCTGTGAATGTGGTTGCGATTGCGCACGTGAAATGGTCAGACCGTGGTCTTCCGAATTCAGCAAAAGCCTGACCGCTTGATCTCAAGGTCTTGCATGTCAAAAAAGAGATGATTGTGATGTCTGAGGGATGTTGGAAGGATGTGTGGCGAGTAACCCTTGACCGCTCGATCTCGAGGTCTTGCGTGTCAGGAAGAGGATGAGGATGATATGTGAGAAGGTAAGCTTGAGAAAAACTCTGAAAGCGGAAGAGGATGATGTCTGAGCCTGTGACTGCGAATGGCTTGTGCGTCCATGAACTTGCTTTCAAGAGTCTGAATGAACAGGACAGCTTGAGAAGGAGTTATGGATTGTACACGCAGATGAGAATGCCGGAGCAGAGAAGGACTTGCAGACAAGAAAGAAGAGTCAAGAGCTGCTCTTGGAAGAGAGCAATATGTTCGAAGAATGATGTGTGAGCTGTTGACAGGGTGCCCAGGATGAAGGCTCCTCAACAGTTTAAGGTGGATGAGTGGTTGGATCAAGAGATGGTTCAGATGCTGGAAGGACAGGAGAGGATGAGGGTTTAGGTAGGCGAGAATTGCTCACCATTTCGGCCAAGGAATAATGGCTGAGCGTCTGACCACAACGGCGATTAGTCCTGGGGAGCGTTCACGCTGAGCGACAGGAAGGTACAGAGGAGCGGCGTGTATATAGCGGCAGTCAGCTCCTGTGGAGCGTGGAGCTGGGGACCGGCACTGTTGGCACCACAGCAGCAGAGAGCCTGTCAGGGCAACTGCTGTCGTGCCATGAGACGGAAGAGCGTGATGCTGACCTGACAGTGGAAGTATATGTACCTTTTTCCAAGCTGCTCACATGTCGTGCAAGCAGTCAAGCAAGCAAGCAAGCACACCCACAACCTCACAAACCAACAATCAACCAACAACCAACCAACAACCAACCAACAACCAACCAACAACCAACCAACAACCAACCAACAACCAACGAACATGCTTGATATTGTTCAACTGACTGGATGATGTCGCAGCCTTGCTTCCAAGGCAAGGCCAATAATGCGAATTAGTCCAAAGCATGGGTTCCTCCTGTGGACAAGGCTGCAAACTTTGTTCAGGAAGCACCGGACAAGGGTATGAGCCAAATCGCTCCTCTTCCTGGAAGAAAGCCTCATGTACCTGATTGAGCCAATGAAGCTTCAAGTCTTCTTCCACCTGACCCGACTCACCCATTGAGCCCATTTCTGGACATCCTCCCTGGAACAGATCAAGTCGACAGTGTACCATTCACGAGCCAATTCCTCGTTCGAGGCCATCCTATGGACAAAACTGTGACAAGCACGACACAACCACGCAACGCTGTTCAGACGATGCTCTTCATGCCAACCCCTTTTCAGAACTTTGGCATGCACTTCCTTGGGGATTAGGTGATGGTAGGTCAAGGGCACCCAGTCCCGGTCGCAGATCTCGCAAGCGGTCGTCCTTGTTTCGATCCATTTGGGCGGTGGCGTTGTCACAACGGCGATATATGCAGAAAGTACTGGAGTTATAAAGGACTGGACATCTGACTTGGGGGCCTCCACCAGCCCATAGGCTGTCAGGCTGTCGTTGACCTCTCCCGGAATATATGCTGTGACCTCCTCCAGGACGGAAAGGGTCAGTGGCAAGGACCACTTGTCAGACAGGGTCGTATCATCCTGGATAGCACGGTGGGTAAGATTCTGGAGCTCGTCTGGGAGGCTGGCAAAGATCCCGCCGGCGAGATACTCTGCAAAATCGGCCAGTTCTGAGGGCTCGGGGTCCGTGAAGGAGGTTTGAGATGTGGTGGGCTTCTTCCGGATAGAGCTACGTTTGGATCCTTTCCGAGCTTCGTCTGGGGTGGACTTATTCACAATGACTGTAAACAGGCAGTCACGAAAGGCATCGAAGTTGAAATGTTCTGGGCCATTCATCGGTATCATTGGAAGTGGCCACAGGATGGGAGGGCAAGAGAAGACAAGGGAAGAAGTGACAGGAAGGTTGACGTTAGTATATGCTCTGTATAGACCGTCACGTGCACGGGCCTGGTGGGGACATTAGGACCACAGTTGGCTGTCTCTGACAATTTCTAATATTAATCAATACGTTGTACATGAACAAGGGTGCATAAGGCCTAGGTAGCTAACACCCAGTACGCCTCGAGGCATCACATCACATCACTGTAACGATGGCTAAGACTGTCATTGCCCTCGACCTCTACGGGACGCTTCTCTCCACAGCAAGCATAGCCAAGGAGCTGGCTTCTCATTTCGGGCAAGACAAGGCTGCCTCGATTGCTGCTGTGTGGAGAAAGTACCAACTTGAATATACGTGGAGATTGAATAGCATGGGTATGTGATGTATCTCTGAATGCGATGCTACCTTTCTATGATTGCTAAGAACGTGACTGACCGTCAAAGGACGTTATGAACATTTCTCCGAAGTCACTCGCAAATCTCTCCTTCATGCTTTGGCGGAACATGGCGAGTCCCTTTCCGACACCGATACAGATGAAATCTTGGGAGCCTACGATTCTCTGTCCACATTCCCTGACGTCAACCCAGCGTTGAGTCGACTTGCAGAGAACACGGCCATTGAATGTGTTGTCTTCTCAAACGGCACCAAGTCTATGGTATCCAATTCAGTCAACCGATCTAGTGATCTCAATTCCTCAGTGTTCAAAGACATGATCACTGTGGACGCTGTGGAGGTTTTCAAACCCGCACCAGAGGTGTACAAATATCTCGCACAGAGGGTCGACAAGGTGGGCCAGGAGAGCTCCTTGTGGCTCGTGACCGCTAATCCATTCGACGTCACCGGAGCGAGAGCGGCAGGCATCCAAGCCGCCTGGGTTGACCGAGCAGGGACTGGCTGGCAGGACAAACTCGGAGAGGGACCAACCGTGGTCGTAAGAAGTCTAGAGGAGGTAGCCGATGCCGTGGAGAAGTACACGGTCAATCCACATGAATAGGGCTAAGCTAGACTGGGTTGTCTTGATATGGCTCCGCAGACGGAGCAGCAACGCTTTCTCGGAGCCGTCGAGCCTTTTCCATCTTCGCGGCCCACAAGGCACTTCCAGCCGCGGAAGTGAGCAGGAAGAACATGCTCAGTACTGGGACAAGTTGCAGCGATAGCGCCACGATACCAAACCAGGTGTACTTGAGCTGTCGTTGCCGAACATAATTCTTTCGATCCTTCTTCGAGAAGCTGCGTAGCCTGAAATACCGCCAATGATGGAAGGGACCAGCTCTGTATCCCGTGAGAATTAAGAAGAGCGGCACCCCAATGAAGGGAATGAAGTTGAGCGGCAGAAGGATGACAAATTCTATGATCTGACGCAGACTGAAGGGGCTGTAGATCGAGGAGATTGTAGGTTTGCCGAGCATCTGTACGGAGTTTGAAGCATCCGGGTGAATGAGACGTGCCTGACCGACCATGTCGGCCAGTCCCTGATCGATCAGCACCGCATCAAAGATATCCACCAGTGTTTCGTCGACAAAGAATGCCTCGAAGAGCAGGGCAACGATTGCAGCACCTTCTCCTAGGACGAGAAAAGTGGCATTGAGCCAGGCTCCAGGTCCGTGAAATATCGCGAGGAAGGCAGCCTGAGGAAGAAAGGTCCAGATGAAGAGGTTGGCGTAGATGAAGGCGGAGAGGAGTAAGATAGGAATCAGGCGAGTCTTGAAGAGAGGGTAGAAATACGGGTGGGCGATGAAGTAGACGATGCCCTATAATGAATGCCCAGTTCAGCATTGACTGCGTGCGAGTGTTTGGTCGACATCTTGAATAACAACATACATACATACCTTGAGAGGATAAAGCCAGACGGCTTCAGAAACAGCATTGAACATGTTGGACACCCGCGACTGTCTTTGAAGGCGCAAAGATAGAATCCATAGAGGAGGATAGGATGGTTCTACACCTCTGGATACATGTAGGTACCTGGTAGTTACACCTAGGATCTCGGTAACTACCTACCTGTTGAGTGAGGAATAAACAATAGAAGTGCGCAGGCTACAGCGACATCCGAGTCCGAGTCGTGATTGTGCAGAGGCGACGATATGTATGACGTAATCCAGCCACTCACCAGCCTCCCTTCTTGCCAAGCCTCAATGTCTTGGCAGCCAGAACTCCGTTCGACCCTTACAAACATTGTCCAGCATCCGCATCAGATTCTTTCTTTTCCTCTTCTTCCAAAACTGAAGTTTCCTCTGTATTCACTCTTTCAATGTCGCTGCGTTATACGCAGGGAAAAATCGTTGCCGGAGGGGAAATCAGAGGACAGAGGAAAGTCTGCCAACTTACCCCAGGACCTTCTGCTGCTTACCTTCAAGTTTGTCAGATCGTGGAGGTCCATGGAAATATATGCGGCTGCACACGAGAATATCTGATTTGAACCACCACTGAGCCTTTTCGCGATGTTACAGGCCACTACTGGCACAATAGCAATCTCTCGCTGTTCAGACGCCTCGGCCACCTCACTGATTGTAGGGAGGGTACAGCCTGGGTACGTATCGTTGAACCTTCGAACCGCTTTTGAAGGAACTGTCTTGAGCCAGCCTCGAATGACATTGATATGAAATCAAACGTATACTATAGCATGTGCTCAACCGCTAGAAACCATTAAAAGATAATTCCACTTCTTCTATTGGAGGAACTGTGTTTCCTTATAAAATAGGTGGCACTGCAAAATTGATATTAGGAGCCCGTGAGGTTGATACAACAGGTGTTTCTCCTTCCACGTAGGTGTACCTACCGCATATTGAAGGTTCAAAGGGCGCCCCTACTAAAATTAGGCGGTGCTACTTATTTTGTGCAGTACTAGCTCGCAGGGTGCCTGTAGAGAATTTTGAGGGCGTCTAGATCGGCTATAGATGCCCGGTTATAAGATGCGAGGTGTGTGTTTTGATACCCAACTGCGGCGGTGGCGACGGTATCTACTTCAAGTTGGATCAAACGTGAAGCAGGCAATGTTCCCTCAGCCATTCAGAGCGGGCACAGGACTGCCTTTGCAGACTGGTTGCGAGGAGCCTCATGGAAAGATTCCGAGGCATGTCAACAAATTCAGTCGAACCATGCTCTGAGAGCTCGGCTTACAGCCGAACCAGCTCATCCCAAAATGCAGTCTTGTTCGTGTCGCCTGCGACGTTGAAGACACGGCTCGTCCCCTCAAAAGGGGTAATCCGACCTGTCAACCCCTTCAAGTCGCCATAATATTTCAGCCGGTACATGCCTGTCTCAGAGCCTGGCTCGATTTCCCACTCTATACTGACCTCGCTTGTTCCTAGCGCGGAATTTGTTCGTTCCCATCGAAAGACGAGAAACCAGTCGCGATCAGATCGGACTTGGACCCAAGAGCCAGATGAAGAGTCATATCTCTCCACAGCAGCAAATGTTCCCTCGAGACGGAAGTTGTTGCGCGGATTAGCGCCGACAAATCGGGCCTTGACCGTCGTCCCAGGTCTATACGACGTGGCCGGGTCAGGGGAAGAAAGTGTCTGACCGAATCTGCGTAGGAAACCGGCGTGATCGACCACCACCGGGGTGATGAAGGACCACGAAGAATTGACGTTGATGGGAGGGCTGGGGCCCGCCGGGAGCCTGTCCAGATCCGAAGTCTCGTCAGGCGAGCCCAGATACGGGAGGTAGTCGAGAGTCAGATTGACGTAGGCTGCCAAAGTGTGTGCTCCATAGAGCGTGCTGGCCCCCTCATATCGCTGGACGCCGTATTCTTCTTCGGTCGCAATATAGTGCGCATATGTATTGGCAGGCCCGCCGAGGACGACGATGGGCTTCTCGATATGGAGAACCGACTGCGCCGCGGCTTCCAGAGAGTCGCGCCAGCGTCTTCCCGCCATTGTGGTGGCTTCTCCAGGAGACACTATGATTATGAGCGGGCCAATTCGGAAGAGTTGGATGTCGACGATGTTGGGAGTCCACGCATACGGATGGTCAGCTGCTCCCACATCAAGCAGAATAGGCTTGGGTCTCTGACACGCTCTCTGCTCATCCGTCGGTTCGTGGACAAACCCACGTGCAAACTTCCAGAGCGGGTTCTTCAGAGACGGAGAGTCGTCCGTGTCATTTGTACCCTGCGAAAAGTCAAAGGCTCCAGGCCCGTCTGTCGTCCCACCCGCGAATCCATAGCCCAGAGCGGCGGAACATGTCCTGAGTTGTCGGGACCGGTTGAAGGGAGAGGTGAAATTGAACGATGACAGGTTGGCATACGTGTGGAAGAAGGATACGGTTGATGCTGGTATTCGTTCTAGGCTGTCGCTATCTAGGAGGTTTCTGGCTGCGGCCATTTGGCGACTGCCGATATCGAAGCAGGACTTCGTCCCTTGGTCCAGAAATCTGAACATTGGTCCGCGGCCGTGGCAAGGCTGAGTTCGGCCGCCGCAGGTACTGTCGTTGAAAGAACATCGAAGGCCAGTATCTTCACAAAACGCCCCGAGAGTGTTGGGTGAAGTGTCGCCGACATTTGCCTGCGAAAACCCGGCCGTGAAATCTGGGTTCTTTTCTCTCATATACTCTTCCAGCAAGTACGCTGCCACTCCTTTGTTATCTCCAGTAACCAGGGTGTTGTTCTGGTAGAGTGATGTGCCATGGACTGGAAACCAAGACAGAGCACCTAGAGGATGACCGTCAGACGCCCTGCCAAACTCCAAAAGAGTCATTTCCTTGTCAACATCTTCTGCATACCGTTCTCGCTCCTGCAGAGGATTCTGTAGGTATGCATAAGGACTTCGATTAACATTAGCATTCGTTATCTTTTGTTGACCCAGTCTCAGATGACCTGGAACAAGACTGGCATGTGCCCGTTTTATGGCGAGCACAGAGCCGTTGACAATAGCCTCGTAACTTTCCCTGCTGAACCCTTTGCTCGTGATTTGCGGCAGAAGGTAGTTCAACCATGCTCCAGGCCCACTGTGACTGTGTGTACCGGTCACAGCTATTGTGTTCTTGTTGTACATCTTGTACGCTGGTCCTAACTTTTTGAGTCCTTCCAGGATGCCATGGCGAACAGCAGTATCACCGGACTGGGTGTCGAGGACTAAATAGACGATTCTCGAGGAGGGGTCCGAGAGACTTCCGACTATGAATGCGCGGCAATACAGACGTTGCCGCAGACCAGTTCCTGACTGATCTGTGTCTGCATAACCCATAAGGTTGATCTCAACGACGGGCCTGCAATCATCAGTATTAGTTAGGCCGGTATGGTAGACTTCTCACCCTGTGATATCTGCTTTTCCAACCCCCAGTAAGAAGTCGCCCTCCTGGACAGATCCATGATGCCCAACCGCTGGAAGCCACCGGACACTTCGGACTGGACTTTGAAGAACGAAGCAGAACAATAGAAAGGCAGTAACGGATACCAGAGTCAGGGTATATATGACGACGGTGATTGACCTCCGTGCCATCGTCAAGTGCAGCGCAGCTGGTCGTTGATGCTTTCCGTGCTTACAACAGATCCAGTCCCAATGATGCTGGCCGCCTCGTCAAGATAAAAGAGGCGTACTAGAGTTGGTCATTTTCGCGTTCGTTGTCCTCAGAGGCCCCACGATGTTACGACGTCCACTCCGGAAGACAACTTGTTTAGAAGTACCTAGTGATGCTTCGTCGTCGAGAGCCTGCGTTTCCTCATCGTCATCACTACCGAATGGCAGGTCTTCGAGCCTCGCTTCGTCGTGAATCGGGACATCGTCCATGCCGCCCTATACAATACAAGCCACGCCGCTTTAACAGCAACCTCACCCTCCTGGCGAGGCTGTCCTCTTGACCAGCGACTCCCTCTTTCTGCTCTTCCCTTAACGTAACGTTTCAGACTGCTTCATGCTTCCTGGCATTGATCAATCAGTGCAGGATCTGCTGTTGGTCGTCCGATGGAGGTCTGCCGCCTGGTCCTTCTCAGGACCCTATCACGTTGATGATCTCTACTTGTTCCTGTCACAGATTGCGCAAAGAAGGTAGGTGAGCTCGCCATGGGACGACTTGATGCTCTCCAACTGCGACAGACGTCTGTCATCTCTGCTCTACTATGCCGTACTCTCTACATGACTCTTGAGCGCGGGCTTCGAGAGTTTCGGACAACTTGAAGGATCGGCCAACCTGGAGGATCGGCCAACTTGGAGATCGATTAACTAGACCCTGATTGGTCAAGGGAGACGACTTCAGCTTCGGATCTTCCGATTGGAGGCTAAGGCCGCTCAACCCGCGATAAGGAGAAGCGAACGAAGATGGTCTGGGTCCCTTTCCATATACCAATTGTCGACAAGTTCGACAAGTCCTTGATTACAGACGTCGTTCGACCATCTGTGTGTCGTCCCCGACCGCGGTCATCGTGATGAATTTGTCAACAGCTGGCCGGATCCCACCCCGCCAGAGGCGCCCTCGCGTACTCATAGCATGCCAGCGTTGCAAGAGTCGCAAGCAGAAGGTACAGTTTCACCACAGCTGGGGTTGAACTCGGAGACTTGGAAGACCATGACTAAACTTCAGGTAGTGTGATGGCATGGTGCCGGTTTGCTCGGGATGTAGAAAGGCAAGCGTTCGTAAGTCTTTCGAATCGAGCAGCCACCTCCAGTTCGATACTGACTGAGAAGGATGCATCTGGGATCGTTCAGCTGCAGGCCAGGGCAGAGGAGATATGGAATATCCTCCTGAGTGAGTTCCCTCTCGTTGAATCTTCAGCAGCAACTGCTCACCCTCATCGCAGTTACGTTGCACAACTCGAGCATCGGGTTGCTTCGCTCGAGGGCCTCCTGCGCTCCTACGCTCCAGAGATCGCGGAAGATCACATGGACTCCGCTGCTGTACCGGGACAAACGCCCGTTACGCAGGCTGGTGACTCGTCGAGTCAGTCCAAGGACTCTGCTGATGTGTACGACGAGCTCTCCAACAGCGTTGGCCTGCTATCACTTAATGCAGCCGCCGAACCATACTTCTTGGGCAGTACATCTGGGTTCTCTTTGGCACGGATGGTACACGCCATTCTATCTTCATCATTCTCTGCCGCAAGCACCGAGCAACTCGATGTCTCGCCCCGTCATCCTCAGTCGCTCTTCCAGCTTGGAAACGACTGGGCGGCAGTGGAACAGGCGGGCGCTCAGCTGTCATTTCCACCCAAGCATATATCTGAGCAGCTGGTGGCCATGTACATCAATCGTATTCACTCAAGGTATCCAGTCCTCGACAAAATGGCTTTGTTGCAGACATGCGAACGTCGAGAAGAGTTGGATCCTAGTATTCCAAGTGATTGTATGAAGTTATTTGCGCATCATATGGTTATCGCCATCGGAGCTAGGAATTTTGAGTTGATCTCCAGTCCCCTGGCGGACGTTGTTCCAGAAGTACTTCCTCCCAAGGTTGCCTCTCCAGTTCGCTGGCTGACTCCGTCTAGGCGCATTATGCTGCTGCTCTGCGCTATCTTGATGCTCCTTTACAGGTTCATGGTCTCGAGAGTGTGCAGGCCTTACTTCTACTGGCAATCTTTTCGGTGCGGACGTCGGGGTCTTCAGGTACACTTGGAGGGTGGCATGTGCTTGGTCTAGCCATGAGGATGGCAGTTGAACTTGGTCTCCACCGAAAGAGCAAACCACGCGACAGGCGCTTCGATCCCTATCAGAGGGAGCTTCGCAAACGCGTATTTTGGACCGCGTATATCTTGGATCGAACGTTGTGTATCACCCTTGGGCGACCCTTTGCCGTGGCCGAGCATGAAATTGATGTTGAGGTAATCTCCGCAAGGTACATCATTGGACGAATCGTGGACTAACAGCTAGTCAGCTCCCGATTGACATTCCCGACACTATTAAGGATCCGAGCACGATACTCGCTCTGGAACGCTCCCCACCCCCCGTTCCTAATCCACATCCAACCAGCCTATCTTCCTTCATTCATATGATACGACTCTGCCGCATAGAATCACGCATTCAACGATTCATATACGGGACTGACGCTTCCTGGGCCTCAAATCCCGATGATCCGATCTTTGACGTCTTGCTCCAAGAACTTGCCGAATGGAAGGCGACTATACCATTCCCCAGGGAGATCAGTCAGCTCAGCACGGGTCACGATATCGACCGTCGCCTGTACGAGAGCCAGGAGTTCTTCGAGGTTTTTTACGCCAAAGCCGTGCAACTTCTGCTTCGGCCACGTATTTCTGCATTGACCAAATCAGGAACACTACAAGCCCCCGACTCGAGCCCACGACCCGGCTCATCACACGTCCAGGTAGCAGACTCTCGCGCTCCTTCCCAGGACCGCTATCTTGCACTTTGTGCCCGCGCGGCTGGCGACGTGTGCCAATACTACAAACGCTTACACCAGTACACCAGCGTGGGATATAGCCTCCTGTCGTTAAACAGTGTCTTTACAGCGGGCATGATGCTACTCTACTGTATGTGGGCTACCTTAGGGAGAGCCTTCTCATCCACGGCCGTGTACCATCCCAACTGGAGCAATGACATCCGCGCGTGCTCTTCGGTTCTCTTTGTCATTGCTGAGCGTTCGCCACCAGCGAAAAGGTACCGTGACGCATTCGAAGTCTTGGCTAGCAGGATGATTGATATGATGTCTCATTCTCATGGTCATGACTCGGGATATGCTGCCGGTGAGGACGACCCGAATCTTGCATTCAATCCTGCTTTGGCGCTGGCCGGGGACGAACAGGGTTCCTCCATGGGTGCAGGGCAACCCATTTATGCGCCGGACGGAGGGGCACAACTTCTGGCAACTATCAATAATATCCTGGGGACGCCCGGGGGCACCTCGAGCAATTCCATGAGTGGAGAGACGCTGGCTCCAAGTGCAGTTTTGGACGAACAGGTCTGGGATATGATGTACGACTTTCTGGGCGATGATATTGGGGATGATGGAACCATGAAGGGCAGCACCAGCAACTAATCCTGGTTCCTCTAAAGTAGTTGCACCAATAGAACGACATATCACGAATGCTGCCACTTCGTTATAACTACTACACCTCAAATAGCTAGAAAGGACGAAGTAATCAATTCGACTAGAATAAGTCCGTTGAGCTGTCCACTCATTCGTCATCCTCATCCTCGACCTCATCCTCATCTCCACTCGTATCTTCATCCTTATCCAGTATGCTCCCACCGAGCTCCTGTAATACCGTAATGTCCTTCCGTAGCAAGCCTTGAGACCTCTCAAGAATCTCCACGAAGGTATCCATATCAGTGTCATTGTCTTGCCCGTCCCTCAAAGCTTGAATTAGATCCCCAATGTGTGACTCGATCGATAATAATACCCTGGTTTCTGCTAGTGCAAGTCTCTTGAAATCGTCTCTATAGTTGACCTTGGATTTTGTCTTGTCGTATGACTTGGGCGAATTGTCTTCCTTTTCCATACTGATCTAGCACGCGTCTCGTGCCTTCTTTCCCAACTTTCCCGGCGAGCATGTGCTGAGGTGGCAGCATCGTCTCTGAATTCCGGAAAGAAGAAAACCTCTTCAATTGGCTTATGATATGCAGTACATAGTCCCTGCATCGGATTGACGAGAGAATAGTAGTTGGCGGTCTTTTTTCCCAAGGGAACAACCACTCTCAATGCAGTCTTGTCGAATTGGACCAGAGGGAAGCCTTTGTTCGAGCTCACACTCGAGCCTTTGCCTGCCTTAACGGTGTTGTCGTTCAGGTTCTGGTCAACCCAGGACGGTCTCATACCGACCCAAACTCCCACAATCGAGTCATCACGTTGCGACTTTTCCTCCTCGCTAGGTTGGATCCTAGGTACTACTATGTTGCTTGTCCCTTGTGCCAGAAGGCCAGAAATTTGTGGTTGCTTGACAAAGTGGCGGACGCTTAGAAGCTGATTCGGTTTTCTTTCTTCAAACTTGTAGTCGTAGGCCACGAGTGCCAAATTGAAGGCTAGTTGAGCAGGTCCTTGACTGGTATGGGTTGACATTTTCACAGTTGAAAATATTGTTGTCTGGAAGTTCTAGATAAAGGCTTCACGAGTCCAACGAGTCTCTCAAGAAGAGAAGAGAGAGGCAAGTTCAACGAGTCTCCCGGTATGCGGCGTAAAAATGTTCTATTGAGAACTGTTGTTGTCACGAACAGAGTATAAAGGAGAAGAAAGAGAAGTAGAAGGAGGAATAGAAAAAGAAAGAGGAGTAGGAGAAGGAATAGAAGAAGGAGAAGGAGAAGATAGTAGTGAATAGCTTAGTGAAGTATTTTCAAGAATTTAATGAGGCTGAAACGTCTAAGACTCAAAGTAAGTCAATTGTCCTACTAGGTCTTTGTCTTCACTCACCTTCCTTTCAACTCTCCAGGGTGCGACTCTATCTGATATCACCCTCTTCCCCAGTAAGTGATATCTCTCTCATCTTATCGTATAAGTATCAGTCTTGTCCACGGCCCACACCCATCATGGCACCACTTAGGGAAGAAGACTGGTATACACACGTTGGCCGATCCGGCAAAGAAACTGCGATGCCCGGTCGAGTCGGCGCCGCTGAGGAGGGCGGAAGGCTTTTTCCGCTCGAAGACCTTCATCAACAATTGGCACCAGAGGATCGAATAGCGTGGGCGGCCTCTCAGCGTATAACTACCTAAGTCGTTGATCATAGGTATAGGATTCTCAAGCATAAGTGCTAGGGATTGCATTCTTTTCGGGGCACATCCCCGAGCGAGCGTAGACCTACCGTGATATACAACCGGTCGACTCCGAAGAAGGAACTTGAGGTATTTTATTTTCATACAGCTGGATTGCTAAATGAGAGCCCGATGCTTCGGTACATCCTCTTATACATGGCTTTCCCCATCATGTCTCCATGCCCCTATACCCCCATACCCCTATACCCCTTATCGTCTTACCCCTCCAGGATCGGACGATCTATTCCAACTCTCTAATAAAACGGCCTTTCCGCCTGGGGAGTGATCCTAATCAAATGTCTCCTAATCCCCGGGCCCGGCTCGAAGTCCAAAAGAGCACTGTGCTGAGTGATGCGGTTGTCGTAGACGACCACTGTGCCCGGTTCCCAATGGACTCTGACATGGAAGTCCTGGCCCATCTGGGTATGCAAGAACAGCATTCTCAAGATAGCCTCGCTCTCCTCTTCCTTCAGACCGACGATCTCGCTGGTGTAGGTCGGGTTCACCCACAGAGCCTTCTCGCCCGTCACGGGGTGAGTACGGACAACTGGATGGATAGTCTCGATGGTCTCACGGATGAGACCTGTGGCAGTCTTGGCCTTGCTGAACTGGCGGTGGCCACTGTGCACGGCCGAGAGAGTCGACAGGAACTCTTGGAAGGCAGGCGAGAGCTTGGAGAAGGCCTTTGTCATGCTGGCGTAGATGGTGTCTCCGCCCGAGGGGGGACCAGTCATGTGCATGAGGAAGGTGGTGCCCACTGTGTTACTGCAGGGTTCGAGTTAGCGAGCTCTATGGAAAAACAAGGGATTCTTGTTGCAAGTTTTATAGAATATGGGAACATTCCCAAAGGGGTTAGGGGAGTTCTGAGTGACATACATCTCGTAGCTCATGTCAGTGTGCCAGTTGATACTGCTCACGTTACCCGCGACGTGGGCGTCCGCCAGCTTCTTGTGCTGGTCGCGGTAGACGGCGGTCAGGCCGGCATAGCCTTTCACCATGTCTCCGAACTGATGAGTGTGGAGAGGACCGAAGTGCTCGCCCAGCTCCAGCATCTTGGCCGGGCCCTGATCCTTCAGGTCCTGGTCGCGGAACACCAACAATCCGCGTTTGGCCACCATGAGCGCCAGTTCGTCCTTCTGCGCGTTGGTCATCTGGCTCAGCTGGATGCCATGCACCTCGCTGCCGAACCCGGGCGTCATCTCCTTGAACACCGCGCCAGGAGCCTTGAGCAGGTTGGGCATGGCAGGGTCGGCGCGGAGCCCGACATCGCTGTGCGGCACCTCCTTGAGCGGGGGGTGGATGCCTTTTGGCGAATGAGGCAGGAGATCGAGGTAGGGGTAGTTTTCAGCCTTCATCTCGGCGTACGACTCCTCGTGCACGCGAGGGAACAGCTCAAGGGAGTCGTAGTAGCCTTTTGGGGATGGCCGTGGGCGCTCTTCGACATCCTTGTTCACAGGCAGGGCGGTCACCTTGACTGCTACCTCCGGCGACTTCGTGAAAGTAGAGGGCACATACGCACTCTGCGGCTCGATTGCAATGGGTGGAGACATGGTTGCAAATGGAGGCGATAGTCAAGCTAGGCGTTGATAAGTGACCTCAAGATAGAATCGTTTTGATAAAAAGAGGGTACCTTTGCTTCAGATACTCGTCCTTGATGCCCAGGCTCTTTGTGATCAAGAGATGGGTTTGATTTATATGCTAGAAGGAACGAAGCAGGTGAGAGGGAATTGTGGACGAGTCGATGGAAGAGAACAATCGGAACCTCCTGTTGGATTAGCCTCTACCCTTCCATCCGGCCGCCTACTCTGCTTATCCGAGGGAGACGCACTCTCGACTTGCCCACTGGGAAGTCGCCATTCGGATGGCCCGAAGTCTGGTTGATCTGTCGATAGTGTCGCAGAGGAAGAGTGCTGTCATGATAAGCGCCCGAATGCGTACCTATCATAAGAGTCTAAGAGGAGAGACGTGTCGGCACGGAAACTCCGTGCAAGAAGACATGCGCACCTGGCCATACTGGGGAAACAAGCAAGTTGCAGGCGAATGCTCTCTCCACAGAGGAACAGATGGCGTGGAGGAACAACGGTTGGGACCCAGTGTTTTCGCCATTGGAGCTTTCACCAAGATAGGGGCCCGGCACACAGTCCTATCAAGACACTACTACTCATTACTAGTATACCCCAATGGTCGCGACAGGGTCTCTAGACTGACCAATATCGCCCTGCTCATTCTCTCTTACTAGATAGGCAGATAGGTATCGGATGTTCCGTTAGCGTTGTATATACAGGGCCCACAATTGCCAAGATCTGGACGAGGCTGAAGCAATCTTGGACTCCCGCCACCACATTGGGATCCGGTATCACGAGAGAGGGTCGGCCATATTGGAGATAAAAAGACCAGAGGTGCCCACGGACAATACGATCGGTGGCAGCAGATCACTTTGTTGGAACACTTCATCCAGGACCAGTCCTTTCAGACCTCTTCTCGAAGCGACCTATCTCGCCGCAATGGAACCCGAGAAGGTCACCAACACGGCGGAGATCTCCAATGAGGAGGTGCACGACTACATCGTCAAGGAGCAAGAGAAGAAGCCGCTCAGGAAACGCCTTCTGTGGTACGTGTGGGACTCCTTCGGGAAAGATCCTGAGACGCGCGCATTTGTCAATCGGCTGGATGCTTTCCTGCTGCTCTACTCCATGTACGCGTACTTTGTGAAGTATCTCGACCAGAGCAACGTGAGCAATGCATACGTGAGCGGCATGCAGGAAGATGTGAGTATCTCAGCAGAGCTGTTGAAGGGGTTTCAAAACGGTTGCTGACGAGTGACAGCTGCATATGGTCGGTCAAGATCGGAACTACATGAATCTGGTACGTCTACGGCCCCAATCCTCATTCTAAATGACTTCCATGCTGACGCTGCTGCCAGATGTTCAATATGGGATACATGACTGGGTCGACCATAGCTGTGCTCACCATGACACGCGTCCGACCCTCGATCTATCTTGCTGCGTGCGAGAGTATCTGGACAATCTGCACCTTTGGGCTCGCCGGGGCTAAGAATGTTGAAACTGTATGTACATGAACAACACAAGCTTTGAGCACACCGCTGACCCCAGGGCAAGATCTATGGGCTACGTTTCGTGGCCGGCCTTGCTGAGGCGTCCGCCTTTCCAGGACTTGCTTGGGTCATTGGCAGCTGGTACTCGCCAGACGAGCTCTGTAAGCGGATGACTATCTTCGAGATGTCCGCATGCATTGGCACCATGTGCAGCGGCTACCTCCAAGGGGCGGTGTATAACAATTTGAATGGGCATGCCGGTTTGAAGGGGTGGCAATGGCTCTTCATCGTGGACGGTGAGTTTGATGGCTCCTCAATCGACAACCGTTATACAGACGACAATGGCTCTCATCGCCATGTGCCAGCCATATTGATTCTAACGGCTTTGCAGGCATCATGAGCGTGCCAATGTGCTTCCTATGCTATTACTGCGTACCTGACGCGCCGAGCAACACACGCGCCCGCTGGCTGAAGCCGAAACATCGTGAGTTCGCTCTCAAGCGATCCAAAGCCTTTGGCAGAGCCGAACCAAGACGGTTTACCCCGAAGAGACTCCTTGGGGTCATTCTCTCCTGTAAGCCGCTGACACCTTGACACCCACCGTGAGTATCATCAGACGTCCAAGCTAACTGAACGTGCTCAGGGCAATTCTGGTGTTACGGCCTGAACTACATGATGTTCAGCTTTGGCTTCAATGCCGTCTCATACATGAACCTGTGGTTGAAATCCCTAGGACGCTTCTCCGTCGCCCAGATCAACGACATTCCGACGGCCGGCAGCGCCTGGCTCCTAGTTTCCGCTTATATCTATGCCGTCATCTCTGACGCGACAGGAAAGCGCGCCCCACTGTTGATCCTGGCCGCTGTCGTGGGCCTCGTCGGCATGATCCTGCTCTCCATTTGGGACCTTCCATTTGGGGTTTTGGTGTTCGCCTTCCTCTTACCCTTCGGTGCGGACGGAGGCACTAGTCTGTCCTCGACCTGGGTGCACGAGTGCTGCCAGCAGGACCACGAGCAGAGAGGCATGATGATCGGCCTGTGGAATACCATCTGTTACGGCTTCACGGCATGGATGCCGCTGTATCTGTTCCCGACCCCGGATGCGCCGCATTACAAGTTTGGCTACCAGGTGCAGGCCGGATTCTACGGCTTCAGCATTCTGATCACGTTGACATGGGTGTACATGTACAGGAGGGACGAGAGGCTGGGCAAGTACACCACCAATGCACTGGGCTTGCCGGTTGCCCCAGAGGAGATGGATGGATTGACGCCCAGGACACCGAGCAGTCAAGCTAGTAAAGAATACAGTTCAGGCAAGATGGGTGAAGCCGAAGAGGTCAGGGAGGTGCGTGAACTGTAATCAGATTCCAATGTGTGCCTGATGATGATGGTGGTGGTGGTGGTGGTTTTATGACTGGGTTCAAGTGCTTGGAACAATATCACGAACAGGTCCACGCTCGCTAGGGGCCCATCCTGAAAAGACTGGAATTACAAGCACTTTATGCCTGGGGGATCCTAGACATATAGTCAATGTCTTGTTATACTGAGCGTTTTGCCGAAGTCGAACCCTCTCCTTACGTGCTAGCGGGCCTCCAGTCCAAAGGTACTACGTCCTACGAATAGATTGATTCACGCTCGCTAGAGGGTCCGCTTCTAAAGAGACTTAAATTCCAAGCACTTCTACCTAGGAATCCTGGATCTGTACTTAATATCATGTAATACGCCTGGGCCTAACAATTAGGCTATTATATATTCTTATTGTTATCACATTCCATCTGCAGGGAGCAAGTACTGATTCAGCTTGTCCCCAGCAGGCATACAACTGATGCCAATACTGCTGCCATCACGTAGCAACGAGTAGATCCTTTCTCTCAGTCCTTCCCAACGCCATGCTTGAGCTAGCTGCCTTGGTACGAATACTTTCAAGGCATCCTTATGGCGTCTCCTGCCCACGATCGGATCTTCAGAGGCCAATTTTCTCAGCTTGGTGTCCTATCGTCCACCAGCTCAACGATGGTGACAATCATGCCTCTCCGCACCCAGACCTAGACTGATAGAGGTTGTTGTCCTAGTCGGTGACACCGACTGTATACCTGCTTCCCTTTAGTATCATTCTGGCGACCGCCCTTCGTACTGAATTATTTTTGACTCTGCGATCAGATTTATTCCAGCTGCACCGGCTCCTAGTATGATCGACATAAGATCGTGGTCTGTACAGCAAGGAGCCTCGGATAGATATAACCATCATAAACTCGAAGGGCGATCCATCCAAGTATAGAATACGGTGTATAGATATGGATATTCCCGCTGCTATTAGCACTATCCACTCTTGAGCATAGGGCGGCGTTACCCCCAACCCAACTTGTAAGGCGGTGAACTACGAGACACCATGATACTGATACTGCCTGTACTGCCTACGATTTGCGCTCTGATCACTTCAAAATCGTCAACATGTTGAAATCTCGCGTACATCAAGCACTCGAGTTTCAGCACATCAACTCAAGATGTCTTCCCTGTCCCAGGTATCGGAGTCCCTACCTTGTAAGTACTACAGACCAAGATCACTTCATTCTCTGACCACTCGCAGACATCGATCCACCCATTACAGACACCGAGCGCGCAAAAGCCAAAACATTGATCGCCCAACACCTGCCATCGGACTATCTCACCACACCGCATCCTTCTCTCCCCCCTCTTGCCACAGTCGAGTTCTCCAACATCGCTTCTCAAGAGATCGACCGGGTCGGTGCGGGTCAGCCGCGTCAAGGAGGGGTTGACGTGTCGCGGTATGAGGCACCAAATGAACCAGCAAGTGACAGTAGCGAAGAGGTCAAACGTCAGGCGCTCCGCAAGGCATACGTGGCCAGCTCTTTCTTGTCAAGCAGGACAACCAACCTCCACCTTCTGGAACGATTCGGGAAGAACGCTTGGCTCATCAGCAATTCTCAAGCAGAAGATGTCCTCAGGCAGATGGAAAGGGAACTGGTCAGGGTCAAGGCTGAAACGGAACATATCAACCGAGCTCGGAAAATAGCACAGGAACAAGCCAGAGGAGAGCTCGTCGGACTCGAGGAGAACTGGAAGCGAGGAATTGGGCAAATTCTGGAGATCCAGGTTGCAACAGACGAATTACGGCAGCTGATTCTTGAGCAGCGACGCAATGCTGCCCGGCCCGGTTCTTGACCCTGCCAGATGAGACATGCTCAAATACAAGATGAAACATGGATTCGGGACCGTCTCGACGCGGCACCAAAAGCAGTCTCTTCCAGCACCTGCGGAGAATGCCCGTTCGCACAGTGCTCGGATCATATGCAGACGAGCGAGGACTCCACATATGCAACCCGCATTCCACCAGTCACAAAGAGCTCTTGCAATCAGGCAACATCAGGACAAGGACTCTGGAGACCATCTGGTGAGCTCGTCGCCATATCACCGGCCCCTTTTGAGAAGGAGTAACAGCAGACTTTGGAGCTCTTCGGGAATGGCTCCAAGCCAACACAAGGCACACCGTCGTCAAAGTGAGTTGCCCACGCGGCGGAAGAAGCTGGACGGGTTCTGGGCAAAGTCTATCGTGGATAGACCAGCCATATCCACAAGAGAATGGCAGCAATTGCGCTGGTCCGAACATTGCAGCTACAGTTTACACCCCCTCAGCAAGCAGCCTCTGGTGCATTGTTCTCCTCAGGCTCTCCACCAGATACCCTTGAGGTCGACATGGTTTATGCTTGGAAGAACACGGGACACTCCAAACTCCAAGGCGCCTGGAGTCTTTCCTATATCGATAGGATAGTCAGCAATGCCTCCAATTCCAATATTACTTTGTCGGATCCGCCAGGGTTCGATCCACTTGGTTCCCCGCAAACCAAGGGCCGTCGTCTGATCTCCATCTCTCCCCGCTGCTGTCTCTTCCTTTCGACACGTCGAGGTTATGCACGACTTCCATCCTTCGATCCCAGCCATTGCCAGTTTACTGTAAGATTATTCGCCCTGGTCACATTTCCCCGCGTTTCCCGTGCCGGCAGTCTACCATATGGCACCAGCTTTCTAGTGGAGTGTCGCAGCAGGCAAGGTACTGATGCCTAATGCTTGGCTGATATCGTACTCTGAACGTGTCAGACGTTCTGTGCCGTATATCTCACAATTGCTGTCTCCCAGATCCCTGATCCCTCGTCTGCTCGGCCATTACGAGTCCATCAATGCCCATACATGCGGAGCTCAGTTACATTCTCAAACATACCAGATTACTTACAGCTCGCTCAGACTAACTCGACGACGATGATCAGCGAGCCCATTACGACTAATGCAGGAGCTTGTTGCTCGCTGATGCTAGCCAAATTGGGTGGACGATGAGGACGATGTGAGCACTTATGTATGGGCCTCCATACTCTTGTGTCTGCACAAGTTCGGTCCAGTATGGGGACCTCGTCTCGGCCATTGCTGATACACGCGAAGGACTCCCTGGTCTCATCTTCCATCCTCATCCATTTCGCTTGGATGTACGTCGAGCTCATCCTAGATGGTCTATGGTACACACGAAGGTCTCCCTGGTCTCATCTTCCATTCTTATCTATTTCGCTTGGATGTACGTCGAGCTCATCCTAGATGGTCTATGGTATACACGAAGGTCTCCCCGGTCTCATCTGCTCGAAATGCTACAGCATTGTCTACTTTAGCATCCTCGCTCGTGCAGACCTAGACCTCGAAACCCCGCATTTCATTTGAGCCGTCTCTTGATAGACCCAAAGTCACTATGGTCATCTTACAAGGATGCTTAAGCACAGCCCAGATCTCCTCCTTTCCAGTCTCCGTTGTGGATGTGTCCTGCATGATACCCCTCTGTCCAGTTTACCGAGACGTGGAGGGGATGTATCCTGGAAGATGTTATATTGAAGTCTTCGTCCCTCTTTCCTCCTCATTCTCTCTCTCCAGGCTACCCTTGGTCGAGCAAATTCCATCTTCCTTCATTTTCCCCAGAGTCATCCTTCCTTGGGCCTAGAGCAATCATGACCGTGCCAGACGAGGCTGATATCATCATCTGCGGAGGTGGCAGTTCAGGATGTGTTCCTGCTGGGCGTAATGGACTCCCTTTATTCAAACGAACAGACTAACGATGTCAGGTCTTGCCAACCTCGACCACAAACTCCAGGTGCTGGTGATCGAGGGAGGGGAGAACAACCTTAACAACCCCTGGGTCTACCGTCCTGGTATCTACCCACGCAACATGAAACTCGACTCCAAAACGGCTACCTTCTACTATTCCCGCCCCTCTGAGTGGCTTGATGGCCGCCGAGCCGTTGTCCCATGTGCCCACATCCTCGGAGGAGGCAGTTCGATCAATTTTTTAATGTATACCAGGGCCTCGAAAAGTGACTACGACGACTTTCAGACGAAGGGTTGGAGTACCAAGGAGCTGATTCCGTTGATGAGAAAGCATGAGACGTACCAGCGATCTTGCAACAACCGGGATCTCCACGGATTTGAGGGACCTATCAAGGTTTCCTTTGGCAACTACACTTATCCCGTCATGCAAGACTTCCTCCGGGCCGCTGAGAGCCAGGGCTTCCCCATCACGGACGACCTCCAGGATCTCACGACCGGCCATGGGGCGGAGCATTGGCTGAAATGGATCAACCGGGACACTGGCCGGCGTTCGGACGCAGCTCACGCCTATATCCATGCAACCCGGGCCAAGTACGAGAACTTGCACCTCCAGTGCAATACCAAGGTCGACAGGGTTGTGATCGAGGACGGCGTGGCAGTTGGCGTCTTGACCGTGCCTACCAAACCCGTGGGTGGAGCCGAGCCGCCTCGCCGATTCTGGAAGGCTCGCAAGCTCATCATTGTCAGCTGTGGCACTCTGAGCTCGCCGCTGGTCCTTCAGCGATCTGGCATCGGCGACCCAGAGAAGCTCAGGAAAGCTGGGGTCAAGCCCGTTGTGGATCTGCCAGGCGTCGGGCTCAACTTCCAAGACCACTACCTCACCTTCTCCACCTACCGGGCGACCCCTGAGACCGAGTCCTTCGACGACTTTGCCCGCGGGGTGCCCGAGGTGCAGAAGGCGGTGTTCGACGAGTGGAACCTCAAGGGCACCGGCCCTCTGGCGACCAACGGGATCGAAGCCGGGGTCAAGTCTCGACCGACCGAGCAAGAGCTCGAGGAGATGAAGTCCTGGCCCACTCCGGATTTCAGCCCCAGCGGGTGGGAAAACTACTTCAAGAACAAGCCCGACAAGCCGGTCATGCATTACAGCGTTATTGCCGGCTGGTTTGGCGACCATCTCGACATGCCGCCCGGCAAGTTCTTCACCATGTTCCACTTCCTGGAGTATCCCTTCTCGCGCGGCTTCACCCACATCATCTCTCCAGACCCATACGATGCCCCCGACTTCGATGCCGGCTTCATGAACGACAAGCGCGACATGGCTCCCATGGTCTGGAGCTACATCCAGTCCCGCGAGACCGCTCGCCGCATGCAGGCCTATGCCGGCGAAGTCACAGCCATGCATCCTCACTTCAGCTACGACTCGCCCGCTCGAGCCCTCGACATGGACATCGCCACACGCAACCAGTACGCCGGGCCCAACCATATCACGGCCAACATCCAACATGGAAGCTGGTCCAGTGCTGTCGACCCGGGCAAGCCTGCCGAGCCCAACCTTCTTAACTCGAACCGGTGCCCGTTCCGCGAGCCGCTCAAGTACAACAAAGAAGATAGTACGTATCACATTACCCAAAAGAGCCATTTTTGTTCTTCTCCCTTTACTGAACAGAGGAGACTACGAATTCCGCTAACTAACCTGCTGTATAGTTGCTCACATTGAGAAATGGGTCCAGCGCCACTGCGAGACCACCTGGCACTCTCTCGGAACCTGTAGCATGGCTCCAAGAGAGGGCAACGATGTCGTCAAGCAGGGCGTCTTGGATGAGAGATTGAACGTCCACGGCGTCAAGAACCTGAAGGTCTCAGATCTCAGTATCTGCCCGGACAATGTTGGCTGCAACACTTACTCCGTAAGTATCATCGATCCGTTGCCTTGCTATCGAGTCTTTTGAAACCCCTCTGCTTGATCGTCTGGCTACCATAGCTAATATCAACTTTCATCAGACTGCTCTGCTCATCGGCGAGAAGTGTGCCATCCTGTCCGCCGAAGATCTCGGCTACAGTGGTGCTGCGTTGGACATGAAGATCCCGTCATACCACGCCCCCGGAGAGAGCCCGGGCCTGGCTCGCTTGTAGAGGCAGAGAATATGGTAATTGGAGATTGGAAAACGCGCGCGAGTGGATGCAAGCCATTTATCTATTTCCTTGCTCCCTGGACAAGCACCGATCATCACGACTCCCTGGATGAATGGATCAACACTCTCAAACATCTGCTTGTCGAGGGGAGTGATGGGTTGTGTGATTGTACGAGATCATGACCAGTCAAAAAGACATTGAATGAAAGCCTGCCGTTCAGTCTACCCAGACGCTTTATATCCTTCGCTGTAATGTCATCATGTTAGGATGAAGACATGAATGAACGGCTCAGAAACTCTGTCTTCGTGTCGTAGCATGAGAGTTGATTAGGATTCCGAGGTTAGTTTGCCTCTGTATTCGATGCACCCCTTTTTCCCTGCCTTGGATTAGTTGGATGATCTGGTGGGTAAGATCGGCGCGATCAGTTGGATTTAGGTATGTAGGTAGGTAAGTATCAGGCCTCGATGAGACCACCTTGAAACAAGTGCAAGAACCGTGGAAGCATAGGTAAAGTCCTTCACGTAGGGTGTTCATAAGCATGGTTACACCTCTACTGAATGGCACGGCGGCAGAGTCATGACTTCCACGACGCGCTGGAGTGTTATGGGACAGGCGCTCTCCCTACGCATAACAAGATATCAACATCATGGATATTTCGAGGACTCCCAAGCCAGGTGTTTGGAACCAAGTCATTCAGAGCGTATCCCTGAGCCAGCGTGGCCGTGCTGTGACATGCCAGTGTACTCCGAGAATCAAGGTCAATCGCTCATCATGTTCTGAGTGGGTATATCAGTGTCTTAGAGTGCATGAAAACCAACTCTGGCTTGCCAAAGCAGTGCCAACATATTCTGGTCTTGAATTTGTAGTAAATCGAACGCCTTGTTCTTATCCCCAAGCCCAACATCCTTGTATGTATCGAACGCTTACTATACCCTGGCCACAGACCACCATTAACCTTCAACGCTCCATAATTGGCCTGCTTTTTGCCGCTACAAATCATAAAATTCATCAGGTTCGTATTCCGCTTCCGGTCCCTCAGTCCCTGTTGACCACTCTCAAACTCCGTCGCGGGTTCAGTACCACGCCCAGAAAGCTCGGCTCGTGACCGGCCATCAGATCCTCCGTACTGCTTGCTGCCGTGGCTAGCCCGGCACCACCAGGCACACTCCGGTAAGGATTGTTCGTTGCCAGCGCATTCGCCCGAGCCGCATGACCGGATCTGCTGCTCTCATCCCCACTTCGATTGTCTGCGCTGTTGCGGCTGTCACTGGTCTGGCTCTTGTCGCTGTATTTGACGGGCGTGAAACCTGCACCGATATACCTGGGATCGCCCGAGAGATGCTGTCGTTGTGCCATCGTTATATGGTTTTTGTAGATCTTCAGTTGCTTCCGATATAGCCATGTGCAGAAACCCAAATAAGCAGCCAGGACGGCGAAACACCCGGCTATGACTCCAGCGACGATGGCCCCGATATTTGGACCTCCTGATGAGCCGTTAGTCCCACTGTCGTTGTCATTGTCGTTGTCGTTGCCGTTTCCAGTGCTACTGCCACTACCACTGCCACTGGTGTCAGTGCCTGGCGTGGCTGTCTGGGTCGTAACGGCCCCGTTGGATTGAGTGACTGTGTACGTTCGTGGGCTGCCCGATGCCAGAGGACCTTGCGTGGCTGTTTGAGCAGGGGCGGTGACGGTGGCCGCTCCAACAGCATCGCCACCGATCACCGACTGGACTGCTTGTGGTACCGCGTACCCGTACGAGCCTTGCACCGCTGAAGGGTCATCTTGCTGGCTCTTCTGCCGGTTCAAGTTATCGTTCGTGTCTAGAGCATAGTAGTTGTTTTGCCATGAGAGCGAGCTGGTGTTGAACACGTATATTCCTGGGCTGTCGCAAGAAAGCTCCTGGCCAGTATATCCGCCAACAACAATCATCTGAGCATTCCAGACATCGCACGTGTGGCCGGCTCTGGCCGGTGGCACAGCCTGGTTTGAAGTGTCTACTTGAATCCAGGTGAAAGAAGGAATAGTCAAGATCCACATATCGTCGTACTGGGTTTGCCGGCCGTAGGGAATCAAGTTCTGGCCTCCATACATGTATACCTGGGTAGAACTACCGTCTGCAGCTGACACTGCTACAGCACACGGGTTGACCCGAATCTCGGGGGTGGGCCCGGCTGTTGCTTGCTTGTACCAAGTTGATGTGTCGATATCATACACGTCGATAACGTTCAATTGGGTAAAAGTGGCGTTCGTTCCGCCTGCCAGCCCGATAATGATGCCAGATTCGCCGTATCCAGGGACATAGACAAGAAGGCCATCTGCACGTTCAGGGAAACCAGCCGACTCCTGAGTGCCGCCCTCAGTGATGTTGCGGTAGATCCCAGATGCACCAGCAACACTATCGTCGTCGTCGTCGACCGCGGCGTTGCTGTATCCTGGAAAAGTGTACTCCAACAGACCACGAAGGTAGACGCGCGCGATAGACTGCGACCATCCGAGGGTCGTGTAGCCATCCAGATGTCCTCCAAAGTAATACCCGCGGCCAAGGCCTGGTACAGAGACACCTGCTCCTTCGGCAGCGCGTTCGACTGGTTGATCTGCCGGCTCCGAATTGTCTCCAGAGCTTGTCAGTGGATTTGAAGACTCCGACCAAGAACCTGAAGAGATGTCGTACGTCCATGTCGAGAATGGCACTGGGGATGTAACAGGCGAATCCGAGAACTCGCCGCCGTAAAGGACAAGCGCATCAAGTGAGTGCCATAAATATCCAAGTGAAACTGCAGGGGGTCCACTCGGGACAGGGAGGCTCGTCAATGACGGCGTAGAGATCTGCCAGGATTTCGTCAGATCGAGGGTGAGGAAATCGTTGTCTGTATCCAAGGTGTTAGTGGATGAATCTTGAAAGGTCTTCAGGGTTCAAGCAACATACTCCACGTGTCTTGTGTTTGATCTGAGGACGTTGTAGACCTGCCACCATACAGATACAAGGTGCCATTGACCACAGCACTTTGCTGCGACCATCTCCGGCAAACATCCGTGGCACTGTCTTGCCGCCTTTCATTTGCCGACGACAACTCCTTCTTTGGCCTCTGCACTATGACGGGATCTCTGTTTTGTCCGGCTCTTGCCCTTACCGGATTCGCACCCACCTGCAGAATAGGAGCTGTGTGTAGACTGGGTACGACCAGCATAATCACAATGGCTAAGAAGAGCAGCCTCGGAAGGGTAGGAAAGTAGGACGACATTGGAACACTGTTGGATTTCGTCGCCGAGGTTAAGTCGCCCCGGTTTGGCGAGTTGGGTTCGACGATGTCAACTTCACTGCGAAAGCGGACGTGTAGTTTTGGTCTTGGTTCTTCTTTTATTTTCGCATCGCCAGCGGCATCTGGGTCATTTAGACCAATTTCAAGGAACGCAGTACCCTGGTGAAGAGGGTGTTCTTGACATGGCGACTTGTTGCGAGTGGCACGTATTTTGGGGTATTTGAAACTTCCACAACGAGGACAATCCGACAATCGATTTGCTGTACCCGCAGTTGTGGCGATTTCACGGTTGGAATATTGAGCGTCAGGGGAGGCCATCCGGGGAACGCGTAGGTACTCTCAACAACTGACACGATCCATACAAACAGCGGAGGGCGTGAAGAGTAGTGGACCCCAAGCGTAAGAGCTACCTCTTGTGTATGTAGGAGAATTGTGATGCGAGTGTAGAATCACAGCGCTCCTAGAGCCTTTTCCAAGTACTCAGGCTATTAGACGTAATTGAGGTCGTGTCACCGAACCATGACGATTGACCATGATTTCGCTATCAGGAAGTCATCCACTGTTCACCTCCCCTGTCCAGGGGACAACAATGAGACCTCAGTTAGCAGCGCTAGCTAGTGGCCCGATCAGGGTTAAAGAAGGTCATCATGGCAGCGCTCCAATGAACCCCTGGGCGAACGGCTGGCTTGGACGCCGGGGGCAGTGCTGTCCTGCGCTTAAGATCCAAGGCCCCAGACAATTTGTGGACAATCTTTCCTCTTCGCAGGTCTCAGAATGGCCGCCGGATGGTGACATGCCAACCTGGTGCCGTGGATGGAAGAGCCATGACATCGGAGGCTTGTCCCAATCCTACTAAGAACGGGAAGATCATTCTTTTGGCGGGCAGGTGAAGGCCGTTGTGGGTTCGTCTGGGTCTCTGGGGTTGGAGATAACTGTCGCTGCCTGGTTCAGGGATTAAGACGTCTGGGTCGCCCCAGAAAGCTCGGTATTTCAGTACTTGATGCCTGGAATTCTAGAATGCGTCAGTCTTTAAGCGTCTCGTTCTTCGTCGAGGAGATCGCCCTCGACAGTGCTGGGACGTCTGCCAGAGCAATGTTTGGCGGAAATGGGAAACACGACCGTCATGCCAGCATCCAGTGTCAGATGCAGAATGGCGTGAGGGGAACTCCGGACTCATTCAAGTTGTCGATGATCGAAGCTGGACGGATTCCATCCACCCCTTGTTGCTAGCAATAGTAAACCATGACTGGACGGTGGCCCTTTAGGGTGAAGAGGCGAGGGAGGGTGCTGATTCCAGGCAGCAAGACTGCGGTTGAGGTCACTCTCGCCCGACCTATACGATATTCTATATTCTCTGCGCTCTGTGCCTCATCGACTGACTGTCCGATGTACATCATCTTCGTCAATTACATGATGGATGCACCGCCGGTGAGCTTCACAGACCCTGCAGTCTCTTTTGAATATTGAAATCACAAGCCTGACCCTTACAAACGCCATCAAGTTCCCTCAAATCATGTCCATCGGCACTTTTCGATCTTTGGGCATGCGCCCGATGTATACAGTATACCGTCCATATCCCTACCTCTCTGGCAGTTGCGGACCTCTCCTCCAGCTTTACCAAGACCAGCTTCTGGCGTTGCTCGCATAATCTCGGCCCCGGCCTTGTCCCGCAACCAAGAGCTGACTTGTGAAAGACTGTGCCAAAATTCTAGATATGAGGATCGTGAAAAGGATCCAGTCAGGTGCCTAGTATTGCCATTTGTGAGATTGAAAGCCTCATACGGTACTTGATGCTCTCACGCCTCGCCAGAGTGATATCGGAACATGGCTTCATTCCAGGCCTCGCCTGCTCTTCCGGTCCTTTGGAGCCTTCCTGCGTGGAGACCTTGCGCTGGTGGGTAGGGCCAACCAAAGACAAGCATGAGTTGCATCAGTGTCTCCTGGAAGCCACACCCTCACATAATTACAGGCAATCTCCCTGGGATGTACGCGGCGGTTTTCTGGAATCTAAACATACATTCAACTCCCAGTGTTGATTTACACCACGATAAGAGGGATGGGACTCCCAAAGTACGCCGATCGCCATGATCTGAATAGTCGGTGAGCGACATTCCTGTCTGCTTGTTAGTGGTAGTACAGATCAGAACGCCTTACGACATCAGGCCCAACTGTCTTTCGACTGAAGCGGAATGGAGCTGTCTACGACTATCAAGATCCATACGCCCTTTCACACGGGGCATCGTCAGTGGTCAACTCCACCAGGCCCCATGAACACCACATTTATACAGTACCAAACAATGAGTAAACCAACTACACCGAGAGGTCGACTCTTCAGACCAGTGGACGGGCCGGCACGGATAGAGATGTGAAGCATCTGGTATGCTCCAACATTGTGGTAGGTTACCTGTTACGGGCCTTTATTCAGCAAGCATAAACAAATATCAACTGAGGTTCGGGCAGACCTCAGATGGCTTCTGAAAGAAAAGACTGATGGCCTTCCTAAAACTCATTTTAATTGAGCCTTACCATCCAGCTCCCAGATCAACAGGGCGAGCTCCAACACCTCGGGATATGATACCCCAGTGTCCCGCGCACGTCACTCCCCTGCTCCAAAAATCTGCTTACGAAGGACCCCGTCTCCAGGCGGTGGGGAAAGGGTGTTGAAATTCTTTGGAGCGCTTAATCATCTCCCCACCATTGAGAACCGTCTTTTGTCTGTCCCCACCACTGGCAAGATCTCCATCTTCTTCGAGGTCTAGTATGAGCCGCTAGCAGACTGTTCCTGCTTCATGACTGGTCTGCGCGGCATCTCATCCGAGAAGTTGGAGTTCATCATGAGTCTTTGATGAAAAGATACATTCCGATGGCGGCTCGACTTACCGCTCCTCTAACGTGTTTCTTTTTTTCTTCCTTTCTGGTTTCCTGTCCTTCGTTCATTTCACTGATTGTACGCTCTACGCTGAACATAGTTCGAACATCATACGACCATCGTGCAGTTAATCTGACCGCAGTCGCCCAAATATCAGTTGGGATATCTCCTCGACATGGCGGAGCCCGAAAAGTCGGCGCCCCCAGTCGTCATATCACAACGCTCCCCTTCCCAGAATGGCTCAGACAAGGAGCGGTATCCGTCTATAGACCAGTCGCCCGCATCTTCGGTCTCTCAATCGGATTCCGATCATGACGAACGAGCACTGACCCTCACTATAACCCAAGCATCAGGACAGTCGGCCACCAGGACCGTGACTCGGATGACAACCCAAGGCACTGCATTCACCTCCGACCCAAGATTTGAGGTCGATTTTGGGGTGGACGATCCTGAAAATCCTCGGGATTTCCCATTCTGGTACAAGGCTTTCGGGCTTTTTGCGATCTCTTTTGGAACTCTGGGTGTGGTCATGTATTCAACTTCTTACACCTCTGCATTGGCCGCCATGCAGGAAGAATTTGGCGTCAAGTCAGAAGTTATCGCTACTCTCGGGGTCACGACATACTTACTAGGGCTAGCTCTTGGCTCCTTGATCCTCGCTCCCATGGCTGAGACATACGGTCGCAAACCTGTGTACACGATATCCATGGCCTTGTTCACAATCCTCATCCTTCCTTCCGCACTGGCGCATGACATGGCAACAATCATCATTGTAAGGTTCTTCGGCGCCCTGTTTGGAAGTGCCATGATATCCAATGCACCGGGATCTATTGCCGACCTTATCACCGACGAATACCGTGCTGTGGCCTTCTCCGTCTGGAGTATCGGTCCCATGAACGGTCCCGTGGTCGGACCGACCATTGGAGGCTTCGTAACTGAGTACCTTGGCTGGCGCTGGACCAACTGGATCGCCATGATCTGGGGAGGCACCGCCTTTATTTTACTGTTGTTCTTCAAGGAGACCTATGCGCCGGCGCTGTTGCAGAAAAGGGCAAAACAACTGCGCAAGAAAGAGAACGATGACCGATACTGGAGTCGGTATGATGTTCGAGTCGGATTCGTCGAGCTGATGAAGGTCAACCTGAGCCGGCCGTTCATCATGGCCATCAAAGAACCGATCTGCATTTTCTGGAACTTCTATATCTCTTTGATCTATGGTTTGTCTTGCCCCCCATCTTCCTCAGTGTCATGTTCTCTCTCTATCCTGCTACGTGTTGCAAGGTACACCAAGGCTAACTCAGTCCACAGGCATCTTATATCTCTGCTTCGTGGCCTACCCCATCGTCTTCACCGAAGAACGCGGCTGGTCTACAGGTTTAAGCGGACTCTCGTTTATGGGCATTGGTATCGGCACGATGATAGTCATCTGCAGCGCGAGTCCGATCAAGAAAATGATCGACTCGCACGCACCGGACAAGGATGGAAACATTCCGCCCGAGGCCATGATGAGCATCGTCTGTATCGCCTCGGTGCTTGTCCCTATCGGCGAGCTGTGGTTCGCATGGACTTGCTACCCAACAACCATCCACTGGGCAATACCCATTGCCGCCGGCATCCCGTTCGGTTTCGGAAACGGCGCCGTCTTCATCTACGCCACGAACTACCTCGCTCACAGCTACGGCATCTTTGCGGCCAGCGCCATGGCCGGCAACACTGTCATGCGATCTGTTCTCGGAGGGACTCTACCGCTGGCTGGCCCCTCCATGTATCGCGCCATGGGGCCTAATTGGGCAAGTACACTATTGGGTCTGCTGGAGGTTGCCATTATCCCGATTCCGTTCCTCTTTTACCGCTATGGCTGCCGCATCCGCGAGAGGTCGACAATGATTCGCGAGATGCGTGAGAATGAAGAACGACAGGCCGGGAAGCGTAAGAAGGCCGAGGAGAGAATGCGCGTTACTGTGATGAATGGCGATGATAAGGCCGGCACTCAAGAGGCCCAAGTCCCTCTGGGTCGTGTTAGAAGCCGGACCGATCAAGTTGCTAATGTGGAGGAGCGTGTTTCGGAAACAGAGAAAAGTGCTCAAACCTTTGGGACAGAGACGGTGTGAAGCGACTACAGGCCATATATGGCAGGTGTCCTTTTCTCTTCCCCATGAAACGGGACGAGACTATGCGAACACGATGTGACGACGTATTTGTTGACCGAGATTCTGGAAAGACAGCACACTCGAGCAATCGCGTTCATGAAGCCTACGTTCAAAGGGATCCTTGGGAAAAGGAAAAGTGTCAGCAACGGCTTTGAATTACGATGAAGCCGGTCGCACGTTTTGAAAGTTTTCAACGATTCCAGCGTTTTTATGTTATTCTATTCTGTGTTGATTACATGTTGCATTTGGGCAACCACAGCGCGGTCACGGTGAGCTTCGAGTGGGAAAAAACAGCGTTGCTTTCAGGGGCATCCAGGCCATTCTGCTCTGGGGTTTGGGCAGATGGTGTCCTGGCATATTGCATCTTTGGGTAGTCAAAGATTCAAATGGTTACTAATGCTTCCGGATTCGGTATATATATGTGTGGAACATTGGACGAAACAGCAGCATAAGATCCTTACCAACCCCACAGGGGCCAAATGGGGCGGATGACGGGATTGACGATGGTTGGATATATCGATCGGACCTCAGTGAGCATTGAGCTTTGGAGAATCTATCCCCGGATTCAAGGGATGCGGAATACAGATATAGAATAATAGATTCTCATCACCCTGCCGTCTTCTGATTGATATAAGTCTATACTTCTTATATACCGTATGGGGAGGTTGGAGTTGTGAAATCGTGAAATCACGTCTGAGCATCATTCCTTTTCTTCGCAGATTCGTCAAGGACTTACACGTTCTGATATTGTGATTATAATAATCGACGCTTGGACAGTGTAGATTAGATATTAAGTATTATTAAGTCTATATCAGGCAAAATCATCTCTATAAATCTAAGTATATATCGTTCAGTGTCGTAAAAATCACTCGCGGCTTTCCCTTTCAGTGTTTCTTTCGTATAAATCACTATTCGGTAGATAAAAAGGCCGTCGGCTGCTGGTCTTGGGAGTGCAAAACGGGCGTAGCGGAGCTTGAAGGAATATGGCGTCTTCAAGGAGTCGAGGCTGCTGCTAGACCGCGACAGCGTTTCGTCATATGCTTTAGATAATCCTGCGTTTGTAGCAGTTTTCGTGATAATTCTCTTGAGAAACTCTCCTGATCGTACTCTTCGAAGTTTCCCGGGGAGCGGATGAGCCAAGAGCTGGCGTATGTTGTCCAGAGAAGACGGAACGGTATCCACCGCCAATCCAGCGCCCACCAGCCGGCAAGACGCTTCTTCCGACAGTGGTCGCCTGGCCTGGGACGGAAGAGCATTCCTCGCATAAGCCTTATCAAACGGCTAGCGGCTCTCCAGCTTTTCAGGGGGGTTATGGGCCAAGGATGGCTGGCGAAGACCATGGATCATCCTTTCAGACAATGACGGACGCATTGCTGGGAATATTAGGCGATGGCATGAAAGGCATTCAGCCAGCAGACCCAGAGACAGAAAGAGGGCGGCCAGTTCATGCGCAGCAGGACCAGAAACAAGGTCAGCTGATGATGTCCCTATCGGATACCTCGTTGCATGATGATCGTGTCTTAATTGGATCTGGGCCTATCCAGACAGGAACTGGAACCCTGCGGGAAGGCCGAAACTTGAAGGAGTGGGTTTGTCCTGTAGCTTTGGCGTCAGGCGTATAGTACCTGTGTTTCCCAGGTGATGTTGTCGCTGATCGAATGATAAAAAAGCTCGCTGGCTGTTTTGGGGCACCGAGATCCCATTCCTAATATGGCGGATTTTCTTCAAACCGAGACCACCGTCGTTCATCTCTTCCAAACTCCATGCTCGTCTTTCTTCCATCGGAGTCCAATCGGAGTGTTTCGTCTCAACGGTCTAGGGCGGTACTGCTGGGGGGAGACAGGATGCTCTGCCACAGAGGGCAATGGTCCGGGTGACGGGTTGGTACGTTCCGGCGATGATCGTTCGGACTGGATCAATTCTCTGTCCTCGGGCGTGGTCGTTCCAGAACTATTGATGCTTCCGAGCCCCCTCTCGACAACTTGCAGCATATCCAAATCAAAATATTTATTTTGCTTGTATTCTTCACGCATGCGCTGCCGTTCGTCAGGTTCGTCAGCCTCGTCGCCGCTTATGATCCGGGTCAGCACGCCCATGCTATCAACCCGGTCCTTCACAGGAGCTAGCGTGGGCGGTCCTGAGTGTGGGCGCCTCATGGCTTGTTCCTCGGCGCTCACACGATGGCTCTTTTGAGTGCCGACCACGCGCGGGACACTGCAAGACCCGTTCGTTGCATTCATATTGTTCTGTTCTGCGGCCTTCCTCGCCCTTACTGCCGCAGCGTGACGGGCCGCTTGGACAATTGGGTCACGACCTCGCCTCTCCTTCTTCGGCTTGTCGCTTTTCTGTGCCTTCTCGGGTTTGTCTGGTTTGTCTGGTTTACTTTTCCCAAAGAACCACCCAAGTCCCGATGGAGACTTGGACCCGGAACGTGAATTGTTGGCTGAACGGGCAGCACGAAGATCTCCGTGGCTGGGCGATGTGGACAGACCAGGCTCTGACTTTATGGACGTCGAGCTGGTGTTTCGGGACATTGGAGGTCGAAACCGCACATGGTCACCCGAGTGCCGTCGGTCCGGCAAGGGACGGCTGTAGACATCGAAGGAGTCGAGCATTGCGGAGCACGAGTTGGATCGATTCGTGAGGGATCTTTGGCGATGCGAAGACGGAAGGATCGAGGAAGAGGACGAGCAACACGGTTGGGGGAAGGTTATAGAAGGAAGCGTTGAGGGAGTGACGAAATATGAAGCTCGGTTCAGAAAGCCGAAGCCAGACCCTGCTGTAGCCTGTACCTAGACCTAATGTACCTCTTTTCAGATGCAGTGATCTATCTTTTCACACATCAGAAGATGGGCGGTCTGTGGCAATTGTAGACACCATCATCTTAGACCATGGACAGGTGGTTGGGATGGATGGAAAATCTGCACAACTCACTTCCCCATCGTATCATGGATGGATAGCAAATTCACACTCGGGTTCCTCCGATGTCACACTTTGATAAAGCCAGCGAAGCCTGATGGTAGGCAGACCAGACTATAGAAGTCAATGGCATGGACATTTTCAACTAATAATATTTAATTGATGGGGACAAAAACAGGGGCCAAGGGTGGCGAGAAGCTTTTTGCTGAATGTCTGGAGAGCGCAGGTGCCAACCAGAGACCTTGTACAAGCTACTAGTATAGTACTAGTAGCAGCCTTAACAGTAGAGATGCTTAGTACTAGTAGCTCTGTGGTAGGGCTCAGAAGGCGACACACCCGCACCACTCACTCGTTTGCCTGCGCTACACCAACCTGCGCATATGCAATCCATTCGTTCCATTCTCCCTTCCACCATTCCATCCACTGCTCCCTGTTACTCGCTATTATCTCGGTCATTGTATACCTCAGGTACCTGAGTCCGTCATGTCACTACACAACCGCTCCCTGTTGTGGACTGTAGCCTTGTTCACTGCGGTCAATGCCAGATATGTTATGTATCTAACAGGGTTTGTCACTTGTTCTGCCGGTTATCGTGCTCAATGACCCTCGAAACAGGCAACACAATCATGTTCCCGATCTCTCCCTCGTAAAGGACATTACTCACGTTGCACTGGCCTTCATACGAGCGGATGTCTTCAATCAAGACCGTCCCGAAGAATGGCCACTGTTCACCAGCGTTGACGCCGTTCGGTCTCAATTTGCACCCGGCACAGCTGTGATGGTAGCTATCGGAGGTTGGGGCGGCACTGATGGCTTTTCGCAGGCCGCAGCAACAGCATCCAACCGGAAGCGTTTCGCAGCAAATGTTAAAGCAATGGTGGATTCTACAGGAGCTGATGGCGTTGATGTCGATTGGGAATACCCCGGCGGCAACGGAGAAGACTATAAACTGGTCCCAAACGTCAACAAATCCTGGGAGGTTGCCGCCTATCCTAAACTCGTAGCTGAAGTACGTTCGGCTTTGGGTCCATTACTCCTGATGTCTGCTGCTGTCCCTGGCCTGCGCAGAGACATGTTAGCTTTTACAGCTGAGACCATCCCGCAGATTGACCATGCACTGGACTTTTGGAACGTAATGACTTATGACTTGATGAACAGGAGGGACAATATGACTAAACATCAGTCCGGGATAATTGAGTCGTTAGACGCCATCGATGCATACGTCGACCAAGGCGTCCCTGCGGAAAAGGTGAACTTGGGCTTTCCTTTCTATGTCAAATGGTTCATGACAGACCCCAACGGCAACTGCAACGCGAACCCTATTGGCTGCCAGACATTGCCAATGGAAGATCCCAGCACAGGAGTCGACTTGGGACGAGCAGGTGCATTCTGCTGGGCCGATGAAGTTCCTTCAGAATTGGTCAACTCCTATGTCAAAGCTATGAGTCAAGGAAATTATGACAGTGAGAGAGGTGGCCATTACTACTGGGATCCAGAAGATAATATCTTCTGGTCCTGGGACACTCCTCACTCCATTGCTCGCAAATTCCCAGCCATCATGCACACAAGAGGACTCGGTGGTGTTTTCGCCTGGGGTCTAGGTGAGGATGCAAGCGACTGGACGCATCTACGGACTCTAACTGTAGAATATCGAAGATACAAACGCACCAATAACAAGGAGCGAAAACACGGCAAAGATGAACTCTGAAGTCACGGTTGCAAATACTGACAGCATCTATAACAGCACATCTTGGTTCTGCTTGAGTCCCACTATCTGTACAATAACCCTTTTGACAATAAGCGAGTCGGTCTTTTGCTCCCATGCATGTGGTACAAATTTTGCGTCCACAGGATTCCGAGACAAAAACCGAGTGAGTGAAATGCCTGAGGCGTCGCAAGGGATTCTGTTGCGCCAACTTCTGCTTCTCATTTCCCCCGACCCGGGAAGTAAGTACCACTCATTTCCACGGTCATCCTGACCGTGCTGATTTCGGCTGCTGGGTTGTTTTGGCGTCCAGACCGCTTGTGAGACGACTGGCCGACACCACTCAACCCTAATGTCGAAGAGGTGGTCGTCGCCCGATCGAGAGACGAAACCACTCACTGCTTTCCGCCACTGTTGAACCAAGTCCAACCTAGCACGGGGCTTCTTTTGGTCTTGCCGCTATGATTGAACCAGGTCCAAGCTAGCACTGGGCTCCTCTTGGTCTTGCCGCTGTGATTGAACCAAGTCCAGCCAAGGACGGGGGAACGCTTGGCCAGGTCCATATCTCCTGCAACATCTCGTGCCATTGCGAGATGCTCGGCATCTTGTCGAACGTAAAGAGTGTTTGGCTCGATGATGGGCCTGGGGTTTGCAACAGGCAACGCTACCGCGAGGTAGACGAAAGCAAGAAGGAACAGAAATTGCAGCGATCGATGCATCGTTATCGTTGAGTGAAACTGAGGAGCAAGGGGTCGTGGTTTGTGATGGAGCTCACACTATGGTTTTGGTCTCGTGAAATGAATGTTTTGGAGTTCAAATTGAGTGTCTGTTGTTGTTGCTGTTGCTGCTTGTGCTTGTGTGCAACTGTCAGAGCAACTCATCCAGCAGGATATTAAGTTGGTTCTTATACATTGAAATTTGACCGAGAAGGAGCATACAACTCTACAGCATGATCACCTACGCTTCTCAAGCGCGCAGGCTATTCCAAAGGGAATCACCAGCTGTGCAGGATGGCGCAATCATCCAGTAGGAGCAGAGAATGTATCGACCTCAAACACATCGTGTCGGAGGTTTGGTTAGTTCGCATGGCTGTGGTCAGGAGCTATCGAGGTGATGACCCCATATCAAGCCTATCCCCCAGACCATCGTACATATCGGTGGCTCCTGTTGGATTCTTGACCAAGGACCCATGGATATCAGGTCCCTTTCGATCACTCTGGAGACGGTGCTGTCACATCATGCTATAGAAGTATTCATGTGAACAACTTCAACAAGCGCCGTGAACCGCAGAAATCGGTCGTTCCCCCAGCGCGGCTCAACGCACGACTCTATCAGGAGTGCATCAATGTGCCACCAGTGCAGCCATCGAATTCATGGGTGTGAAATGCCCCGTTCCACCACTCTTGATTCGACATCTTTCCTGCTTCTTGTGGGGTGGGAAAATAGCCGCCCTGGCTGCCTTAGGGTTGACCCCTTTTCTGGGTCGTTGGCTGGCGGCAAAAGTCAAGTGATGGCCACAAAGAAGGAATAAGTGGCTGGCACCGACAACAACAACAACGGCGGCGGGAATTCGCCAGCATGGCCCAATACAAAGTCGTGTTTGATGAGGACGATGAATTTATACTCGTAGGCAGTACAAATTCATCCCCTGGCAGTGATTGGTGGAATGGGCGGCTCTTGTCTCGTTTCAATGAGGCAAAGCGATCTGCAGTTAGTAAAAAGGACAGGTACCTCCTTTAGCAAATCTCGGATGTAGAAGCAGTTGAGCGGTCAACCACCTGAATTCCTTAATTGATCGCACGTACAGAAGCCTTCGACAAGTTGATGGATGTGATCGGATAGTTTTGGAAGTCCTGGGTCTTTCTCCTCTTCTGCATCCACTGATCTCTTAGCCATCATGTTGACAGCCTATTAGTAGTTGCACAAGACGAGAATCTGTATTGGTCTCTGATGTCAAGCAGACCTGCAACAATGCCAGCCCCAAAGCAGGCATACAGCACTTCTTACTCGATCCTTGTTCTGCAGGTGGGTGCTTCGAAGAAGGACCTACAACCTGTGCTGGACCTGTCCAATCGCATATTTGATACCGCCCCGTTGCCACCGAGTCCTCACTCGTCTCTAGATGAATGGCACGGACGGCTATCCTTACGGTCTGCTGTTGGTAGCGGGAGCGGGAGCTCAATACTGGCTACGCTACAACTTCTGCTATTGTTCCTGCTGCCACAGACATAGGTTTGGGAGATGGGACACCTTCTTCAAGACTACCATCACCCAGTGCAGAGGAGGTTTATTGCACCATCATCCGAGTCCACGCATGATCCCAAACTAGCTGGTCGTTCATCCGCTATTGAAGGATCCAAACACCATTCGTCTTTGTCTACCGATCGCGACACCGATATCCAAGATCCAATTGGTTTCGTCTTCGCTAGTCCCAAGACTTATCCATCTCTACCGCATCCAACACTGCATGTCTGGCTTGCCGGTATCGCCGAGCGGGCGCGAGGCACAGGAGTGTTTGCAGCACTGATGGCCGAAGTAGAGACGCATGCGCGAAACACCAACGGCGGCGTAGGTGTTGATGTCAAGGCTGGCCAGGGGCACGTGCAGGCCTTGAGCATATGTACTTTCCCGGCAAGGTTTAGTAGGATGTTTTCCATCTTGCAGAGGGAGGGGTGGCAGGTTAAGGAGTGGATGGATGATGGGCAGAAGGTGCTTTTGGTGAAGGAGTTGTCTAATACGACACCTGCGCCCGAGGCCGAGTCTTGAGGCTAGATCAGGATCTGCCGGTGTAATACTCGAATGTCTGAGAAAGCTCGATACAAGCCGAGATCATGGCATCCAGGAGCGTTCCTTTTCAATAGAATAGACAAACGACTCTGGTTCCGGAAGGGTTACCGAAAGAACTTCCTCCTGGTCGATAAGTTCGACCTAGTCGCTACTTTGACTTTGTGCGGTTGATAGCGTCCCCGTGAGCAGGAACTGGTCAGAAGTCAAAGGCCAACAATCAACAGGCTCGGCTGGACCGGTGCCGTCATTCAGGAGTAGGTCAGCGTCTCGTGGTGCCGAGGACAAGATTCAGTATAAGCTGCGCGGTCAACAGTATCCATGCTGGGTTCGTTAGGCAAGAGCAATCCATGCTCTGGAAAACAAATGAAAGATGATAACGAGTGAAATATGAAATGATAGTCGGCAGCTGTCAATTCAACACAACTGCTTTAGAACATTATGGACATAATATCTCACAGACGCCAACCACCTCGGTATCATATGATGCCAGTATTTTGACCTACTTGCCACCGAACCAGCTGCTAAGTCCACTCTTTGCCTTCGCCGCTTTATCTTCGACCGTCTTGTCAAACTTGTCGACGGCACTGTTGAACTCTTTGTTCGTCTTTGCGCCCAACTCTTTGGCCCTGGCCTCGGCCTCGGCCAGTTTAGATCTCGTTTCCGCTTCCGCTTTTGCCAGTTTGGCTTTGGCCTCGGCAGACTATTGGGGTCAGCATCGTAATATAGGTTGAGGCGGCCAGGAGCGTGTGTCTTACTGTTTGATCCACCTTCTGGCCGGCTTGTGATGCCCAGGCTTGAGCCGTCTTCTCAGCTTCCTTTTGTCGGCCTGGGAGCTCCTTCTTTATGTCGGCGGAAAGCTTGGAAGCGTCGGCTGTCTCATGGTTAGAGTCGGTCTCGTTAAAGCCCGCCCGGATTGTACACACCTTCGAAACGCTTCTCGGCGGTCTTGGGATCACCCCCGGCTTTATAGAGGTAGTAACCGGCTCCGCTGGCGACAGCAAGCCCGGCAATTGTGAGTCCACGTCTCGACATGATCGATGTTCTTGTTCTTGTTCGGAACTGGTTGAGGAACGGAGGGTGTCTGGAAGTAAACCGCTCAATGGTTGTGATGTGTAAGGATGATTTGGAACGTCGGAGAAGTTGCGGCAGACTTTTGGGAACACGAGCACTCGAGATAGAGATCAGGTAGCTAAGCGCGCAGGGGTCACAAGGTACAAGTAGATGTAGCTGACAGAGACTGTTGGCAGTATGATGAAGAAGCCGTGCTATAGGATAGTAGATGAGAGGAGAGCAGGTCATTGCACTGGCATGGCACCATGGGGAAAATCACAGTGACATCATCGTTGGTTGTTCGTCACTGCGGGCGGTTACAGGTACTAGGTACGCACTACGTAGGTGTTTACTGGGTACTACGTAGGTACCTTGGACCTATTTTGTGGCTGATTATGGGGCTAGGGAGGCAGAACTCCCCGCATCTCCCAGTACATTGCCGCCCATAAGTGGCTTGCTTCTACGGACACAATGCCAGCCATCTGATGCTAGTACTACTAGAGTACTAGTGCCTAAGTAGAATCTAGGCCTCCGATTGCACCAAGAAAATCTTGCCTGCGCCCACGCGTCGACGACGTCAATGCTCAACTTAAGCCCCCGCCAGGCGTAAGGTAGCCTAGAAGCTTGATGTTGCCGATTCTCTTCTGATTGTATGCCTACATCAAATTCTTGTCACGTTCGTTGCGCTCGTCTGTATTTCGAGCGTCTGTGTTCCTTTCGTTTCAACCGTTTTGCGAGGCAGGAAACGTGCGCACTTTGAGAGTCGTCGGAGAAGGTTGCAGGCATCATTCCTCAACAAAGGTGGTCCAATTTCGACTATGAGTCTGAACTGAGGATTTTCTTCAGCTCGTCCTGCCTCATCCCTGAATTCTTAAAGGCATGTCAGAAAATGTCTCCAGACTCCCCACCCGCGTCTCTACCCTCGATGGCGCTGCACCAGAACCTTTCGATCACGAGATCTCATTGATCGACACCACTGATACCACGACCCATGGCGAACCCGGGTCCAGCGCGCAGAATCTCGCAAAATCAACTACCCGTTCTTCGTTAAAAGGCCGTTTGTCGAAACGAAAGCATGCGAAGTATGGAAAATGGCAGGAAGGTCGCTACGCCTCCAAAGCAGGCAGCACTGTGACAACCGAGGAGCGGGAGCCGCCAACGGTGCCATCAAACGAAACCGAGGCCGGCAACGGAACAGCAACTGTGGATTTTGCGCCTAGCGTTACTGTTGACCGAGGACGAATAGGTGCAGAGAAGAGGAACAAAGAATCGAAACATCTAAAGCAGGAAGTTCATGAGTATGACATTCTCTACGAGAACCAGCGAGGGTCATTCTTCTGTGGAATCCCATTGTATGCGCACTCGTCCCTGTTGCCGATAGATCCTTCTCCATGGGTGAACAGGGATTTACACGACTCCCCAGTCAACATCACCAATGCTCAAGTCCCGGATCCTAGTTGGGAATGGGCCTGGAGAACTTGGTATGTTGACATGAGTTACGATGTGGATGAAGAAGGCTGGCAATATTCTTTTGCCTTTGGAAGGAATTGGTCATGGCATGGTACACATCCTTGGTTTCATTCCTTCGTCCGGCGAAGACGATGGTTACGAAAACGCGTCAAAAAGAACCCCAATGCTCTTTGGGGCAGACCAGGCAGTATGGGTGCCGCCCACCATCTAAATCCAGACTATTTCACCATCCACTCGAAACGAGACCGAAGTCCGGTCAGTGCCGTCGATGGCGCCGGTAAAGCCGCCAGGCCATCGAGCTTCATCAGCTTTCCGAGCACTGTCGACCCGGACGAGCCTCCTGAGGAAATCAAAGACATCGGGACTCTGCTCAAAACCCTCAAATATGCCACGGTTGATCGTGAGAAAATTGACCTCGTGAAGAAGTTTGTTGATCAAGGTGGGAGCGAATTGTTCTACCTCAAAGACCATATTCCCGACATTATGGCATTTTTTGTATTTCAGAATTCGAGGAAACAGCTGCTGTCGTATCTTAGGCAGACCACCGACGAAGCACGTCAACACCGGCAAAAACATGAAGACGAGGATAAGCCTGAGGGCGATACTGAAAGAGGAAGGATCGACAATCTCCTTGCTGCCGTTGATGCTGCCAACGCCGAGATTGGAGGTTTGGAGTTTTGGAGCGATCGAAAGCACGTTCTGAAGACTTCTGACAGCGAGGGCATGGCAACAGGACCCATTGCAACTATTTTTGATGAGCATGCGCCAAGGCCAGAGCCAGAGGTTGAGGATGATCCAGTCAAAGAGATCAAAGGCATATCGGAGAAAGCCGACATTGACCTAGAGCCTACACCAGCTGGTTCCAATGCAGAGACACCCTCGGCAACTGGGGATGAAGAAGACCGAAAGCGGAAAGAGGCCAAGGGTAAAGGCCGAGCAACTGAGCATGACAGCGAGGACGACCAGGCTGAAGCAGATCCTACCCCACGTTTGGGTCCGGACGATGTCCTTGTTCCGGAGCAAGATTAGGGGCTTTCTCGGGGGGACTGTGTTGTGCATTAGCGCAGGCGTTGGTCGGTTTCTCGCCAGCTCCTATTTGAGCATGAGTATCAAGTATCTAGCATAATAATAGGTGTGGCTAATGCGTGATGAATGAACAAACGAGAGACTGCCGAATGTCAGTCGCTGGTGAGACAAGGCTGAGAATCCAATATAACCTGATCGGGCTAGCGCACACGGATCGCTTCGCGTCGCGTCGAGGACGCGTCTCTCTGAAAGACCCGGAAGCATTGAGACCAGCCACCGTCAGAATTACTGGAGCGTAAGTGTGATTGTGAACTTCTAGCAGCAATTGATCTTGGATACGTTATAGATCATTGCCAGTTGCTTTGCATCCTTCTCTTCACCGACTTGACCCTCAAAATCCTGCGGGAAATTCAACTCTCGGTCGCGCCTTCCGTTTTCCAATTGCACCATGGCTCCTTCCGTCCACGGAACAGCCAGTCGAGTCGGCAAACGGCAGGCAGGACTACAGAGCTATGCAAAGGTGTCCAAGAACATCAATTCGCGACTCAATGTCAAGGCGCTCCTAAAAGAGGCAGCACTGAACCCAGTCGTCAACGGGCAAACTTCAGCCAAAGCAACTTCAAAGCGTAAACACATTCGGGTACAGGATGACAGTGACGCCGAAAAGGATTGTGCCAACACTGCAACATCTAAAAAGGTGATAATTGTCAACCTCGCATTACATCCAGGCTGACCTTCTTCCAGCCAAAGCTTCAATTGCCCACACCACCACCTTCGCGAAAAACACGAAATGGCTCGGCCGACCCTGAACTTTCTCCATCACTTGAACTGCGGCAACTTTCGCTTGACAGCAGCAGCTCAGCACAATCAACGCGCAGTTCAAGCCTTCCCCGGGCCTTGAAAGACTTGATATCTCTGCACGGCGCATTTCTACGGGCATTCATGCTACATATTGCCCATAATGGAAGAACTGCCCCGGCAGACCTGGGGACGTTGATGGCCTCGATGACTAGGCTATGGAAGAAGCAGACGGTCCAGAAGGAAGATATCCAGCGCATCCTGGCCATGTACGAACTTGACTCGGTCAACGACATTGTGGCTGGTCAACTCTTAAAACACAAGAATGGACCCTTCAAGTTGACAATAACACTGGCAGGAGGGGAATCTACCCGTCACAGTGTGGAATACGTTGGTACTCGTGGTCTTGACACGCTGCTGGACTCGCCCTTTGATGAACGGAGTCTGCAAAACTCCTATGAGGCGCAGGTCCAAGCTGCATTCGAATCATGCTGCGACCAAGCAGATGAGTTGCTTCGTGGCGAGGTCCGGCAGCTTCCTCGCTTAGAGTTTACTATTGGGTCTCAAACGCAAGCTCGCAAGAGTAAGGCTACGGCAGCGCGGAAGGAGATCCTGCGTCTGTCTTCTCAAGCGCAGAATCGGTCAGGCTCGCAATTCTCGGCTGCCAAGGAGACTTCGCAGACCGAAGAGACCACGACACCCCAAGTCGTCAAAGATCGAACTTTGTCTCTTTTAGACCGGGTCCGAGCCAAAGCACTTGCCAGTTCGACAACCACACCAAATACGCCGGAAGCTATTGTACGCCGGTACGCTCTTGGTCGCATCCAGGAGGTGGTTGAGATCCTTCGCATGCTGCAACAACGGAAGCTGGCTTCCAACTTTAACTCTTCTATTCATTCCAGCCCCGGGAAGGTCCGGGGGAAAGTGTCATTCAGTCTTAATCAACTTGTCAACGACATCAGAGGCAGTCTCGCCGTGCCACTTGGAGAAGCCGAAATCAGGATGTGTATAAAGATATTGGCCGATGATGTACCGGGGATCTGGTTGTCTGTATACACGGTGGGAAATGTTCAAAGTGTGGTTCTGAATGGCCCGGGTATGAGTGGGATTGAAGTCAAGAAGATACTCGACGGACGTTGAGAGTGCGAAACTGTGAAGGACTGTCCATGAGAGCAGCCATTCATTTGTGCAAGCCTACATTTGATCTGTGGAGATTGATGGATGTTAGTAGCGGCAGTGTCGGTCGTTGCATTTGAAATGCAACGCAACGACTCCCAGGAGACGGATGTCTTACATACTGTGTCCTGGCATTGAGTGATATGCAAAAGAATGAAGTAATGACATCGAAGACATAAGTCCAGAAATGGGTAAGATCCAAGAGTGTTTCACCTCAACGTGTTCATTGACTCGTTCTTCAATTTCAGTATAGACTATCGTTTAATCCTCCGACCTCTTAAGCACTACAAGCGTCAACACCGAGTAGAAGGATCACCCGAAGCATGCGGCCGTCGTGCAGTAATTCCAGCACCTCTTCGATTGAACGGCAATAGTTCGAATTTTCGACATTCGCGCTTGAAACAGAGCTGTTCTCTTTCCTCGGAAACTTCGTTGAGACCCAGATGAACCAACACGGAGACAACACCCTCGAATATCAACCATCAACACAACACCTGGTGCATTATATTATAGCTTGTATCCCCATCTCATGTCTTTTTGTCAATCGAATTGGGGAGCCGAGTCGAGATACTGCCTCCACAAGCTCCCGGGCAGGCAAGTTGAATCAACCGCAGCCCCCCCAGACAAACGTGATCTTGATTAATCGAATCCTTTTGGATCTGGCGCGACTTTTCAATAGGTTAGGTAGGTACTTGCAGTGGTACCTAATTGTTGATACCTTGTCACATCGAAGAGGCCCTTCCTCGGCCTTTGTGCCCTAGATAGGTCTCATGGTGGAAGCTCTCTCGATGATTGAAAATCGTGCTTCCGTCTTCCTTCGTCTCATTTGCTAGTATGTATGCGCATGCGCTGGCGTTTCGTACCGAGTGATGATCCACCAAGCATCTATACCATCCCGATCACAGTAGCTATTAGCCATCCATCCATCCAAGACTTGAGAGAACGACAGACTTTTTCTCTTGGGAAGATCGGGGACGGTCATGACTAAGGTAAGATAAGACATTCCACTAGGTGGATATCCCGAAAGGCTGTAAGGAACTGTGAGGGAAGGAGGGAGAGGGAAGGGTAAGGTTGGCTTTCGACTTACGAATACATCCAGGCAACCAACCCAGAATAGTCAAAAGGATATTAATGAGGAAATTGATATCACAGCCGGTCTTGAGGAAGACTGCGAGCGGAGGCAGAAAGATGGCGAGAAAGTAGAGAAGAACATCGCTCTATAAATCCAAAATGATCAAATAGGGTCAGTCAGTACAGTCAGTCGGAAGAAATGAATCGAAGTCTCGCCACGGTATAACGAGAACAGACTCCATCCAAACCAATCCATGCACAGGAGAAACGGAGGCACAGAAAGGAGAGCGTGTTAAAGTCAGATGCGGAGAGCAGAGGAGACGAGGGACAGCAAAGGAAAGGAAACGTACAGTCGACGAGGCTGGAGGGGCCATCTTGTGTCGTCTGGGCTCGTGAGTTGAGGTCAATTGATTGGATTGGGGATGCTTTCGAAACGGCTCCGTCGACTGGGTCTCGAGTCTTGAGTCCTGAGTGAGGAAGATATATAAGATAAGGTCAATCTTGATCACTTTCAGCACCTGAGGTAGTAGGTCGGGTTAGGAATGCGGTGGTATTGGACGTTATAAGTAACTTGAAGGCTGCAGTGGTTAGAAGACTGGAAAAGGTACCTTGAAACTGTTTATAACTTGTTGTCTTCCATCTACTCAACGATGACGTCGATGTTAGGAAAACGCGTCAACGAAAGTACACGCTAAGGTAAGGTACCTACCTACGTAACACACCCCTATGCTAGGGTTAGGGTTATGGGTAGACACTAAGATGGTATCGCAGACTGGCAGACAGGGCCAGAACATACTACTATCCATTTTCGTACTCATCGCTTGTCTACTAGTAGGTATGTTGTAAGGCTTCAGCTTGCAGTATCAGGCATGTAACATATATAGGACAAACCAGGCAAAGGGGCCAGGGTTCAGCCAACAGATGAGATGGGCGACTTAGCAGTCAAGGTAGTGAACACTACATCTCCTAGATTAGGTACTGTATAGTGGTCTTCATATCTCGAGTATAGATAGGTACGTAGGTAGGAAGGTAGTTCAACAATCCATTAATATTATGGTATGGTAGAAGTAATCTTGGGATCGAGTCGTCTTATACCGTCCAATACAGTCAGTCCAACCCTGTCGAACAGAGAATGGAGAACAGAGAATGCATTGCGAGTCGACCTCGTCGAACAACTCGGTTGCTGCTATGGTCGCACAATCTCCAGTCATACGACATGGGCATCTCTCATAGCAACCATGTGACACAATGCCACCATAGTCTATAGATCAATGATCGCGCCAACTTGAACCTGGCGCCTGTGGACTTGTATGCATGGCCGTTGAAGGTCGGGCTGGGTCGAGGCTGTGCGGACGGGGTTAACAGGGTTGCGCCTGGAATGTCGTGCTGGAACTTGAAACACGCTTCCACTTTCCACCCATGTCGTGAGGCATCCTCAACATGGAGCTTTGCAGACGCGTCAGCTGCCATGACTCCAGCCTGGAAATCTCCAGTTCGTCTGTCCCGACTGTAAATTTCCCCTCTCGATGGGACTCGAAGTATTTGCAACATGAACAAAAAACTCCTTCTCTTCGGTGCCATGTTGACACAAGCGAATGGCGTATCGGTCATGACCATGTCGATAATGTTGTACACAAGTAAGCGAACGTAATGGCGCCAGCCAGACAATATACTGTGGACGCTCAACAACAGAAAACGAGAGCGACAAAAGTCCTCCCAAAGTCACCTCCCGGGATATGCATTCCTGGTGCGACAAGAAACAAAATCCATCCATTGATGGCAAAGTCAATACCCTCGTGTATAAACTATGATACTGTGCACAGCCAGAGCAGTACCGTTGTCCGGGGGCAAAGGGCGGCCAGCCAGCGCAATATTCGAGTAATCTTCTCCATGCCCAATCGGTCTTTTATGATTCCTCCGCTCGCGGTCGGAAGTTGTATCGAGGGGCCGCTGGCTGGCATCATTGGGTGCTGGAAACAAAAATATATCCGGCACTTCGCGTGTAATGATCACAAGAGTATTGCCGGATCTAGTTGCAGAATCAAAGTGTCGCTCATATGCAAGTTTTGTCCGTAACCGTCACATCGGTCATGCAGAAACGCCTTTGCTAACAATGCTGAAAATCAATCCAAGGTCGAAGACGAGGCGCGGAGGAGATTCTAGTATCCCCATGGCGGCCGACCTTGGACTCATCTTTCGTGGTTCGAATATGCTCCAGCCCAGATATTGTTACTCTCCTCGGTCGGGCTGAGGGAGCCAGAAGAAATGGAGGATGACGAACCGATCGTCCATTCATCGCTATCAGGAATGTTGGGGTCTGCCAAGCCGGCCAGGTTGTACCCATAGTCGTTGTGAGACTCGCCGACCTCGATGTAGTCATAGTCCCATCGATACCGCTTGTCGGGTTGAAGACGCGGGAGAAACTTGGATTTGGCAAAGTAGAAAATGACTCCAGCCAACATACTGCCGGCGACCAGGTCGACGACATAATGATGGGAGAGGTACATGGTAGCCCACCATAGCCATATGGCATAGGTGGCGAACAAGGGCGTGAGTTTCGGGAAAACGTGGCTCATGAACAGGGCCTCCAGAGTCGAAGTAGCGGCATGGAGAGACGGGAACGCCCCAAACACCATTGGAGATGCCGTGAACCCCGAGGTGTACATGTCAAACCCAAGCAAGGCATCGATACGCGCTAGGCCGGCCGGCGATCCTTTCATGGAATAGTTGGCCGGAGCCAATCCGTACATGTTCTCATACCACGGCGGGGAACAAGGCAACAGGACTTGGGTGATGACTCCGATGAGACTCATGTAGCCGAAACAGAACCCGAAAACCGTCACGGTCGTAGGCGGTGCCCAGACGAACATGATTGCGGAGCACACAAAGGGAGCGCCGAAGTGGCCGAGGCCGTATGGGAACCAGGCCAGAATATCTAATGCCGTACTCTTGTGGGCTGAGAGGATGTTGCTCAAGTTGGCGCCGTAAAGGATATTCTCGAGGGCGGGGAGGACTTTGACCCAGATAGGAGGTCTCCATTCGGCGGGTATGAACCTGTTGGTCCGAGGTTAGTCTCTGGGAGGGCCAGCTTGTGCACCCAAAAGCAAACTCACCTGCAGGAGTAGAACCAGATCAAGTATGCGGCAATAGGCATGAAGGGTCGGAAGAATTGTCTCGTGACAGGAAATACTAGAGAGGCGAGGAGGAGCGTGGCGACCGACGTCTTGACCAGCGGACCGGGAGACTCGATGATGCTCAAGGAGAAAATCCCCAGAACCGCAAGAAACAGCCATTGTCCATCATAGAGCGTCCATTTATGATCTTGCAGAGAGCGCAGTGTGTCGGAGGGCGAGAAGGAGGTCTGGAGAGCCGAGAGGGACGAGGCAGGCGACTGTCGATTCCGCAGTTTTGATCTCAGTTTGCGCCGTAATCGGTGCGGGACCAGAAGTTGTAGGGACCGCCATGGCAGTTGTATATGTTTCTTCGAGATCGCAGCGTCCTTCCAGGACGGAAGTGACGTCTGCATGGCACCCACTGGTGCTGCGTCTAGCTGATTGCGACCGTAATGGGCGTGTGATCAGTTGCGCGAGACTGCGGCCTAGGTTGGGAGGTGTCGGTCTTGAAGAGAGAAAGAGGCGATGGACGGAAGAGGAGGATACGGAACGTCGAGTCGGCGGAATTGGTTATGGACTGGTGTCGACAGGTGCGCGTATAAAGATGAAAGAAGAGAAGATACGAGAAGAAGAACTGCTAGAGCGCGAGGAGAGTAGTGTTTCTTCAAGATTGATCGAGCTTAGGTGAGAAGTAGTGGAAGAAGTGGTAGAGCGCAGGTTAGGTCGGTAAAGGAACAGACGGATGTGGAAGTCGGCGGGTGGTTAGTTCAGGCAGGGCCGTAGATGCAAGCGGCCACAGGTAAGTAAGTAAGCGGCAGAGAAGCAGAAGCAGCTAAGCGAATAATAATAATAATAAATTGTGCAGGTTTGTTCTACCAGGAAAGATCACTCACCTAAACCCCACGCCCGAACCGATCAAGCCGAAGCTCCAACCTACTACTGTAGTACCACTGCATATATGTATAGGCGTCTAGCAGTCTTGGGGGCCTGCTAGTCCTGTAAAGTCCCTAACGATCCAGGCCCCTCCAAGCTTGGCCGGCTGTCAATGAACTGAAACGGTGGCAGCTGAATGGTCAAAGCCTGAGTAAGCCCCGGAGAGTCCGGCCTGACGAAGGTCTTGGTTAGGGGCTGGGCGTCTGATCCACTGAAGCGGTCGCCTAAAACCACCCCTAGAGAAAGCATTTTCACTGCTCTAACGGGGCTTGGACCGAGAAATTCTCAGCTTGAAAGAAAAAATCTCTCGGCTGGTTCGACGTCACCACTGCACCATCATTTAACTTTTCTGTCAGTGTCTGTAACGGTTCATGATGCAAACGTGCAGAAGCTCGCACCCAGTAGCACAACAATAATGATATATGGGCATTTATTGACACCGACCGCGCACGTGTGTTATCGGTAGTTGCCATGGAAGGGAAGTGCATGCAGATGCTCTCTGTTGTGAGGGTGGTCAGTGGTCAGTGGTCATCGGTCATCGGTCATCCTCATAGATCGTGTCAGGGCATCGATCTGCTTGACAGGTTTGGTCTTGTGGTCTTGTAACAAACAACGTGTTTAGGCACCAACCTTGTAGAGAGAGGGGAGAACTCTGTTGTTGGTTTGTCAAATTGCGAGGGGGCAATCGTGTCGAGGATGGACTGATACTAGTACTGTGGTTCTAATAACTAAGGTACCCTGGATTGATCCAATGCTCCCATAGTACCTAATTCAATTGAAGGTCTGGCCTCTAACTAATAACCACTTTGTATGAAGTTGGACTGTATGATTACAAGCAATCTCAACCATCTCCATACCCTAATTTTCCTGCCTATCCTTCTCATCATCTCCTCTCAAATTTGGCCGTTGTTCCTTTACCCCTATTCTCAGGGCTTGGGACGTTTCTTCCTCCACTCCTTCAATTTCCCTTACCACATTCTACGGGGGCGAGTACTGGGGCAAGGAGTCTTGCTCTCCCTATCCCTTCCTTTGGTAGTAGTGCGGTCTCTTGTCCACCCCGCCGTCGGACTCAACGAGACCGAGAACCATTGGGTTGGTCTCACACGGCCGGCCAACTCGGATCGGCTTCGCTCATTCCTCGGTCCTCCCCTTCCAACCCAGAGCAGGCCAAGATCCAGCATGCAGAATTCAGAATCCATGTCGGCTTCTCTGCGTCTACAGGTCGTAGCTGGGGCCTTACTTCCGCCCGAATCCGACCGATTTCGAATCATAGGTATACGAAAGAGTACAGGAAATACGAGTCCTTCGATGATGGGGGCAGCACAGACCTGCGTGAGAATCGTCTCTAGAGAGTCGTCGCTGGCCGTGTCGACACGACTGGATTTTGTGCTTCGCAGCCGTGTACTCTATAGAGCCTCCTGCCTTGCTCTTGAAAACCGGCCCTGGCTCCTTGACAGTGATCATAAGTTCGCCTTCTAATCAACTTGCAGCCGACCGCCGCGTGAATAATGCCTATACCTAGTACTTCTCGCAAAGGACGCACTTCGGCCGCCCACTTCCTCCGAGGTTGCGGCTGCTGACGGGCCACCAGCCAGGCCCGGAGTGTCGGGCTCGTCGATAGCAGTTGCTCTAGATTATTCTCTCAGATCGATCTGTTCAGACGTGAATATTGATCATTATCTCAAGATCCGCTCAAGCACTGGCCATGCCAACCCGTGCCGCAGAGGTCCGCTCGGTTTCCGGACCGCAGCGCAACGTACTACAGAGTATATGTTTGTTTCGTCTCGTTCCTAGCAAACCATAACATTTCCCAGAAGCTTCAAGTTCTTGTGATGTGAGGCCCTGCGATGACCAGCCATTTTCATTCAATCATGATGATTCCTCTGAGCAGAGCCATATGCTCCTATGCTTTGCCTCACACTCGACTCGACGCAGCTCTGCCCGAGGACTGAATTTGAGCGGATGTCGTTGTCGAAGAATTAGACTGTCGAGAAGTTGTTCGCGACAGGCTATAATGAATGGTCAGCGGCTGAACGGCAATGAGAAACCCATCCAAGGCATTGGAAATGCCAAGGTGCAACTTACGGATTCCGCTTCTCGGTTGACGGCGTGGTCTTAGGGCTTCCAGCTTTGGGGTCTTGTCCCCAACCAAGGCGCGACTGGTATGCTGGCCATGAAGCGTGATACCAGATCTTCATTATCGTACTGCAGGTGAGAGAAGACAAAGTCAGCCAGTCCATTCAAAGAGGGGGCTCCCCCTCTCTTTCTTGTGGACACTGAAAGAAATGTAGATGTGTACCTCTGCGCAGCGTCCTCCTGCTGCTCCGTCGTTCTCTGCTTGACCCCGACTTTCATTCCTGAGCGACTGAAAGACACATTCTTGTTTTCCAACTTGGCTCTGGTCTTGTGTCCCACGTCATGGGCGATCGAATATGCCACGAATGCGATGGCCGCCACCAAAGCGACCACAATAAGGAGGATGATGAACGAGACAATCGATCCGCTTTTCGCCATTGTTCGAGAAGATACACCGGGTAGATCGAGAGGAAGGATCTGTGAGATGAAGGGATGATGTCGACTTGGAGGGATGGTGACTAGTCTTCCTCAAAGATAGGGCGCAGGTTGCGTGCCAGTCGAGCTCCAACCACTGCACGGTATGTTGCGTGGGGTGAGACTGCGGAACTTGAAGTGCTAGTAGGCGTCACAAGACCCCGGATTCCTGGCAATTCGTCCTTCGTGTAAGCTGTGTCTTGAGTTCTGGGGGTTTTCGGCTCCTGAAGATTCGCTCTGCTGTCGCTCTTTTGGCCCTACAGTGACTGCAGCAATTGAAAACTGGCATAAACGATGGTCTGATGTGGGGGGACGGTGGCCGACAAGATACTACTACGTAGTAGCAGTAATTACTTGGGCAGGCTGCGCCACAGCTGAACTTCAGGGCTTGAGGCTTGGACGACGATCGCTAGACTGATTTGGCTACTAAGTCTAGTCGTGGCCACAGGACTGCGATGCGAGCCGCGTAGTAGTACTAGACTACGTATCTACTATCTGTGGTAGTAGTGGTCCGCCACGTCTCACATCTTCTCAAGCGGTTTCCAGACGCCGACTTAAAGTTGAAGCGAAAAGGTGGAATGGAAGGTGGGACAAGGGGGCGCCGTCGAAGCAGTAACAAGATGCTACGTACTACTGCGTTACGTACAGTGGTAGGAACTGGGTACGTCTCCTACGGCGCTTAGAATTGTCCACAGTCAGCTTCCCAGTAGTACGGTACTATGATGGTGTACGTAAAGACTTAGATAAGGGGTTGATGATTTTCACCCTCTTTCCTCAGATGGCTGTTACATAGCGCTTGATTCCTCCGGAGAAAGTAAAACGGTGCACATGTACTGTCCCTAACTACCGTAACCCACCTAAGGTATACTTTGTATACTCTGTATAGTACAGATGGTCATTCCTGGAGCACATCTCCATCCGGCCATGGATCTCTGCCATAACCTAACCAGTATGATGATGTCCCAAGCTGCCCCTGAACGATCGTAACTGATCAAATCTATTGGGTATCTCCAAGCATCGCTGTGGTCGCAACGTAAGACTGGGCGGCCCGGGGAAGAGCACCAAATCCCGGGGATCCCAAAAGCGAAGAAAAACACCACCACCATGCAATGGACCATGTGATTGACGCAGCACTTTCCATCGTCCAGTCCCGATCTTTCATCCTTGTTCGGGGATCTGGACTCTCTCGCTGATCTCCCATATGCGACTCTGGTAGTTTTCTTCAATCAGATCTCCTTTACCTCCGGCCACCCGAAGAACCAAGTCATTCAGACTGCTTCGCCCAAGGATGTCGACGTGATCGCCGGTATTGGGGCCGCCTCGAGGATTGAACCTATCTGGCTCATGCGGCATTTCATAGGTGGTGACTTTGACTCCTGCAGGGTTATATCGTTTGATCTTCTTCCACCCTTTGGCGCACATATATCCTGTTGACAGGAGGTTCACGGTTCCATCGCCTTCCCCGAACACTACGCCGTGATCCACCGAGCCCGCGTCCTGTAAGCGCCCATTAGGCGACGTGATGGACGTGTCTATCGAGATATTGACATTTCCATGAAAAGGGTTCTCGTTGTTTTTGTAAAAGTAAGCTCTTTCCGTGGCCTTTCCGATCCCATAGAAGCAAAAAATCTTCAGGTCTGGCGCGTGAGGAAGTCGAGCTTCTAGTGGATTCAGCCAGGTTCGGGGGTCGTCTTCGTTCCTCTCAACCTCTGCCTTTGTGTGCGCCACTCCATGGGAATAAGACCCCTTGACCTGATTCTGGTACCATGGCTCGGTGATATTCATTAGGTACTCCATAGACTCCGTCATTGTCAGGTTCTTGCCGGGCAGCTTGGTCGAATTTTGCTTCGGTCCAAAAGAGAGGAATACGCCGTAACTGGTGTTTTGCTGTGACGAGGGTAGATCGTCTGGTGCCCATGTGCTGTTCCCCCAAACTGCCTCGCCACCTTTCGGCAACATCGAAGAGATCCCAGGCATGGCTCGAAACAGCTCTGCACGATCTTCTTTAGATAGAAATTTCTCCAGTCCGTAGACTGCAAACGCGTTTAACTGTGCTGTGTCCTTCATCTCTCCCGACAGAACAGCAGGAATACCCTTGGCGGTTCCAAGCATACATCCAGAGATGTTGATCCAGGAGTCGATATGATCATTAACCCATCGAGATCCCCCTTTACCATGATGTCTGTGCTCGACCCATTTCATGAAGTAGAACAGGACCTGACTGCCCATCGAGTGCGAAATTAGAACAGTCTTCTTACCAGATGTCATGTGCGCCACCTCGATATAGTTCTTCAGCCGGGTAAAATACTGATCGCGATACTCGAGGTTGAGATACGAGAGCCGCCAATCGTAGGCGGCCGTAAACGCATTCGTTGGGTCGTAGCCAATGGTCGCAAGATTCTCTAGGATCTTGTTCCATATCCAGTATCCAGTGATGAAGAAGTCGGTAGCGTCAAACCCCTGAGCTGCTCGGAGCTTGATTTCTGGGGGGTCGAGTCCTGTCTCCTTGTCCAGCATGATATGCCTTTTCCACAGCGCCTGATCCAGTACCAGTGCTCTCATCATCGACCATGATCCCCAGAGTCGTTTGCGGAAGTACGGCCTCGATTTCTCGCCTGTGGACCATGACTCCAGCCCGGTTGAGATCACTCCAGGAACCATGATCACTGGATGGTGTGCTCTGATACCCTGTGATTGCAAGTGTAAACCAACTGCGAATGAGTCGTAGTTGGCGGCTTCTCTTTCAGCCTTGGACAAGTCTTTGACATCTTTTACAATCCCGGCAGGGATAACATCCATCAAACTATCCAGATTGACATCCAACAGTCCTTCCAGCTTGATAACGTCTTGTGATTGAGCAAATATCAGGGCCAAAAGCAGGCCGAGCAGTCCCCCAAGTCCGAAGATAGCCCCGGTTCTTCTTTTGCTGCTCCCATGCTTTCTGATCTTCTCGAGCTTCTTTTTCGACACCACCTTGACCTCATCGTTGGGATCGGGGGTTGTATCTCGACTGGGGGAAGGAGATGGTGAATCTCGTAGGACGTTACCGATGCGGCGCCGGAGGGCAGACATGGCGCTGCTCTCCCACCCTAGAGAAGAAACAGTATTGGGGAACAGCAGAGCACAAGGGAGACTTGCATTGAGCCATCTACAGGCTCTTCGCAGGCTGCGTTCCGGATTGCTGAGTGTGCAAGTTCCACATGCAGTCTACTCACTGCCTGTGAAGTTGACACCCCGGGAGATCCGTCATTGGGCACTTTTTGGGGGTTTGGAGAAACCCACTACTGCATGTGCTGTCGTAACAATTGATCTTCAGGAACGCAGCAGAACTCACTCCAAAAGCGGTTTCATTCTTACGGACATTGATTTCCGCCATGATAGTTCGGTTTGGTCAGATCAATAGACCTTGACCTCAACTACCATGAGCAGCGATGTCTCACTGGCTCCGAATCCCGAGAGCAAGGTCGAGAACCCAAGTGCATATTTCCAAAAACACCCTCCCGGCATAACCTACGTCCAGTATTCTCTCGACAAAGAAACCGAGTACCTGCCCCAGATCCGCGAATTAATATCTAAAGACCTTTCCGAACCTTACAGTATCTATGTCTACCGATATTTCCTCTATCAATGGGCGGAGCTGTGTTTCATGGCATTGGACACCACGGACAACAACAAGTTGGCGGGCGTGGTAATATGCAAATTGGAACCGCATCGAGGCGGGCCCCTGCGAGGGTATATCGCCATGCTTGCGACTAAAGATAGTTTTCGTGGAAAAGGTATCGCTACGACCTTGGTCAGCAAAGCCATCGACCTGATGATAGAGAAAGACGCGGATGAAATTGCGCTGGAGACCGAAGAGACAAATACAGCAGCAATGAAGCTCTACGAGCGGCTGGGATTCCTTAGAAGCAAAAAGCTTCACCGATACTACTTGAATGGCAACAGTGCATATCGGTTGCTACTATACTTGAAGGAGGGGGTGGGAAGTATGCCAACCGACGAATACTCTTACGGTGATATTCCCTTCCACGGAGAGGATGACCAGGCCCACCAACATCAAGATGCTCAAGACATTTTCAGCCAAGGCATAGTCTGAATGCAGCGCTCTCCTGGCAGGACGTCGCAGGCCAAGATTCACCGCTCACGCTCAGAAGCTATACACGATCTACCGCCCAACGCGAAGAAAGATCTCTCGCGGAGAAACATTCGGCTCACCATCAGGACGCCCGGTTGGGGGCATCGTGACTGGCCACAGCTCCGATTAAGGCTGGACCCGACTATCGTGGATGAGGTTATCTTTCACGAGAACTTAACCCTAAGGCTGGATCAAGCATCCACAGCTTGTCTCCAAGCCAGGAACCATTTCATGATTTGAATGCGGGAGATATGTTCATAGACATCCACCTATCCATTCTTCCCATCGTCTTACTCCTTTCCCTGCTTCCTCTCCTTTCACCGCTCCACCGACCACATCAACGCTGATACCGTATTCATCTTCCATCAACTTGAAGGTGAACTTGTCTTCTCCGCCACCTCCAAGAACCTCTTCTTCGGCATCTGCGTCCGGCTCCTGACCTACGGCAGCAAGGCCTTTACTTCTTGAAGTCCTCACTCTTTCGATCTCTGTCTGAAGTCGTTCCTTTACAGCCCCGGGCGGCAGAGCCGTAAACAGATCTTGTTTGTTTGCGGCAACGAGCACTGGTATATTTGCCTTCGTCTTGCTTGAGGCCTTGCCGGTCTTCCGCTTCTGCAGCACAAGTAGCGTGTCATGAAGGTAGGCCGCAATATCGCGCGAAGAGGAGGACTCGCTTGAGTCGAGAACGCTGGCGTCAACCACAAAAAGCACTCCGCGAAGGACTGGGTTTTGGAGTTGCGATAGTGCTTGGTCGTCCCTCAACTTGCCATGACCAGGGGTGTCTATCATGACATAACGAGTAGGATGCTTGTCCTTCAGGGAGACATCATTGTCGGAGCGATATTTGTTCGATCCCAGAGGTATCGAGGAAGGGAGGAGTAAGCTGGCGCGCCATGGTACTTGCGATGTTCGAGTCGAAGAAGCGTCTGCGTTTTCTTGATCGGAGGACCGCTTTTGCAACTAGATCCATTAGCGACAGCTCATCAGCAGCCTCGAGAAGATAGAACATACTAGGGTTAGGAGTGCAGTCTTGCCTGCTCCGCTAGGACCCAGAAGTAAGAAGGTTGGTACGACTTTTGTACGTGCCGTCTGTGAGTAGAAGTAGAGATGCACGAGTGATGGAAGCGCAAGCACCACCAGGAAAGCAAGTAGGATCACAAGAGGATCACCGGAGAACAGCCTGGTGGCCCAGCCATCCGGCGATGACCAGCCCATTGTTATGAGCAGACTGATGTGTTCAAATTGGAGATCAGAGAACGCATGATTCTCTTGTCTGCAGTGTGAAGGTGGGACGGACAAGCATCTCTGGACACAAGTAGTACGTACGTGTACAGGTACGTATCGATAGAGGCTGAAGCGGAGTCCAGGGTGTGAGTTGCCTGGCACTAAGCGGCGTTTATTTATGGCCGCTGGGCAAATAATAACAGGCAGGCCCCTTAGGCTCCCTAGACTTTCTTGGGGGTGCCAGTCACGGTGTCCGCGTCTCTTGAATCTCACCAACTGCGCTCTTTGACCAACTTCAACCACCGCGACGGGATTCTGTCACTCGTTTCCTTCCTCTCGTCTTGTATCTGGAACCCGGGTTCTCACCGCGTGCACTCTTGTTTTTCTTCTGAGTCCGTCTTGCCGGAAACGCAAGTGCCCGGTACGATGATCCTACGGAGCCTCCATTTTCTGGCCGCCTTACTCCTGTCCTTCGCCCTGGCCGATGTACAAGTCACTGGGCCCGCCGCCGGAGATTCAATTACTGGACTCTCGTTGGATATAGAATGGAAGGACTCGGGAAAGACTCCTAAAATTGCAGATCTGGCTTCCTACCAGGTCTTCTTGTGCGCAGGTGGAAACTCGGACTCGAACTATGTAAGGAAGGGACCAGGCGTAAGATCAAACGGTGCGCCGGGGGCTGACAATACCAGATTCAACTTGCCACGCTTGTACAGAATGGTGACTTCGCCGACGGCAACCAAGTCACCGTCACACTCACCGCTGGTCTGGGGGCTGATGTGACAAACGCCTATTTCTTGAAATTCATTTCGGCAGCCACAGGAGGCACCGTCATCAACTTTTCAGACCGGTTCTCTCTGAAGAGCATGACAGGTGTATTCCCGGCGACAGTAATAGCAGGGTTGAAGACGGTTACCGGTACAGCTGGACCTGCGGACGTCAACAACATTCAAGCACCACAAGCGGGGGGCGGTCAAGACACTCCCGGTGTAGGAAACGATGCTCCAGAGTACAGTGTCCCATATACGCTGCAGACAGGAAGCATTCGCTACGCGCCAATGCCCCCTATGGCCAAATCCAAAATTACCGCAAAGGCTGCCTCTCGACAATGGCCCACAAGTTCGTATACCGTCTATCAGACGATCGCTGGACCGCCAAACGCGGCTACTACGCAGACAGCAACGTTGACATTCCAAACTACGAGCAGGGAAGCGACAGTAGGTTCCCACCGTTGATCCCGGGAAGATGCCACCAGTAAGCTGACAAGAAAACAGGTTGCTGCTGCAGGCCAGCCCAGCGACTCCGCAATGCAGAAGTTCCTGAACCGGTGGAAGGATTAATCATTACCACGGGCCTTGTATACCACAAAATGACATAGCATGTAAAGGGAGTTCGGGACGGCAGGGACAATTGAGTTGGGAATGGAGTTGCTGCTTTGGTCTGGTCTTCCATAGGGATATATGCCATGCACCCGTTGTGTATGTTCCGGGATGCGCCTCCAACACCATGCTAGAAATGAAAAACATCGTCAACACGTAAACCGCCCGTCATCGATATATCTCGTCGAAAGGTCTTGTGTCTCTAAAACAGCTGTCCCAGACCTCGTTGACTATCTTGGCGGCCTGCACATCGTCTTTGCAGTTTGGTCTCGACCTGACTGACAGGATAGCCCGGCGTCGAACACAGTCCTGGTGATGATTCGTAAAGGAGAGGACTCGATTGCGGAAGAACTCGTTCGACCAACGACATTCACCGCTGAGGTTGCTTGCTCTGATCTGTGTGTCTGTCAGAGACCCTCGAGCAAATCTCTATTGTATTCCAGTTTCACTTACCTCTGAGCATGCAGCATGGCGCAAATCATCCTCCGGGCTCAGATTCGTCTTGAACCGTAGATGGTCATAGGCATGGACCATCTCGTGAGTCAACACGTCTTCTAGCATGTTCTGTTTCTCCACCCAGTTGGCGCAGATCATGATGCCGTATTTATGATCAAACCCTCCAAGTTGACCGGTCTTGCAAGTCCGGCAACGTATGTTATGTGGTCCCAGATCGCCGCCCAACTTCTTGATGTTGTCGCTCATGTACCTGACCGCGGGAGAAAATTTGAGCAGGTAGTCTCGTTGCTTCTCGCATCGCTTGCAATCTATATCGCTGTAACGTTGGTCCGCGTCTTCCCAGTATAGCTTCTGGCCCTCCGGTGACATTTTGCCCGTGGCCATGCGGTAGAAGTTCTTGAAGCGTGCGGAGAGGGTGTTGCTGGGCTCGAAATCGGAGGCTGGCTTGGACGGGCCTTGGGATTCGTTCGATTCAGCCATGATGAGTGAAATAAAGCCACGTGGAATTAATGAGTGGACAAACAACCGGAAACTGTAACGGCGAAGTAGTCCTCTTTGCGAAAGACGACGGTTGACCAGCAAAGGTCGAGAGATCTCCAGTATCGGGAGATGTTCGGGGAAATTTCCTTTAATTTGTGCAACTGCGGCCAAACGCTAGAAACTCAGGCGCATTCCTGTTTCTGGATGAAGGTCCCGCCGCTCTAATGCACCCGATCCAAGGCTTGCAATGTCGATTTGCACACGACACTTATCTTCTCCAACCACACAACGGGCATCGTATCCTTGCTTATCAGGTTTATTTCCAGCTCCTCAAAGGGTCAAGGAAGAAATCACCGCGATGGGCTAGGCCCCAAATCAGATTGCGTCTGGGGGGACAAGATTGTCCCTATAACCTGTCTGGGATTATTATATATCCACAGAGTCACGCCTACCCCGGATTTCCCCAGTCTCACGCTCGCACCATGGTTGAAGTTTACGAGTATCACCTCAGGCCGACGGCCTTGGTTCCCAATTCCCCTCAGCCCCTCTTATTTTATAAGGGACTGATGTCCGAAGCCCATCGTGCCCCGGCGAAGATTCACGATCTGTTCGACAAGAACGAATGGGAGACCCAATGGATATTTCGCTATGGGCCGACTCAAGAATCTCACTATCATTCCTCCATCCACGAGTGCATGGCTGTTTTGTCTGGCAGCGCAACGATTCGATTCGGTGTCGCAGACACTGACAACGACCTTGAAAGGAGTACCTGGGGCGGTGCGAAGGAAGACGGCGGAGTCGAGATCGAAGCCCAAGCCGGCGATGTTTTTGTGATCCCGGCTGGTGTAGCGCACAAGACGTACAACACTAGCCCAGGTGCTCCCTTTTCCTTACTCACCCCTGGGACGGGACGTGGAATACACGCCGACAACGTCAAAGAGGCTTTGGAGAAGATCCAGCTTTCAGGATACACCATGATGGGCGCATACCCCAAGAATTGTGGTGACTGGGATTTCTCGGTGGGTGGTGATGATGTTGGGAACTTCGAGCGGAGTTGGACAGTCCCGAAGCCTGAGAAAGACCCTTTTCTAGGTAGCGCACCTGAGGGTCTATGCGGAGAGTGGAGGTCGATTTCGTCTTCCACGCTTGGAAGGAAACGCGCTGGTGCAAAGCAATAGCCTTAAGAAACGTGGGGGTGGCCGCCTCTATAATGTGATCAAGTGGAACTGAAATCACCTAGCACAACCTTGCAAGAATCATGAACTCGGCGTGCCCTAAGTAGTATGAGCATAGCCCTGAGTCTGCCAAAGGTCCTATACCTTGGCTCTTCGTTCCTAGATTTTGGTGTTTCATGTGGTCGGTAGGAGAATGCTCCAACCAATATGGATGCACGATCTAAAGATACTAAGCTAAGGACAGGAGGAAGAAAGAATGGTAGTGCGCGTGAGTGATGGAATACCCTTCGTGACGCTAAGTAGTACGAAGTCGCCGTGATAAGGCTGCGCGGGCGAGGCAGTGCGATAAGGCTACGCTCCGAGTGTGGACGGCCTAAATATTACCAATCACTGCAGTGATTGGACTAGTACTCGCACTGTTAGAGATCTTCATCTTCTCACGTTACAGGTCTTCACCCATGTAGGTGGTTCTCATGCTAACAAATCCTCAGGTGGATGGCGGGGCGCGCTCTCCTTGTAGTATAAGTGGGACAGCGGAAAGCAAACAGAGACTACGAGCAGCAGCCTGGTCCGACTCAACCTATCCCCGTAAAACAAGTGAGAGGTTCTTTTTGAACGGGGTACTTTGCTCGACGATATTCAGAGGAGGCTTGCTGTTCCTGCCGGCAGTGCGGCGCTCGTTTGAACTTGGATTCGGTGGAACTGGATAGGTCCTCTCAGCAGAAACGAAGTAAGTGCGCATTCGGCTGATTTGCGAACAGCAAATCACAACTTGTCGTCGAATATGCTGATCAACTTCGAGAGAGAGCGACCGCCTGCAACATGGTTGTTCTGGATCCGAGAAGCTGAGAATGCCAGTGATACAGTCACAAGATGGTGCTGGGAGGCTGGAGCGTTCGTTCATCCGGTTTTCTCGCCAGCTATCTAATTGTGAATTGCCCCAGACTGGACGCATTGTTGACAACTCAGCAAGTGGTGTGATCCTAGTCACATCCCTTATGCGAATCTTGACCTTGCAAAGGCACTGTTGTCTTCTGTCTGGACAGAGATCCTTGCCTGTTCTGCAAAATCATCTTGCAACCTCTAAACTTCACACCCCAATCTACGTTGTCAGCATCCCCGATTTCAAATATCTGGCGCTGAAGGCATCACTGCCATCAACATGTAGTTGTTTGGCGCTTACGTCGACATTGCAGAAAGGATTATCGACATCAAACCCAAATCAGGTCTGTCAACACAGTGACAATAGAGATTCTGGCAAGGTCCATGTGACCACGTCAATCGATTCTCATCAGCTTGCTTGGACGCTACATTCCTCGTTGTTCTCGGTAGAACCGGGGTCGTGGACCCGTCCTCCTCGATTCTTTGGCTGCCATGAGATCCTATTGTTGGATGAAGACGAATCAAGCTTCGTGTCGACGCTTGTTGCTGTCTCTGCCAGTGTGGCTTGCTTAAAGCGATGTCTTCGTATACATAAGCGAAGTGACCTCTGGGGCGCACATTGCAGGTCCAGACCAGTTCTATCTGGAAACATAGCCATCGTTCAAGGAGCGTATATTGCAGCATGCGGGCATCATTTTCGCTGCCGTGTTTACTATCACGGCTGGATGAGTTCAAGTGTGGCGACTTGACTCAACATGGCCGGCTGAGCTCAAGTAAACCCTTCTCATTGATCCGTACGTCGGCGTACATTGCTGACAATGGCTGCTCTGAAGTGCCGATGAGATACTTGTCCTCCGAATCCTTGTCTCCGATGACTTTGTACACCTCCTCAATGCTCATCGTATTGTTCCAGCTGCGCCGTCTTGCCATGTATTCAGCCTTTCTGAGTGGCCGGCTGAGCTCAACATGGCTGGCTGAGCCCAGCTTGCATCCAGAATCCTTCCTACACGGCAAAGCGGGGAAAGCTCGTGTTCCAAGGCTTCCGTCAAGAAAGCTTGTTGACAGTAGCAAGAATGCGGAGGCGGAGGAAGAGCGTGACGGCCCGTATAAAGCTGCAGGGCTTCATGTTTGGTAGTGGAGCACGAACGAGTCTAAAGCAACCACACGATCGACGCCCAGAATCATTTCTCAAGCTTGTTTCTACATCAAGACTTGATACCCTAGCTAAATGATATGTGGCTGGCTGATGTCTGCATCGATGCTCAGTTGCTCACCTTTCATTGGATGCGAGTCCCAATTCGAGGAGGATCACATCTCCCTCTGCTTCAAGGGAGGCGCATCCAGTGTGGATCGTCTATATACATCAGCTGCATGTTTTTGTAGTGCTGAGAGAGAGCAGTCCACATGCGCTGCATATAAGCAACGGCTCCTCCTCCAGACTCGACTACTGTTTTGATCTTGTGTCTTCCCAAGCAACAAGCTACAACTATTCAGAATTGACCTGCCACTGCGAGATCACCATGTCGACCAAGGTATGCATAGTTTCCCAATGGTTGACAGTGCAGCACTAACAGCATTGTTCTAGAAACTCATCACCTCTGCTCAAGGCTACCTAGCCAAAAGTAATGTCTTCTTCATGGATCAGAAGACGAAAGCTATCCGAGTGTATATCACCCAAGAGGAACCAGAGGTTGAGGATGATAGCGCCAAGAACTACACTCAAGACTTTGTCACTGTCGACGTTCCAGACAGCAACAAACCCCAGAGAATCACTGTCACCTCTCCAGACATGTCTGCCATTGCTTGGCAAATTGGCGATGATCCTGGTACGACCAATGTAAGTTGAGTCGATTGATGCTCCACAGAGCAGATTCATCAACTAATACTGTGCGTAGACCAGGCTGTACTACGCCGATGCAGACAATACTTTGCAAGAGTTGTGTCGTGACACTGACAAAGCCACCTGGTATCGTGGATCTCTTGGGAATACCGTGCGGGTGAAGTGCATGCAGGATACACCAATTGATGCTCACATCAATTACTCAAGTCAGCAGCTCAAAGTCTATTCATACAGTCCAGAGAATACGACTACGCCGACAGTCACTTGGACCACCGTGAATCAGACGAACTGGCAGTCTAAGCTCATTGTCAAGTAGAGCGATAGACGTTGTTCGAGAGATATGTACAGCGCGCGAGTCGCTATCAGGAGAGTGTTACCGAGATGACTGCAACATTGGAGACGCGCTTCATCTTGCGCGGAGGGCCTACCTTACATGAGATTACATCTCCAGTCTTTCCCAGCAGTCCCAGTCTCGAACGTTGGTTTCCCAAAACTGTGCCCTCCCCGATGGTCTTGTAAACTTTCTATATTATCGTAGAAAACGAAGCATGGCGTGAGCATTCGATGGCAGTCGCGCCCAGAAATGGGACTGAGCACGGCTGATGAGAAGGATGAAGGTGATGAGCGGCCGCCTGAGCAGGCTTAGAATAGTACTTGATGAAGTCGATGGGTTAGACAGCAGCGTCGATCTCTCCGGGCTACCAGCGGCGTAGGTCTTCGGTAGTGACGCTCAGTCACGGGGTCTTTATCTGAGGGAAGATCTTGTCATCCCCCGTTGGCTTCTGGGTGGAGCGGCTCCAAATGATTGTTGACGACATGCGAGGTTCGGTTGCTGTTTGATCAGGGCAACAACTCATCGTCAACTCGTGTGTGAGCAGACCAGTAGCTAGAATCAGGGTGCCACGGACGCTAGCTGAATTCGTTCCGTGTGATGTTAGTTGACTTGTCCCTTTTGAAAACACATCGCACTTCCCAAATCAAAAGTTGCCCTTACAGCGATGCCTCCATCATCTATCTATCTCAGCATCATCTGCTCCAAGGGTGCCGACGATATCTATCTGCTTGGAACAGACGATCCTCGAGTAAAGCAAACCTAAAGGAGAGAGATCTCCTGCTAGACCACAACATGGTTGCCCTTGAAGATCGAGTCGTCGCTGTACCTGGACAGGGGGACGAGGCTGAGTTTTTGCACTACTAAGCCGCGCTTAACCTATCAAGGAAGGGTCTCAAAGCGGCAATGTCCCACCATCCGGATCGGCTCGCTCCATGCCCTTGTCCGCAATTAGCCCCACTGTTTCAACCTTATCTTGGAAGGCCCCATTTTTAAGTTGTCGTGGATATATTGAGGATCAACTTCTCTGTCCAATCCGGCGACAATCTCGCCTCTTTCAGAAAGATTGGTTATTCCGGTTCAGCTGAAAAGAAGAGCACCTGTGTAAGGAAGCCGCAGAGCGGGGAGGGTGAAGGCCGGGTCCACAAACTAGCCTCAAATGCCTGTAGGCGTTGTCGAAGACACAAGATCAAGTGCTCAGGCACCAATCCTTGTGTGGCGTGCCGCTCGAAACTGTTGAAATGTGGATTTGCGTCTGGAGACAAGAATGTGGCTATTTCTGAAACGTGAAGTGGAAACTCCATTTCGTCATCCACACGACTGATTTCGTACCAGCGTTCTCGAAGATCTCAGAAGCAAATTGGATAGGCTTAAGGACTAACAGAAGGAACGGCAACAGCTACATGCATCCTCCTGCAACACTCTCACGGCCGTCTCCGGGCGGCTATGTTGACCTAGTTGATACGGCTGTATTGCCTGAGGGAACAATCAGTTCGGAACCAAGTGAGGTATCTATTCCGCTCGTGCCTGAGCAGCCGGCCTTCCTATCCGACAACTGCGGAAATCCGAAGCCTGAGATATCTTGGCCATACGTCGACATGGTCCTTCGGCTGACAGGTCTTGCGCATGCGCAATTTCTCGCGTAGGTTGACTCCGTCCCGACAGTAATTGGAAACCCGGCGCTTGGCGAGGTTTCGAGGCCTGTTGCACTGACTATAGCGTCGACTGGCCTCCGCACGCCGTCAACAGTAGCAACCGCGTATTCCTCCACGCTCAATATTGAGTCACGGATCACGTTGACATTGGCAGCCGTGAGAGCTTCGAGATATCCCGGTCTGGGCGTCAGTCCCTTGCACAGGGGAGGAAAGTTGGGGATCAAGTGCTCGGAGATATCTGGTTTGGCGGGAAGCCTTTGTCTCATGTTCTTCGCGTAGGCCTTTCGAGCGGCGGCCGGCCAGATACTGTTCGTCTGAGTGCTCTCGTGGTTTCCCTGGAGGCGGAACTCAAGCGACTTTTTGTAGGCCAAGTTCTCATCCCAGTTTTGATTCCAGTGCTCCTTCTCCTGCTCGGAATAGACAAATTTGGTCGAGCCATCGTCGGAAACACGATTTTTCAATATGTATCCACTGAACTGGTTCGAAACCCAGGTCTTTCCCCGTACGTGATGGTCCCTGCCTTTGACCGGTGACAGCAGTACAGGGACAACCTGGGTGCCGTTGCTCGCTGCTCCTATCACAGCCACTCTCTTGTCATTTTCCTTGAAGGCCAGCTTGCCTATTTCCATACCAGGTTCCGCCTATTTCGGGGTTCTTCTCGTAGATCACCAATTCAGGGGATGGAATAGTACGTCAGAACTCTATTGCTGCAAGGCTGCCTGAAATACCCGCGCCAATGTAAATGGTTTTCAATGCTCTTGGTTTAGCGATTGCTCTGTTTTGATTGTGAGCTTGTTCAGCCTTTGGAGGTGTGCACTCTGGCGCAATTGAGCCCATGCTGACTCGGCTTGAAGACAGGTTCGTGAGTTGCTACATTTATCTGCGAGTAGTCTTGGATGAGCCTTTCGAAGCATCCTTCTATTTTAGCTCCATGTTGGTGTTGTCGGATGAAGGCCCGGTCTAGCCGCCAACAACCAGTGATCCTGAGAAGGGGCGGTCAGCCCTATTCCTTGATCGAATACAAGATTTGGCCTTCAGAAGTGGTTGCATCCGGCGCTCAAGCCCGGTCCAGTCGCATGATTCCCACGGTGTCAATATGACTGTGTTGGATCTTTGGATCTTGTCCTAACCTGAGTTCCGAGGCCTGGACCAAGGCTCGGATCAGAAGCCGATATTCGAGGTATTGATCTCAAAAAGATATCCGAGACGTCTATTCGGGTCTTTGCTAGCCTTGCGAGGCTCGGTCATGGGTTCTGTAAGTTGTAAGTCCCATCAAGCAAAGCCACATCAATGGCGTCCTGGCGAATGACGGAGGTGTCTCGTTAACTAGCAACCCCATGCACCCCCTTGTCATTAAATTGATAAGTCATCAGCATCTTTGTATCGCATACCGGATGCCATGACTTGAATCCTGATGAGGGGAGCCGCGGTGGCCCTAGATGCAAAAGATAAGATAAGATAAGATAGTGAAGTGGAAATCTCCATCCACTGCTGCTTATGTGACTGACACGTGACCGCGTGTAACTTTTGACGGAGAAAAATGACTGGAACTTTGAAGATTCGCCCTGCAGTTGACATTGTCTTCTATCACGAAGGGCGCACTCCATCGTGACCAGTCATACATTTCCGCATCTCGTCAAGATGCTAGGTGGTGCTCAAAGCGACTCGTGGCAGTGTACATATACCAACCGCGGAAGATGAAGCCAGGAAAGCATTTGACGATTGTCATCAAAATCGGTAGAGACCAATGTGCCATGTTGCAAGCCTGGGCAGGAAGAGACTCACAGTTGTGATAGGGACATCCTCGATTGTCGACGAGATCACACATGAACCCATCCTATCGATTCTGTCGTTGATCGTCGAGACGGCGGTCAGACTACGGCGAGATGGACATCGAGTGGTCATAGTCTCTTCAGGGGCCATAGGCGTGGGCCTCCAGAGAATGAATATCCCCAAACGACCTAAACACCTCGCACAGGTTCAGGTACGGTAGACACTGCACTGCTAGGCCTTAGAAGCCTCGCCGCTTCGGTGTGCACGTCTCTCGCTTACCTTACTTACACAATTTTCTGTAGGCTCTCGCTGCCATCGGCCAATCCAGACTCATGTCAATCTGGGACTCGTTATTCGCACACATGAACCAGCCTGTGGCTCAGATCTTGATCACGAGGAACGACATCGCCGACCGGTCACAGTATCTGAATGCACAAAACACCCTGGCTGAAGTCCTTTCACTCGGCGTCATCCCAATCGTCAACGAGAATGATACCCTCGCCGTATCTGAGATCAAGTTCGGCGACAATGACACGCTATCCGCGATAGCCTCTGCAATGGTCCATGCAGACTATCTATTCCTCATGACCGATGTGGACTGCCTGTACGACAGGAACCCGCGGAAATTCCCCGACGCCAAACCCATTCCCGTGGTCGATGACATCGATGCTTTACATGCGGACGTCTCTTCAGCCGGTTCGGCCTTGGGAACGGGAGGCATGGCGACCAAGATTGTCGCGGCCCGTCTCGCAACAGCCGCAGGCACGTCGACCATCATCACCAAATCCTCGAAGCCCGGCAACATCGCCGCCGTCATTCGTCATCTCCACCCACCCGTTGACGCAGATACTGGCGCTGCGCACGAATCATCCAGTCCTCCTCCACTACACACACGCTTCGTCGCGTCAACTACGCCGATCCGCAACCGCGCATTTTGGATTCTGCACGGCCTCGCACCCCACGGAACAATCTACGTCGATCGCGGCGCAAGCCAGGCGCTGGCGAACAAAGCCGGCCTATTACCCGTGGGAGTGGTTGGGGTAGAAGGCACTTTCGCACAGCAGGAAGCGGTGCGGCTCGTGGTCGTCGACAAGCAGCCGCTCGGCAGTCTGTCCCCGACGGGCGATTCGACCAGCGCTTCCGCTGTGCTGCAGCTTGTCCAGCGCGGCGAGGAGATTGGCCGAGCCGTCGTCAACTACTCGTCCGCCGAGATTTCTCGCATCAAAGGCCTGCGCAGCTCCGAGGTCAGAAGCGTACTCGGCTACGCCGACAGCGAGTATGTTGCCTTCCGCGAAAACGTCAGTCTCCACGCCGCTGCGGACAAGAGTCACCCGGGTACGCCTAGCGGCTTTGGCACTCCGAACAAGGAGGGTACTCCCGAGAATAGTCTCGCGGATTTGCGCATTGGGCAGTGAGCGACGATATTGTGCCCTCTTGTCTACACCAAGATGGTAAATCTCGTTCTGATAATATCGCAAGGAAAGCCTTATGAGCCCGGATAGAGGCGCGAAAACGGCCTTGATTCTTGCCATGAATTTGTATGTGCTGTGGCAAACGAGTGGACCAGATCCCGAAAAAGAAGCCATACAGCAAGCACTCACTTCCCGATGCGTTCCTCACAGATGACGCTCGAGTACCGAAATAGTCCGCAGTTTGAACTCCCAGGGTGGCCGCCTTAGCGGCCAAAAGATGCCCCAGAGAATCTCCCGCAACCTCCATGCACATACCAGATACAAGAAGTCGAAAACCACAGATAGAAACAGCGAACGCAAAACAACAAGAGTCGCTCTGGGGAGCCAGCGAACGTTTCTACTTCCTGTCACTCCAATATACGTCCGCAACACCTTAGACGGCGCCGAGAGTGCTCCTAATCGTCGCTGTTGAGACCACATTTTGTTCGACAGGCGTCAGACCCGTCCTGGCTTCCAGTGCCAACTGCCGGGATCAGCTGCGCCGTAGCATTCCAATTCCCATTGCTTAGGTTGATAAAGGGCATAACTTGCATGCCTATCTCTTGTGGCATCATGAAGAACGATTGCGCCAGGTTCAAGGTGCCGGGGTCTCCGCTGTCGAGGAAGGAATAGAGCTGGTTGCTTTCACAGCCTTGGAAGTGCATCAGTGATGAAGACCGCTCTGCGAGGATTGGGGAGGCTTACCCATGTTGTACATGGAATGCACACTGCCGAGTGGGAACATGGTCATCATGCCCGGGGTGAGGATCTGCTCGATGAGCCTGGCTCCGTTCTCCTGGACCATATATGTATGAGTTGATCCAGTCACTGCCACCACAAGATTGTTGGCCCGATGCAAATGGGGTGCCAGCATGGCGCAAGGCCCGAGGTTTAGCTGTGCCACCGTCACGCCAAAAGTCGACAACAGCGGCCACGTAGCAGCGTTGGCATTACAGACACTGCCCGGTTTCCAGGAGTACATGGGGTTGGCAGAGAAATTGTAAAGAAGTTGATCGTCTGAGAGCAGATTCAGCCGGTCAATCATTGTCGCCGCCGTTTTCAGCTTCGCCACCAGCTGCGCATCGACTGTCTTGTCAACGGCGAAGGTTGGCGAGACGAAGAGTACAATCGTCGAAGCGACGCCAACGCATGCGGAGAGGAACATCATGGGTCTTCGCCGTCGGAGAAAGATGTAACTGAGGTTGAAAGTCGCAATGGTCGTTAAGGTTGTGGCAAAGATCAGCTCTGGTCGTGGTAGTTCTTCCAATGTGTCGAATGCGGACAGTGTCCTTTGAAATATCTTGCTCCAGTCTCTCCACTTTACAATGGTAGAGCAGAACCAGGAATTTGGGTCGGGATATGACACAGACATGGGGTGGATTTATGGGCTTTCGAGACTTACCACTTCCCAGCTCTTTGAGTCTCGTCCCGACTTCCTCGTGGCCGTGGATGGTTGCGAAGAGCTGGAGTTCGGTCCTGGCAAAAAGTGGCATAGACGGGACATTTCTACTGGGATGGTGAGGGACCACAAGCTTTCATTGGCCGTCTTTGTTCCCTCCTCCTCCTCCTCGAACATAGGGATTTCACTGGCATCAGGTCCAGATGTCCTTGGGGTGGGCAACCACCAAGGCAAATCGTGTATTGCGCTTCATCGCACGGATCGTACCCTGTTTGGAGATGAATGACAAACTGTCTTTTAGCCTGTTTTTCCTGTAGACCAGATCCGACCGGCACGGCGCCAATGGAGCAATCGCCATGCCTGAATGCAACGAGCCTGTCGGGTATCAGCATTGTAGGGCATCTTGCTGGTTCAAGAGCCCCGAGGAAGATGGTATTTCCACGGGGTCGGAGATGGTCTCGTCTCACGATATCGCCGTGAGACCAGGACACATCATCCAGCTAAATGACCGTGTCAACGAGACTTGCCCAATCTACCAACCAGTCCGTCCCTTATCGAAGGGCCAGCGACGGACTCGTGCCCAGGTATCACCATCTCAGGGCGGTAGACAGCGCAGGACTCGGGCGATAGAGGAATTGAAATTGTAAGATACTTTGCATGATTTTAAATCCTCGTTGAAGGTCTCTCGGGTACACACCCCTTGGAAGCAGTTGTGGCTGTACACTGCACGATGGACAAAGTGACGTGGAACTGGCACTCAACGAAGATGATCGCAACCTGATTTCCCGTGTAGCATTCAAGTCAGCGGCGAGGATTCAGGTTGACAAAGGTTTGCAAGTCGTGTGCGATTGCACGAGAGCATGGAGAAGATGGCAAGTGACTACCAAGGTAAGAAGGCGGTGTGGCTGTCTGTCTGTCGTGGAGGGTTCAACTGTAGATACCTCTTCACGTCGACGGGCTGGTGAGCGTCCAACCGATCTTCGATTGTATCTGCACATCCCTGTGCTACCCTGAGTATGTGCGAGAGAGCACTGAAGGGATGTCTTTGCATCTCGAGTCGAGCCTGTTCGTGTTCCAAACCGCAACAGGGTATGGTCGGACCAAAGATCTCTGCACTACCTGAAAATACCTTCCAGAATAGCAATCCCGCCCTGCATCGATGGTAATTGTCATTCACCTGGATATCTGCATGCGACAAGCAAGCGGAGTGGGAGGTTATTGTCGTCGCTACGATTGTGTACCCAGCCGAGGTTGGCTCGCTTGACAGAGGTTTTCCGAAGAGAGCCCTCCTCCCTGTCCCGAGGGTTCGGCCGCATACCTAATGTCAGCAATTCCAAAGGGCGAAGAGGATTCAAGTTCGAGCCAGGATCCTCGCACGTATAGGGGCCGTTGGCTCGATCTTGCCGCAGTTTGCTATTCGCTAGGTCGATGTCGAAAGTTTTGACCAGGAGAGAAGCTTCCTTTCCACGAGCGTGCCTCTGCGAGAAAACATTTCTTCAATTCATAAAACATTCCAATAGGTCTGCCCTCGACGCTACTACCGGGTAGGTATCCCCGGACCGGTCTCGACAGGCTGCGGCACGATATTGTACCTACCTAGGCATCGGCAGGGATACAGGCTCAAGGTATCGGCATAATATGGATGGGTATCGATGGACCCAGGGAGGCCAGGGAGGCCAGGGACGGTATGTCTGTTCCCCGCAAGGAGCGATAGGGTATCGGACGGGGAAAGAGACAGAGAGAGAGAGAGTACAGTGAACGAGAAGGCTTGCCCAGATTGACCCTGGCGGGTTCTTTAACACACCGACGAGCAAGCGATATGTATGGGGCGTAGTGCGGACAGGAAAGAGAAGTGTGAGACTCCTTTACAACGCGCGCTAGAGGTGGACGAAGTTTTGGGAGTAGTAACGGGCTGAGGCCGGGAGTTTCGAAGAACTTGACTCGGTATCAATTGATGGTATGGCGTATGGCGTATGGCGATGATGGGAGACGGCGAGACGGTTAGACGGCGGTCCAGTGCTTTGGAGGGGGTGGAGGCTAAGGGAGGCCCTAGGCATGGGAAATCAGGGGTTGAGTCTCTTGTTGGTTGGCTGTGGCTTGTTGTGGAGGCACCAATGCAGTTTGGTGCGTGTCACGAAAATGTGCCTGCGCTCCGCCTGCGCCTGCGCCTGCGCTCGTTTTCTTGGATCCGAGAGTCAGGGATGATCGCAGCCTGTGTGTAGAGTTGCAGTCCGACTTCGCCGCCGCCCACGACGACGACGACAACGACGACGACGACGACCACTACGACCGTAGCCACTGTTGGGGTCGGTCAGTTCAAGGTTCTCATCGGTAGTCGTAGGACGCACTATCACTACGTGAAAGGCAGGCAGGCCAGCCATCATCACCACCATCACTATCACCACCACGAACCCCCCGATCACAAAATCAACAGCAACACCAATATCAATATCACCCTGCCTGCGCCCTACCCTCGCATACACCGAGATCCTTCGCACAAGTAGTCCGTCGACTACTGTTCAGCTCGCTGGCCCTCTCTAACGCTGCTGGCATTGCACGCTCCCTTCCTCACCCTCGCCCGTGTCTCCCTCCCTTCGAACCCACCCTACGAGCCAGCGGCTGGAGCAACCTGTCATCCCTCAGTTTGCCCGTCAGTGGTGCACAGGTCAACTCTCTACACCCTCAATCAAAATCTACGCACGAAACGTCGAACCGAACTCGACGCTGACCGGTTTGTCGACAGTCCTCCACCAGTCTGTTCGCGATACTCCTGTTGCTGTGTCCTCCAGAACGCCTGCGCTGCGCCCATCAAGTTTCTTACACCGCAACGCTCTACCCCTTGAGGCGCACGTAATCACGAAAGACTTGCTTAGGTCTCTCCTGTCGCAGAGCACGATCAGCGTCTCCCAACTTTGTTATCTGGGGCGGCGCCGTCTCTACGAAGGCAAAAATACTCCATGCTCGGTATTCGTCAGAAGCTCAGCATTATGTCTGGTTGATCAACGCCATGTTCTGGCCCGAAGTCACATCTGGGGTATTGAACCACTCGAAACCGAACCACGGTCTATACACGAAGGGTCTATAACCAACATCGCAGCGGGCCTCAGATCTCGCTTTTCCAACGCACGCGCAAGGGCGATAGGTTTCTTTCCTTGAAGAGGGGGGCATTGCTCCGGGGATACACAAGGCCACCCTGCCCTTGCACACAAGCTTGGTCTTGTTGCAATCTCGACCGAATCGGCATCCTGTCTGAGGATCTCTTGATTCGTCGGTCTCCCACGGAACCGGAGAGCAGACAGCTGCAGGTCCAACCTGCAGCATCCTATTACCGGCAAGACTGCAGACCGTTGGAGATCTTCGTACATCGCACTCTGCATCTGCAGTGTAGCCACCGCGGCTTGCCCCGACATTGGCCAACGACCGATCGCCCGCTTCCAAAGCCGATGTACCTTGACAACCATCCTGGTATTTGATCACATCGCCATCTATCCTGTCGGGGAGGATGAGCGCCCTCGCGGCATCTGCCACTTATGACAGAAGAGCCTCAAGGTCGAATCTTTCCACGGCATCTTCGGTGAACACCATTCAAAAGTTTGCCTCAGTCACAGTTAGGTCTGTTTCTCAGAATGCTCCGTTGACAAGAAGATCGAACAGTCCTAACAGTACGCGCTCCGGTGCTTTTCACGACCGCAACGATAGAAGTCGCTCCAGAAGTCGACCCGAGAATCGATTCGAGCCCAGGCCCCAAGGCCACAATTTGAATATTAACCGTTGGTCACATTCGACGTCTTCTAGTGTTTCAGCGATCGACACCGAAGCGATCCGTGCCCGGGTGAATGCCTCCAGTAGACGGATGAGTTTGGCTTCTTCCTCGGTCTCTGCCGCTTCTGAAGGACGAGCGCCAGAATCCGCCATGCACTCCAGGCCTTCGAGTCGGAGTCCTGCGAGAAATGCCCGTACGGCTTCACGACACCTCCGAGTGGACCAGAGTTATGGTTCTCGGGATATCAGCCCTGTGACGGGCTCACCTCTCACGCCTACATCCATGTTCAATCCGAGCGCGGGCGACTTCCTCGGTGAGACGTGGCAAAGTCGTAAGGCTGTGAAGCCTGGTGACTCCGTCGCGATGTCAATACATTATATGAGCGCCGGATCACAGCCACGTCTTGAAGCTGCTGACAACGCTGCGTCGCAGTACGCCAGCCAAAGGACACGGCCGAGCACTCACGAAATACTACCCGAACCGCAAGACGAACGAGACGCCGCCGACCCGGTGACGTCCACTGTTTCAGCCAGAGGACGAGGCCATCGAAGTCCGACTCAAAAAACTATGCTATCGAAGGCATTGGGAAAAGCTAATACCGCCGTCCTACTGGACAATGCCCAAAACATTGAAGGCGCCATAGAGGCCTATGCCGAGGCATGTGATCTTTTGCAACAAGTTCTGGTGCGCAGCTCCGATTTGGATGACCGGAAGAAACTGTCTGCCATCAGAAGCACATATTCGAATCGGATAGCAGAACTTCACGATCTGGATGATACCTTCTCCGGTTTGATGGAGAAGGCTCTGCCTGAAGATCCCCCTTTTGACGAAACAAATCAATCTTTTTTTTCGAGCGATGGCGTCGAACCAGATACGGCGAGTGTGTTGGAAACAGTCCACATTCCTCCCCGGCAAGAATCGCTGTTACCTGAGATATTCGGTGGTGAATCATATCTCAGCGAATCACTCAATCGCGGAAGGTTACAGATACCGAGTCTGGTTATTCCTATGGAGACACAGTACATGCCACGGCCACTATCCCCCAGGAGAACAGCATCTCCCGCGTCTGGTAGAGATCTCAGCGTACCGCCCGCCTCCACGACGGTTACAGACTTGAGCAATGGTACACTCCATGCACGCGAAGATAGTACTGAATCAACTTCCTGGTTGGACACCCTCGAGGACGGTGATTCTTCGTCTAGATCGTCTCGGCTGTCCTCGATTGATTTTGGGATCCGGCAAACGCACAATCTTGTTGGTGAGATTGAAGCGGAGTTCGATGCTGCCCTTGACGCTGCTGTCGACGCAGCATATGACGACAGCCTGGCTGAAGAGCCCACGCCCAGGCCCGACAAGAATGGACAGGATTTTGGCGGAGAATCCAGTGATCCATCCGCGGCTTTCCAGCCAGATCTCCAGCCACAGTCGTCTTTGGGCTCCGCCGATCTTGATTTCACTCGAGAGTACAATGACGGGAACTCCTCCGACGAAGAAGATCGACTGCTGGAGGAAATGACAAAAGGATACACCTTTGATCGCTTCTCCTTTGAGGACAGATCCAAGTCCGCTCTCCCTCGGCAGTCCGATTCAAGTACGTTTTCCGGTCAGACTTGGGCGAGCTCCTTTCAGTCAACGACTGCGACGAATGCCGGTAACTTGGGTACATTGGCAGAGTCTCATGAACCTTCGCCGGAAGACCCCCCCCGACCAACCCCGCCAGCTAAAGATACGGGCTTGACATCACCGCGCCAGAGAGCGCTTCCTCCTACCCCTTCAGCGCCTCTTCCAGCTCAATCTGCTCGAGGGACCGTCAGTACCGAAAAGTACGGTGGCCTCGGCCTTCGAGAGAGGAGGTTTTCAGGTCAAAGCGGGAAACAACTGAAGATCGATACATTTACCCGGCGGAAATCTTCGAGCTTTCCAGCCAACCCTACAGGCCATGCGTGGATCTTGCCAGGGCTGGAATTCTCCACGGATAATCGTCCCAAAGTCCCTCAATCAGCGCCTCTCGATCGTTCCATCATGTCGATGGCTATCAACGCTCAACCTGTTACATCTGTGGCTTCGATGGCCTCGGCTGAGTCTGTGCAGGGTGAGTCTGAGTCTCCTGCAACTCCCGCCATGACCCAACGTCGATCGCAAGGTAGTATCGATGACTCCTCGGTCATGCCGCCGCCGACGGTCATGAGGAAGAATTTGTCCTCCTCGAGCCTGAGAAGGAGGAACCTATCAGTTGCCACAACCGAAGTTAACAGCGAATCCCCTAATACGCCGACAAGTACTAGCTTTGTCGGTGAAACGAAGAAGGTCGTGCCGCCGTTGCCCTCAGCGGCGGCTTTCGGCCCCCACCTCCTTCAGACAGGAGGGTTTTATCTTTTCGACGATCATCTGGGATCTCCCACATCTCCAAGTCCTCCCCGAAGCCCGGGTGCTCAGTCCTTCGCACCTCGACCGGAACCTCTCGAACCCTGCCCTGAATCGAGCTTGCTCCGGCCCTTTTGGCTAATGCGATGTCTGTACCAAACGTTGGTTCATCCAAGAGGTGGATATATTACGACTAAACTTTTCATTCCCCGCGATATCTGGCGGGTCAGAAATGTCAAGCTGAAAGCTATTGACGATAAAGTGTCTCAGTGTGACCTGCTGACTGCCGCCCTCTTGAAGTTGGGCAAAGTCGACACGCTTGATGCAGATGCCGTGCTCGAAGAGTTACAGTTACTTGAGGTTGTCCTCGACCAGGTCCGAGTGACCTTGCAGAAGAAGTTGGGCAGCGAGGTGGGGTTTTCGGGATCATCCAGCCTCTTCAAAGCCACCGGGGAAGACCATGATGCACCTTCGACAAAGGCAAACAACACAACTGCCAAATCTCTGGCTTCAAGTTGGCGGAAGCTTCGCTCCAAATCCAGCGCTCCTGCGGTCGGACATCATCATGTGCAGAAGGATGTCGCGGCGCATGGGCTGACCATGCCTTCATTGCCGATGACCTCCTCCTTCTCGTTTCATTCGTCGCGGTCGCATCTGAACCGCAGGACCACTCCACCTCTAACGCCCACGCAATTGACCAACGTGCCGCCCGTTCATGCCTCTTACATGTCCAGCCTGGCTCGTCTGTTTGACGCCGTTCAAGTCTTGGACGGCATTGCTCGTCAGGTGGAAGACCCGGGCTTGAAGTGTAGCAGCAAGACCCAGGTCGGCTTGGAACTGGGTGTCAAGAACGCAGCGGAGTTCTTCGCCTTCTATGTCATCCGTTTCGTCATGACTGACCTGACGCTGCTGCTCGATAAGTTTCTCAAGAGAGGGACAGAATGGGTTCTGACCTAATTGGGTTCCTCACTTAACTTTGGCTGCTCGACGATTTTGACGCCCCTGTCTCTTGTTCTGTTCGAGCTCGACTATCCATGACGTGCATTCCTCTGGAGGCATCTTTCCCAGAGATGTCCGCGGAAGAGGCATGCAAGTCTGGCCGGTTGGCAATGATGTTCTGTTGTTTCAGCGGCATTCTAGCGGGCTGCTTCACCTGGTCTGAATCTGAGAAACAGCCGGCTTCACGTTTTCATCTCATGTGTGCGGGCCGGTACAGGTGAAGTCCGCATGCGTTACTAGCGGGGCGGTTTCCTTTTCCATGGCTCGCTGTGGGTGTCGGACCTTGCTGCTGGTCGGGCGTTCACTGTGTTCCAAGGGTCTTTGATACCACTCGTTTGCTTTTGTCATTGTTGTTGCTATGATGGTATCGTGCTTACGAGTCTTCCACGTCAAAGGGACGTCAACTCCGACAAATCTGTTATTATATGCTACGTATCGAGAACTTAGATGGTGATGGATCGCTTAGCGGATGCGATGGACCATATGACGGCACTCGGAAATCCTACCTACCGTATAGAAAGAAGGATGGGGTTACCATGAAACTTCGTACAGTGCAACATAGCATTGTATAGGATTTCCTGATGTAGACCTATACATACATATTTCTACACATGTTCTGATGGCGATGGCAGTTGGTAATCCCGATGATGCTCGATACATAGTTCAGTGGACTTATACATAAACGAGACTGACTGGCCGTTTCAGTTCCAGGAGAAATGCCAGGTAATGGCTCAGTGATATCATTCCACTGTATTCGCTGGCTTGTACGACAGTCGTTGGACTATGCAACTTCGGCTCAAAACACAAACACTTCAGTACTAGGTATACAGTTGGTGTGCAACATCGCCTGGCTGACGACCTCCCTTCCATCCTGAAATACTCCAAAACGAACGACGGACCGGCACCGACATTCAGGCACTTTCACTCATTCATCTCAGTACTCTGTCCACGAGCTGACGACGGCCTAGCCCAAGCCTGCTCGATCCCCATTGAGGGTGTTTGGCTGGGCTGCACTGTGCCGGCCCTTGACATTGTTTGTTGCTGCTCAAAGACGGTGGTGCCGTCTCCAGCCGGGGCGGAAATGGGCCTGTCAGTCACCGCCCCCACCCCTTCAAGTCCCTCGTCCCACGGAGTAGCGGCGACGAAGTCAACGGATGCCAGACCCGGTCTGCTGTAGAAATACGGCTCTCGTATCTGTGGGGAGGCGCTCAAGGAAGCTGAGCAAGGCTCGAGGCATTGGATTCTCTAGAAGTATCGCGTGACATGGGCTGGGAAGTGTAGCCTGTCGGGATGATGCTCGTATGAAGCAGCTCGCTTCCTCCAGTAAAAGGAACAGTCTTGGAGAGGGTAGCCATGTCAGCGATTCCGGTTCGTTGAGTTACGGATATGTTCTCCTCAATCAGTGGACTCGAGATGGTCTTTGCAGCCTGATTGTTTAGTGCAGTCTGAAAAAGGCGTGGGGATGATGACAGGCGGCGACTATGTTTCCGGCCTGCTTCTGGTGCATCGATCGTGGGAGGGAGTGTCCCGGGTTCAAATTTGGCGACTAAGGGTGACATTCTCTGATTGGGAGATCGAACAGCGAGCGTCTGTTCCCCGTCATCCGGGTTGGATCTTTCCAAAGAGTGTGGTCGACTTGGTACTTTGATCTTCCCTCCTCTCAGCGGCGGGGGACTCGCTCGATGGACTGCTGCAAGAGCCTCAGAGGCTCCCGAGCCTGCGGACCTAGACCTGGTTGTGCGGTCATCGCTGGCGCCGGAAAACGACGCGGGTCGTGATCGAACCTCTGCCTGGTCGTGGGAAAGGCTGGGGCTTGCTGGCAACGGCTTCCATTCACCCAGATCTTTTGGCTTCCTGGGCGGTGCAGCATGACCCTTAAATATCGCTTGTAAGATGGAAGATTGCCTGGCATTCGTCACGCTCGCTTCTGCTGGAGTGTTTTCATGTGCGGTAGCAACGCTTGGTCGCCTGGAGTGGACATCAAGAAACCTTGACGTGCCGATCCCTGACTCTGACCACCGATCTGTCCAGCTACCCTCAGACCCGGCATCATCAGCGTCAACAGTATGAGACATTCGAGTTGGTGACTCCGTTTGGCTTTCCTCTTGCTCCAACGTCCATGTTGACGCCCGTGTCAGCCCGTCGTCGCTGTCGGGACTGCCGGAGGATGTGCTGTTTGCTCGCTCAAACACTGAAGCTTGTACCCGACGCTTTACACTGTCAAAGGAGTGCGATGGTGATTGTTCTTGGATTTGCTTCTTGATATCCCGAATGGTTGCATGAAGTATATGGCGTGCTTTCCGGAGGGCCGGTGGAGCATCGGCAGATGATTTGGGAAAATGTGACCAGAGACGCGCTGCTTGTGTCTCATAGTCTCGATAATCACGAACAAGTCCTCGTCCCTCGGAACTCTTGATCTTGCCATCTGCCACAGTGTAGGACTGACAGATCATCCTCGAAGCCACGGTGAGCCACCACCAGTATTGTTTTGGTTGATCTGCGCTGTGGGACTTCAGCTCGTCACAGATAACACGCTGTACGACGTTATGGATTCGAAGGATGTCAATACTGTAGGTGACCGACTGAGTAGATGACCGTTCAAATGTGCTGTCAGGGCGAGATTCAGGCAGGGTGTCCAGGCTGCTGGAATCATGCCGGCCCAGCTGCGGCATTTGAGTTTCAGTAGTTTCCATGGAGCGAGCTGGTGCAGGCTGACTTCTTTGCTCCTCTGGAGACGGTGACCCTTGGAGCGAAGCAACAGAATATTCGAGCAGTGTCCGCTCGACCAAGCCGTATCGAATTAGTACAGCAATCGTGTTGTCCAGCTCCTTTTTCATGCTTCCAGCACGGTCTACTGATCGCGTTTCCACCCCAAGGTCCAATAATGCCTGCTGTCCAAACCGGATGAGGGCAACGGGAATTGTATGAGCAAAAAGGCTGAGCAGAGTAACAAGATTGATAGCCTCAGGATGGGCATGATCTTGCAGCGCCGAAAGAATGTCGAGGAAAGGCTCTGCAAGACGGTAATCGGATATTCCTGGGCTGAATTTCTCCAACGACGTTCCTCTGGCGATAAGAGCATGGGCTGCAGCATGAATAGCGAGAGGAAGGTGTTCATAGTGTGTCACCAGCTGCACAGCCTTTTTTTCCTGCAATGCGCTCGGTTCTTTGATTCCTAGGCTCCTGTACAGAAAGACGCAGGCTTCCTTCTGCGACAGCGGAGATACTTTGATTCCTGCCGGGTTGAGCAATCTTTGCCGCTTTGCTAGAGTAGAATCGACCGAAGTGTAAATAAGATTGTTGCCCGAGCGGTCGGGGATGAAAGGAACAAGTGCTTGTATATCGTCGTCGTTATCAGTAGTCACACCGTCGAACACTACAAGCCATCCTTCACGAGCTTCAAACCATCTTCGCACCGCATCGACAAATTTTGATGATTCGTCCCAGGCAGGGTCTGACGGCTGATCGATCCCAAGTATTGCCACAGCTTGGCCAATTTCCCAGAAGCTCTTGGATCTTGACTCTTTTGTCTTGCAGTCGACCCAGAAACTGCCCGCAGGGTAGTCTTTGCGGTGTTGCCAAAGAAATTCGCGGGCGATTTGAGTCTTTCCACAACCAGGAGGGCCCCATAGCAAAGCGGCACAGGTACCCAAAGCTCGTCTCTTCTGGTTTCCCAGCTTCTGAGTCAATTGGTCCAGTTCCGTTTCGAACCCGTAGAACATAGTATTGGGCCTAAAGCCGACAGGGGCCACAAGCAGGAGACTGGAAGAGTTTGATGGAGATAAAGTGTATTCGTTTCCTCGAATCGAAGCCGTCGAAGCATCTATAGCAGTAGACAATTAGCTGAAGGCGCTCGATCTCCACAGTGAGAAACTGTCCCATCAGCCAGCAGGTGATGTGGTTTCCTAGGTCGTTCCCGACCACATCCTGGGACAAGAGTGCGATTCCAAGCGCGGACCATGTTTCAAACTAGCAAAAACGCACTTAGCGATATTGGCTGACCACTTTCCGGAGCGATACCGGTCGGCGTCGCAGTACCTGAGGTCCTGGCACCCATCTGAAAGATGCTATCTGATGCATGTTAGCTTCATGTGGCTAAGCTGACTAAACAGACTCACCACCGAGCAGTTCACGTGCGGCTGCTTGTCTTAGCAGGACAGCTATCCGGTTCTCCTCATCCCAGCGAGACTTGATGAGTGCCTGGGAATCGCTGGCGTATCTGGAACATGTCAACTCTCTGCTTAGTTGTATTTGGAAGTGCTTCGAGTCTACCTCTGGATAGCTGCTGCCACCACATCGTAGCCAGGGCTTGATTCGCCTTCGAACTTGCACATGTGACTAGGAAAGAGTCAGATGGTGGACGAAGACGAAGTGGTATAGTAGTTTCACCTGTGGTCCTTTTCGATGCCCATGCGTTCGACGCCCTCAATCAAGGGAGCAGCTGAATCCTCCTCAACCACAAACTCTCTTGTCCCTTTCAGGTCGGTAGGCTTCGATTCGTAGAAGAAGTATACATGAAAGCGACCGATGATCTCGATGAACAATCTGTTGATGTTTTGTAGAGTTTCGTTGTTGGCCTGTAGTGCTTGCACCAGTTGCGGCGAAGAGTCCAGGAACTTCTTTGGAAAAGCAGCGGCACAGACCTTCTGGAGCAATGAGCCCCATTTGGCGAGGTTCGACCCATTATGAGGCGTCCCCATGAAGAGTATTCCATATGTGGAGACGTAGATGGAGCGCAGTCTCTCCGTGTGCTGATGATGGCGAATGCTTTGACAGTATATCAGACATCTCTTGACCACGAGGCCACCGAGAGAATGGCAGACGAATATGATCGGTCTCTCTTGTGCTTTGCTCAACTGTGACACTATCAATATCCACCAAGTCTCTGGTCCTGCGACATGGACCGATGTCTAGCTATGGCCTGTGTTGCAGGCAGCAGACTCGTCCAACACTTACCGCTCTATTCGCAACCAATCGACTTGCGAGATGTTCTGCATGATCGTGTATCTTGTCTTTTGATGCTCCATCTGTAAACGCAGCCACTGTCGCGTTGTAACCGTAGGTTAGAATTCGGGGTCTCTGTTCTTCAAGGGCCGCAGGAAGGAGGTCGGCCGGCCAGAGGACATCGGGTTTGGCGGTCGACCAGGTATCGCGAGGATGTCCATTCAGCCCGTGTACAAACACAATATCCACTAGAGGATCCGAGGCGGCGTACACTTCTGTAAGGCCATATTGTACAATGTCTTTTCCGACAGTAGTCATGATGCAGGACAGCGCTGAGATGAGAAGGCACCAAGATGATCCAACAACCACAAGCAGAGCGAATAATAGATTACGCTCTAGGCGCGCAGGCGAGCTTACCGGTACATTTGGGAGACACAAGGCTCCATGTCAGAAGACGTCGCCCATTTCAGTCACAGTCATTGAGGAGGCGCAGGTGACCTTGCTGCCTGTTTGTTTGGATGGGGCCCGGCTTTGCAGCAAGCAAAGCAGTAGCAAGTACTAAATCACAAGAAAGAAAGTCAAAGCTGCCGCAGGCGGGCTCTGAATTGGGCTGTTTCAAGTTATCGCCCCATGTCTCGCATCAGTACCCTCCCGAGGTAGGTGCAATTGTATACTCGCCCGCAGTCGGAGGTGGCAGTGTGCCTAACATGTAGATACCTAAGGTAGGTACATACATAGTAGTAGGTGATGTATGTTGAGTCGTTTGGGTTATGGCGCGAAAGTCAAGACCATTGCAAGCCTCCTAAGCCCCTCTTTCTACCCTGTACATAACACACACCAATTGAGAACACCGTGCTTGACTGCAGCCCAATATGGCAATACGATATCAAGGCGTACCTTACCCTGATACATAGGTGTGCTTATAGCGTCTTGCCACGACGATTGAGAGTGACATATATATATACTTGCAACGCGAGGTCTAATGTGTCTTAAAGTCCGTATCTTGAGCGCCGCTTATTCTCCTTTGAATACGGGCATTCTCTTCTCTGCAAAAGCCCTCAACGCTTCCACTCGATCGTGAGTGTTTAGTATAACCTCGTATGCCTCGTTTTCGGCTGCTTCACCGCGCTGCCACCCATTTATCGCCCGCATGGCCTGGGTCACCGCAATGGGACCTCCCTCACTGATATCGTGTGCTAGTTGTATACTGGCATCGAGGACCTTTTGTCGGGCTTTCCCTTCTTCCTCCTCGTCTTCGGGCGTGATCTCCACCAGCCTGTTGCATAGCCCAAGGAAATATGCCTCGGCGCCACTGACCCTTCTTCCGGTCAAAATGAGGTCTCGTGCTCGGTTGACGCCGATGAGCGCAGGCAACCGGTAAGTCCCTCCGGCACCAGGGATGATGGCCAATTTCGTCTCGGGTTGCCCAACGATGGCGGAAGATCCAAACACCCGCAGAGTTGTACAAAGGCCTAGCTCTAACCCTCCGCCAAGGGCAACCGACGAAATAGCCGTGATAGTAGGGATGGGGAGGTTCGAAAGATCTGCGAAGGTGTTTCTTACGTTCGTCATGAAAGCCCTCGTCCTATAAGACAATAAGTAAGGTTCGACCGGGTGTGAGAATTGGCTACGCACTCTTCGTGATTCATTCCCTTCCTCTCTCGCAGGTCAGCCCCGGCGCAGAAGGCCTTGTCCGTGTTGGAAGCAACGATCAGTGCCCGAGTAGACCCTCTTGGCCCCTCCGCCTGGATTTCGTCCACATGACGCTTCAATTCAGTTATGAGACCGCGTGAGAGAGCATTTCTCGCTTCCGATCTATTCAGCAGCAGGATGCGAATGTTTCCCGAATGGGGAGCAGGCTGGAATTGCACTTTAATCAGAGGCTCTGCAGGGGCAGAAGCAAAGGAACGGATCTGTAGGCGAGGCCTGCACACGACAGTCCAATTCCTCCACGTTGGAACAGGTCGCATGGTGAGGTGTAGTCTGCGGGTCGAGTATTTTGGGCAACATCGTGGTTCAGGTTGTCACTGTGCCACAGCTTCGGCGGCTTGGGGTGTTTGCGGGGGAGTTGATGTCGCCTCCAAGCTTGAAACCGCAGGCAGCGGGGGCTAAAGGGACTTAAGGCTAGGGATCTCCTTAGTCTGGTGAGCCAAAAGTTAGTGCGTGTTCCACAATTGAACAGCTCGACTTGTCAGGCCATGCCTGAAAATCATCAGGGTCAAACAGTACGTTGCTGTTGCTGTCGCCGGCATTATTGTTCAGTCTCTTTGGATTACTACGTGACACTGGCATCGATAAGTCCAGTACAACCAAACTCTGCAATATCTCAATAATCAACGAATCCACTCAAGTTTCCTCCCTGCATCCGCTTTCCAACATGGAACCATTGCTCCATGACACGATCCTTGCCCTAGAACATCAGACGTGGAAGGCTTTGACGCATTCAGGCGCCGCTCTCCTTCCATACCTCAGTCGAGATTGCATTATGCTGTTCCCCCTGGGCATGAAGGTGTCGGCCAAAACATCACCTAACCTCGACGATGTCATGATGAGCGAAGCCTTCATTCCTTGGAGATGGTACAAGTTGAACGATGTTGAGGTAACGGCGCTGGGAACAGAGGCAGCTATCATCACCTACCGAGTCATGGCTGCAAGACAGCGCCTTTCGGACAATGAGGAGGAGGAGGAAACCGACGACGACGACGACAATCAACCACAAGAACAGTTTCGAGCATTGGTCTCAAGCACCTGGCGGAAGGATCCTGAAGCAGGGAAATGGTTGATGTGTGTTCAACAGCAGACACCGTATCCTAACGACATTGATGATTGAAACATCGGATAGCTATCAACGACAGTATGCCGCAGAGGTATTATGAATAATGACGGTCGACAGCCTTGCGGTTCTGTGCACCTGCTCTACAGCCAGGGGTGAATATGACATATGCCTTATCCACGCAATTTTCATACCTACGTACTCTCAACGGTAGGATGACGTTCCGAGGAGCTCAAACCTGGAGTGATCTTCCATCCGGGTTGTTCTGTTTGTGAGATCTAGTAGTACACATCTTCCGTCAGTGTTCCGTGCCGCAGTCGTGCACCATAGTATCCCGTTATCAAGGGGCGATCGCATGTGGAGGAGGTGTTTCTGCATCGTGACATCAGCTTGGTGGGCGTCAACTGGGCCCGTGGGCTTCATCCCGAGCATGGTAATAGGAAGTGGCGTTTGCATTTTGCGCGAAGCTGGCCTGCTTGGGTCATGCCTGGGGATACTAGGTTGATCGAGAATCCCACAAACAGACTGGCCCAATTTTGGCTTAAGGTATTCCCGTTCTTTGATTGAGCATACCTGATACCACCACCCTTGTGATGATTGCCATTATACTGGCACGACATGCGATTGAACTAACTCGCGGTCTGACGAAATTTGGGCAGGCGGGAAAGACTTAGATAGTCCCTTAGTGCCACTGTTGTGGGGGGCTTGACGATGCCAATGATGCAGTTACAGAAGTTGTGGCACGCGTTGTGACGTCGTTGCGAAGTAAAGCGTCAGTTACCCCCCTGTATGATTCGATCACCGCATCCTTCAAATTCACATCATCCCTCGTACAGCTCTTGGTGTTCCTCGACCTGCTCAATCTGATTGCATCAAACAAACTTCTACTTCAACATCACTATCGCAAAGACTCAGATAAACCTCGAGACAACCACCAACAATACCACCATACACTCTTCAAAATGTCGTTTCTCTACCGATCTACACCTCTTATGCGGACCGCGGCCAGAGCGTCTGCGCTCCAGCAATCGCCACGCCTCTTCTCTACCGCAATTGTCCACCAGAAGTCGGCCACTGAAGCTGTGAAGGATGGCCTCAAGAAGGTCGACCGAGCCGTATCTGATGTGGCTGTTGCCGGTATCGATAAAACAGGTATGCTTGAACCTAAACATCGATTCACCGATTCCGCTAACACGACGATCGCAGTCGAACTGAAGGACAAAGCTTCCGACGTCGCCGGAATCGAGAGCTCGAAAGCTAAGGGCAAGGCCTCGGAGGTAACCGGTGAAGCCAAAGGCAAAGCCGCTGAACTGTCAGGCGAAGCCAAAGGAAAGGCTGAAGAAGTGAAGGGGAAGATGTCATAATTTTATGAAGCCTGAAAGCCATACCACATGTCCAGGCAGTGTAGATGGGCTCTATCCAGACTGCCATGTTATAGGATCAACGCCGGCGTTCCGCTTGTACAATAATCATCAATGACAACCTGGCACCTGGTCAGGCTCTGAAAATGTAGAGTATGATCAAAACGGAGGATCACCTTCAAACCGATAGTGCTGTGTTGTCACCTGGGCTTCCTCGTCGGGCACATGTGATCAGTGTCCATTTCAACGATTTCCTGTATCTTCGCTGCCCAAAAAGTAGCATAAAGCCAATCCAACGACGCCTTATCTCAACCATTGTCATTTTTATGCTCTCTCGGGCATGTCAATCGTTCTCTAACCGTGACACCGGTGTCGGATCAGATTCAGCAAAATGCTTTCGATATGCCTCGGTCTCTGCATCTTTCAAGCCAGCTTTTGATGGATCACGTTTCGCCAGGAAATGTTTGATCCGCCCAGCCACATCCAGTTTGTTCTCTTGATACTCTTCCGCTCTCGACGCGAGGAACCGGCTTGTCTCTTCCGTGAGAGCCTTCGCCTTTTCTTCGAATCGGCCGGAATACTGGCCGGCTCTGGTCGCTTGGAAGACACCGGCGAAAACGGCAAATAGTATAACGATCGACGCAAAGGTGTTTGGATGGACATAGGTGCCCGAGTATTGTTGTTTATCCGGGTTATCGTGTCGTCGGTACCACCGTTCCCAATCTTCCCACGTGGCGTTCTGGAAAATGGATGAGTCGTCATCTGGACCAAACCCGTAGCTCTTGCCTTGACCGTTGGTGAAACCCCGTGAATGTCGGTTAGCTGCTCGACTCGAACTCCATCCGGCCCCGGACGCATCGTAGGCTCGTCTCTTTACCGGGTCCGATAATATCTCATGTGCCTGCACGACCAGTCTATATCTTTCCAATCTCTCACCATGACTGATCCCCTCAGAAGGATCTATCCCATGCCTGTCGGGATGGTATATCTTAACCAATTCATAAAACCTCTTTTTAGAGTAAACCGCATCCCTCGCCAGGTCAAATATCTCGTATGGTGATGGCGTCCACGGGGTTATTTTCCGACAGGGCCAGTTCAGACTGTCCCTGTATTCATGGTGACTGTCTGACTTGACATCGGCGTAGGTTCTCGACAGCGGGGCGAATCGCGGATTCGGCCTCGGTCTTTTACGAGGCGATGCCGGGGAGCAGGTGCATACGCAGCACTGCCATGTCCCGTAGGCTGTCGGTATGTTCGTTTTTTTCAGCATGGAATACGGCATCTTGAGCAGGCAGAGTGCCCTGAATGAGACTCATTTGTTGGTTGTGGATAGAGATAGGAAGTGGTCAAGCGAGCAGGCGGGGGATTCGGAAGTCGTGAAGTCAGTTATTATGATCTCTCGGGAAACCCCTGTCAGATCGGTGACGAAATGCGGAAACTGAGCCGACACCCTTCAAAGATGTTCCTGTAAACAATATCTACTTTACTGCAAGCAATGTCTGACTCCAATTCGCCTCCGCGGCGACGCGCTCGAGACTCTCGCTCTCCTGCGGATAATCGACGTCGCTCTCACAGAGAGTCTGACCGATCGGGCAGAGATGACCGGCGGGAAGAGAGGAGAAAACACTACAGGTCACGAAGTCGAGATGCGCCACCAAAGAGGTCACAGAGTCCAGAGGTCACAGAGCGCAGGAAAGATCGAAGCAGGCACAGGCGACATGATCGCGACCGTCGACAGTCGAAATCTCGCTCTCGCTCTCCTCGCCGACGACATTCATCTGGGCCTCTCCAGCGCGCCAAAGGTCCCCTTCCGTCGCAGGTCGACGCCTTCAAATCCACCGACAAGGACAGCCCTTCTCCCGGCCCCGAGAAACAAAAGCCGAATTTCCGTCCCTCCGGTCTCCTTGCGGCAGCCGCCAACACCGTCACGACATCTACCGGTGCCATCGTCCTGAAGTATCATGAACCGCCAGAGGCTAGAAAGCCGCCCTCCTCGCAGATTTGGAGGATCTATGTTTTCAAGGGCGATGAGATCCTCGACACCTTAGAGTTGTACACACAGTCCTGCTGGCTGTTTGGCAGAGAAGTGTCGGTCTGTGACTATGCACTCGAGCACCCGAGCTGTTCCAAACAACATGCCGTCATCCAGTTCCGCTATATCGAGCGCAGAAACGAGTTTGGGGATAAGATTGGAAAAGTGAAGCCCTATATCATTGATCTGGAGAGCGCCAATGGGACAAAAGTCAACGAGGAAACTATACCGGAGGGACGATATGTGGAGCTGAGGGACAAGGATGTGATCAAATTTGGTCATTCAACCAGAGAATACGTGGTGCAATTGCCACCCAGGTGAAGTCAACTTTTGATCGAGGCGTGAAGAGAGATGCCGTCCTACGGATGGTCCGAGAACAGACGCATGATGGAGATAAAAGAGCTCCGATTGAGTGAGGAGCCGCTCTGCTGGAGTGAGACACATGGAGGTGGCTTAACGACCGGCAACTGGCGAACAAATCATATTCTTGCCGTGCGCAGTAGACAGATTTTGAGCTGTCCGAAGAATCGCGTGGACCATCAAAGTGCTCTAGGCCCGAAGCCTCGCTTTCCTTCTCTCATCGACGCCACCACCTCGAACCGCTCGCCTGACGGAGAGATAGCAAGTCTTGTTTCTCTGATCCGATGGATGAAACATTTCTTCGCTGAGCTAGTGCGCTGCGCGAACTGTGGCTCAGAGCGGCGCAGTCTGGCAGTTAGGTGTCACTTGAGCTGTTCCATATTTGCTGGGAACAGCCTACCAACCGGCTTCACGCTCGAGTTAGAGACCGTACACCCGCCCGAAGATGTTTCTGTCGGTACTGACGAGCCGAAGCCTTTGCGAGTGCCTAAGACTGGACCAGTCAAGCGATCTCGAAACAGCCCAGCCTACGGACAGCGGTTGGCTACACAAGTATTTCCGGTCGACACTCAGAAGGGTACGGTGCCGGAACGAAGTCGGTGACAAGAATGCTGGCGACGTGTCAGACTGTTGGAAGCCAGTTCTTTCGTGGCTCTTGTCGATGTGCATATTACAAGCTTGGACCTTATCAACCCTGTAGTTGTCTTACATCTCCTAAGGTGCCTCCTGATGTTCACGAAGGACACAAAACTGTTCTAAATTGCTCTGTAAGACCCTTCCTCGCGAGTGCCAGATATGGTGACCATCGCCTGTAGATACATGAGGCAGCTAAGCCGCGGATGTCGAGAGATCGGAGTCTTCCTGCCGTATCTGATCAATATTTCGGCCCGTTGTACGCCTGGAATGCCGGGTGAACTACCATCCGGGAGCAGATTGATAGTTGTCCATTCACCGTGACACATTTCGATTCTAAGGCCGTCGATTTAGTAAGTAGCAGACCGGATAAGCCCGTCGAATGCCCCACAACTGGACCCAGCCCCTGAAATCGACAGCCTCGCCTGGATGGATCGGGTCTCCGAGATTCTCCCGGCCAGAAGACGTTCGACCACATCAGCGCCTTCCAAGGATCTCCCACAAACCAGTCTACACGTCTGTGTTCTCTCAGGGTCTGTATTCGCTCGAAGCAGGTTAATCTACTTCCTTGTTTCCATTATGGCGCGTGTGATTATTTTCCCGGCCGAGGCGGAATGCCATATTCACGAATCACTCCGGTGAAGTTCCCTACCACACATTTCATTCACTGCTTCTCTCGGAGCAAGGTTCACATACATAACAAGTCCACATAGTATGATACCAAAAAGAAAACTCCATTCCTTCGGACAGTATAGTGCAGTGGTATCAGCATATCCGTCTAGTATCGTGTCAACAATTCCTCCAGCCTCGAATGAGGTCGTACAACAAGGGCAGCATGGACTAGACCATGACCAACTGCACAGACCAACCTTATGTACCTGGAGGATGACGGCCTGCGGAAGACTTTGGTTCGAATCCAAATACTGTCGTAGCGACCCCCTCTTTTTTTCTTTGCTGGCGCCTCGATTGCACCAGCCTGCATCTCTAGTAGATATAGTGTTCACACCCTTCCAACCTGTATTCAGTGAAGTCCCTCACGAGACATTTCCTTCACTTTGTATTGTTGATTTGGATCTAGATTAATAACAGTAGCAAGTTTCAGCACAACAATAACATTATCTCTCTGAGGGCAGTATAGTGTAGTGGTAAGCATATCCACCGTATATTGTGTATAACTTCTTCAGCCTCGAATGAGGTTGTGCAGAACCAGGACTCTCCTAGCCTAGGCCGCGAGGCCCGGGCTTTGATTGATAGTGTTTCATGGAGCTGGAGGACACATGCCTGTGGAAGACTTTGGTTCAAATCCAAATGCTGTCATTCTTTTTTTCCCTCTGGCTGCTCATCCATAGCTAGCACTTGAGAAGAGTACTACTAGTTGGCAGTCAGTCTACTAGTCTACATGCTTGATTAAGATGCGGATGGCACTTCTATAGCCTTTTCTCGAGTTTTAGTTTTATATCTTCTCATTTATGTCTAAAACTCACTACTTCCTGCTTAAGGACAGTGTGGTGTAGTGGTTAGCACATCCATCGAATATTGTGTATAACTCTTTCAGCCTCGAATGAGGTCGTGCTAGGACTCGACGTACATTGTTGTGATTAATTTCACAACACAAGAACAAACCCGGGGCCACAATTTATGAGTCTATGTACCTGGGAGAGTGCATACCTGTGGAAGACTCTGGTTCGAATCCAGATACTGTCGTGATTTTCTTTTTGCCTTTTTTTGGTAGCTACATTCGGTTCTTAAAGCACTCGCTCTGATCGGATGTGACTCTTCTGCCTGTTTAAAAGCTAGAAAGTACTTATCCTATGCTTATGTGTCCCCTGCCATATTAGTATTAGACCCTAGCCATGGGGGTTCAAAGTTGAACGGGATCTCAATTTGGGTGAAGAAAGAAAGTAGGAATTTTCAATTGACCACAGCAGGTTGATCTGATGCTGTATGACATACACCGTTCAGTTGGCCACGCATATGTGCAGCTAGCTAGTACATACCCACAACCCTTGCCTGCGCTCTGTAAGGCTCAATTCAGTACTTTAAACAACATTTCCCCTTCCGTGTTTGTCAAACCGTAGCAATATCCCCCATACTCACACAGACTCCAGTGATTCGACACTTCGGTGACACCAGGCAAGAGACAGAGCCATGGCTGCAGGTACAACCTTATTGAAACACCCCCCTTGCTTCAAGCTCCTCAATTCTGTGACTCTTCAACAGCCGGGCACTTGCTAAGATCTCCATGTTTCATTTCCAGTTCGATGTGGTGCTTCAAGTGTTCGAGATCTGGCCAATTCAGGACATGGATGCTAACGAACTGGCGTAGGATCTGAGGAAGAGGAGAGGGCATACATTTCAGCGGAGCTCGGAAGAATTCTCGCATTGCAAAAGAGCTTGCAACACCCGGGATGTCGACAATGGCTCGCTCGATGGTAACCGCGATTTCCTCTTGGTCAGACCGCAGCTGGTCCGCCAATGTCCACATCTTTTCCTCAAATTGGTAGAATTTTGCCAGGTTCAATGCCGGTAGATCTTCGTCTGCCTGTTCCCCCAGATACTTCGCTACTGAGAAGTGGCTACAGGAGATATCCCTCTCGTCAATCACTCCAAGGACCGTCATTTGGCCCATGGCATAAAACTCGAATAACTCTCGGCGTGCGTTGTGTATGTGACTGAGTAGTCTGCACACCCGCGAGTGTGTGCCGTAAGCTGCCCGAGCCATGATATTTTTCCATTTCTGAAGGCTTTGGTCGTCAAGCTTCGTGATGAGAACTGACTGGATTTTTTGGAGGAGTTTGTCGCGGGCCAAGAATATTCCCCGAGCGCGATCGACTCCTTGTGAGAGTTTCAAGAGATGTGCCATCAGCTCCCGTGTCATCGCTCATGTTCCAGTGAAGCTTAATGGACGGAGTGGTCATGTGCTTTTTTGCCCAGTCTTTCACACAATCTTCGCCTTCCCAGTGTCCCAACGTATGATGCCTCAGGCAATAAGGTACAGGCGTGTGCTTGGAACTGCGAGCTTGGGGTTGGTGAGTTGTTTCTCGGATATGGTTGTTGGATTCGCGGCTCGGAACCAACAACGTTTCCTTGCACGCTGGACAAGACTCTCGCGGTGGTCTCTTTGCATACCAGGTCAAGCAACGATCACAGTGTTTGGCAGGCATGATGGTAATTGTGTGTAGAAGCAAAGGCGGTCGGTGTACAGGGGTTTTAGACGTTTGAAAAAAAGACTTGACGAAGTGAACGAGAGCTGCGACTGTTGCAGGCCAAGCAGGACAAGAGGTGTTAGTGACTCGTGGACCGTGGTGAGGCAGAATCATTCACTAAAGTACTATTTACTGTGGTTCAAGTTGGTGGTTACTGCCACTAGACTGCGCTGCGCTCCTTCAGAAAGACATATGTCCGCGCAGCCATGACCGATAGTATTGTGTGATTCAGAATGAAAAAGTAGTAGGTCACAGTGCTTAGTTCTACATGTGTCCTGTCTAGCACTGCCTGACTTGCGGTTACTACGATATACGTCCGTCAGCTGCACATTGGCTGAATATGTCCTTGCTCCCAGGTGCTCTCCCAGTGATCGCACGATATTCTGACACATCGTCTACTGCCCGCATATCAGCAGCTTCAGTCTCCCACCAGGTTCGTAGTTGACACGCACAGCAAAGGAAGATCCACCCTGTTCGGGAAGGGGAGGACATTCGATGGCTCTTCTCCTTAAGCCGCGTCAGACTTCAAAGGCATCTTTATACTCCTGACAGCCTGCTCTTCATCTCGTTCTGCTTGGATGGCCCCGGCGGCGGTGATGGCTGACCGAAACATGCGAATGGCTGTTGGTATCCTGAGAGATACGGTGGCTCGCTCCAGCCCAGCGGCGACCGACAGAAATTCGCGCTGAGCATCCATAAAGATTCATCCGCGCATTAAGGTTCGGTCCAATCTGATCCTGTTGTACTGAATCCGGCGTATCGGCAGAGTCTGCTGGAGTGTCCCACCATTCAAGCGGTCTGTAGATTCTCCGAAGAACAGCTGCTGGTCGGCATAGAGTTTGAGGCCCAGCAACCTGCTCATCAGCCTGCACGCTGTTTGCAACCTTGTCTTCCTCCTTGCATTCCTCTTCAATCAAATAGTCCTCTTCCTCTTCAGTCAAATAGTCCTTTTCGTCTGCGACCAAATAACCCTCTTCCTCGTCGGTCGAATAGATCTCTTCCTCTTCTTCGTATTCGATCGCATGGTAGCCTTTATCAAATCTTTCCCAGGAATCAAGAGCGTTATTGTCTCTAGGCACTTCACCCCGTCGATACGGCACTGCTGTGTACCCATGTCGTGTGTGCTGGACCGGTTCGTAGTTCACTGGGTTGTACTGAGCTGGTGCATACTGCACCGGTGTGTAGTGAGGTGGTGGTAGTGGGATTGGTGCGTAATGTGGTGGTGCATATTGAGTTGGTGGTCGAGGAGGGTACGAGTATTCGACTGGTATGTGCTGGATGGGTGCATAGGAATGGGTGTTTCTGTGGGTTCGTAGGTCATATCGGCAGAAGCCACAACAATTACAATCTGATCCGACCATCCGATGGCAATATGGGCAGTATGTGGACATCTTGGTTGGGTAAACTGTACTCGGGAGTATCTGAATGATGGAGAGAGAGGTGAAGCGCAAAACAAACTCGGTCGTCGTCCCATTCAAGCACTTGGTCGAATACAGAGAGAAACTCCAACACATCGAGCTTAGGGATAGCAGACAACTAGCAGGCTCATCTTCTGCACATGGTCTGCTGCCCTTCATTACAGGCTATAAATTGTACAAGAGATCCATACCAGGTATTTTATCGCCACATTCACCTCTGTAGCCCACCCACCTGCTCCCGCGTGTAGCATCTTGCTGCTTGGATAAAGGACACCACACGCAATTTATCAATTAACTGTGAATACACCATGAAGAGATTCTTTCAGCTACCTTATCCCATTCTCGACTGGAACAACAGGGGAGTAATAACGGCAGACACTGCTTCCCCGTCAAAGAAATCCCACCATCTCCACTCACATAAGCAATGTTCCTAGTCGACAGATGGCAAGCACCCGTCGACCATCTCTTCTTGTAGCCATCTCGTTTGAGCAGGTTAACAACAGAACTGCATTGGTTAGGATGAAAGAATGCATCACGGTACAACTTTAACATGGAGGTCCATCCGCTATTTTTATCTCAGGCTGACGGGCCGAGGCGGAAAGTGGGGTGCCGGCGTATTTATTTCGGGCCTTATTTTCACCCCTGATTGAACTTACCCACCTGACCATCTTCTCGTTGACCATAAGCTTCAGCTTGTCAAACACAGCGAAGAGACAAATGAACGCAGCGAGACTATTCATCCAGACTTCTTCACTTCGAGCTCTGTTGAGCAAGTCTGGTCATTTCATGCTCACGGAAAATCTGCGTTAACCACCGCCTCGGGCCCGTCCTGCAAGTGCCACCCGCCTCAGACTTTGATCGATCTATCCAGAAAATCTCCGTGAAACTTCGCTACCAAGTCCCGATACCATGGTCTCTCCAGATCCAACTCTGCATCTGCCTCGTATCCTGTGTCTCCACGGCGGAGGCGTCAACTCTGCCATATTCCGTGCACAGTTCCGTGCCTTTCTAAACCACGATAAGCTCAAAAATCGATTCCGGTTCGTTTTCGTCGACGCACCGTTCTTTTGTGATGAGGGAGTTGGAGTCTATCCTGTATACTCAAACTGGGGACCCTTCCGGAGATGGTTTCGATGGCTCAGTTCACACCCGGAAATTGATCCAGCTGCTTGCTCTTATGAGCTCGACTACACCATTCAGCGAGCAATGGAAAGCGACGAGGGTACGGGAGAATGGGTGGGAGTGCTTGGATTCAGCCAAGGTGCAAAGTTGGCGGCGAGCTTGCTGTACGAACAGCAGCTCCAGGGCAAATCCGAACCATGGAAGTTTGCAGTTATCCTAGCCGGGCGCGCTCCGATGGTGAGCCTCGGCGAGGACTCCGAGAACTTCCCGTGGATGCAGTCAGCAGGAGGATTGCCCGATGCTGCAGATCTGGACAGTATCTTTGAACGACCAGATATGAAGCTAAAGATTCCGACGTTGCACGTGCACGGCTTGAAGGATGAAGGCCTACACCTGCACAGGAAATTGGTGCACGATTACTGTGCTCCAGGCACGACCACCTTAGTTGAGTGGGACGGAGGTCATCGTATACCTATCAAGAGAAGCGATGTTGACAAGATCGTCGTTGCTTGGATAGAGTTGGCCGATGAGTATGGGATATGAACGGCCAACACGAAGAGTCTGCTTCGATTTATATGGATCGGCCACGAGTTTCTCGCGACATCCGGCTCCTGCTTTACATCTCGGTCAAGGGCTTATGGATGCCCGAAAAGGAGCCTTCATTTCCCCTTCTCACAACACCAAGTCTGTCTCCGAGGGAATTCCACCCAACATCCTGGCTTGAATCTTCGTCCACTGCATGTTTGCTATGACTGAACCGACGTGACAGAGTCAGATGGGAAATACAATGTGATCTCAATTACTGTATTAATGGTATAGAAATCCCTTCGAGCAGAAAGACATCGCATAGAGCGGCCAGGAAATTGAATTGAAACACAATGCTACCGGCTATGAGGAAGGCCATCACAGTGGAGAGACAACGCAAGAGCTCACTTTGGCCAACGTCACGGCCTTGGGCATCTTCGTATGTATCGAGATGACACGGTGGCGGTAGATCAAGGTCACCATGAAACATGCTCCTTTGCCTCACGCAGCGCCACTCTTGCAGCAGGATGACGGCTCTCAGAACGACCCCAAAGCGCTGTGTGAGACGAGTCGGCGCCGTATACCTTGGTGTGTTAGAGCACCCACTTGAGAGCCTGGCACCTATCCTCCCAAGTTGAACTGTGAGGACATTGTGTTTGGGCGTCAAGACACTTATCTACCTCGAGACCCACAACTCCGAAATCTCTGGTCAGATCAGTAGACACCATGAAATGGCCAGGAAACAGCAACCTGCGGAAAATGGACCCTAAACAACGCTGTGGGTATGGGCACCCGGGCTCGATTACGATTGGGTCGCCATCCGATCAGCCACCCACCGTGATACACGAGGACAAGCGGTCGTGCCACTTTATGTTCACTAACGGCCACTTCAACGATGATGACCTTGAGGAACGGCTTACAGAGAGAGACAAAGCTTCATATATATTGAGTTGCATTGTACGACTACTTAGTAGTACTTTGTCAAGCTGTGATATTCTCCACGATCATAACCCCCTCCAGTCTCGAGAATGATCATTTAAATGTGGAGTCCTCGAGATTCGTGATATTTCTCAAGATCTATCTAATTAGAAGCGGACATTCTGCCCATAATAGCAGAATTCGAAGGCGTGGCGTGTGTAATTAAGCCGATAAAATTGGCCCCCTCCGCACCCTACCCTACCCACCCAAGCGAGGCACCTGACGTGTTCTTTGCTTCCTTACCATGAACGCTTTGTTTTCCTTTCTCATGAACGCCTTGCTCTTCTTTACCAAGAATGCTTTGCTCTTCTATACCATGAACGCGTGTAAAAAGCGGCGCCGGCGCATTTTGTAGCTCGTCATCAATGAAGCTGTCCGTAGGAAATGTAGTATGACAGAGGCGAGCTGGAGATTTTCGACAGTCCAATTCGCGAGACACTTCCGGCAGTAAAATGTTATTCATTTTGAGTCAGCCTTCGGGACAAAGCCGCAAAGGCAAGTGGCATGCTGGGCCCGTATGCGACGCTGTTTGACCGTGTTCTTCTGGCGCTGAGAGTGTCGGAATCCGAGGTCGAAGCCGTCTCGGCAGACTCGGCGTCCGCTGAATGACGATTGCTGCCTTCGCCGTCGGCGTCGGCGCCTTTCTCTTCTCGGTGGCTGTTGTGTGTCCGCTGTCGTTCCAGCTTGTTTTTCTCTTCCTCCTCCACCTGTTTGTTGGCCGCGCGGCATCGATGGACCGTGGCAGGGACAACAAGAAGATGTCCGAGGATGAACCAGGCAAATAGAACCGGCAGGTTTCGGTAGAGGCGGTTGTAACAGCCGTCGGAGGTGATGGTGACGAAGGTCTCGTACCAGTTGTGCGCCGGCAGGGCGTAGCCGTATTTGTAGAAGGACGGCGACTGATCGAAATTGGCCAGGGAAATGGTGATGTTGAGGATGACCCAGGTCAGAACGAAGAAAGGCATGAACTGCATGGGGATCAGGACGGAGGCGGTGTCGAGGATCAGGAAGTTGATGTGCATGAACAGCCAGCCGAGCATCCAGATCAACATGAACTGGCCGCCGGTCAGTGCCCAGTCTTCCTTGTAGGCCCAGATGTAGCCGGTCCAGCACAACGACCCGATGAACGTGTATGTGGCTGCGAAACCGAGCCGGATGAGGCCGTTTGTTTGGACGGTCAGTCGACTGAACAGGCTCAGGCCGTTGCTGATGCCGTTAATGGCCATGATGAAGAAGAACTGTTGGACGATGGACAGCGCGACGGACGCGGTGTTGTAGAGCACCCGTGTTCCTTGCTCGGTGGGTTTGAGGTCGATCGACGAGGCCGTGAAGGGGTCCAAAAAAGCTTCGATGGCCGCGGAATCGGATTGATTGACCAGACCGTATGCGCTCGTTCCGTTCAACTGATTGTACACCGTCCGACTCGCTGCTATCAGTTGCTGGAGATCCGCTGTCACGTATCCTGCTTCTGTCGTGGGGTATCTTGCTTCGTTGTAGACGTATCGGATGGCGTTTGACGAGTTGTACGATGTCGCGGCTGTTCCGCCTTGTAATGCAGCGGAGAGGCGTTCAGAGGCACCCGACAAACTGTACACCGCGGCCCAGAAATGACCCTGGCACACGGCTTCCTTGATCGTTCCATAGTCGGGATACTCGGAGGCGGGGCGAATGTCCAAGGTTGGGAATGTATCCCCTTTGAGCTGGCGGTATGCCCCGAGCAGGGACTCACCAACCACGCCGCCATCATAATCAACAGCCAAAACTTTCATGTGGTGAGTCCTGTAAGCGTCCCTGTACTGAGAACCGTATAGGAGCGACATGTTCGCGAGGAAGAGCAATTGCAGCAGCACGAAGCTGAAAGCGACGGATGTAAGGAAGGTTTTGCGCTGTCCACCCCATGCTGGGCCATGCGACAGCTTGAGTTCGTGCCTGTGTATTTTGGGAGCCATTGCGGCCGCTGCTGCTTCTATGTCAAGGACAAAATGATAGTAGTAGTTGTTGATGGCGGCAGTGGTGAATATACGACGACGCGCACCTTATGTGGGAAGCAGGAGGATGGATGACATAGTTTTAGAACGTCAGAGAGATATCTCCCTTGGCAGTTCTGGCCATCACACTCGATGCCTGCACGGATAGAAAAGACGGTACAGCCCCAGCCGCACGGCCGCGTCACCCAGAAAGTTAAAGAAGTTGAAGCTGGGTTCCTAATGATCATGCACGGGATGGAATTTGGGTCTCCCGGACGCCGGACGCCGGTCGGCTTCTAGGCGAGCCGATAGCCACGATCGGATTAGACGAGAACATCCTGTGTCTCTTCTAGTTGGGCCGGTGGGCTTATGGCCGTAGCGGTCGATCCCGCTTACTTAAGAGAGCGGAGAAACACTCCATAAGGCATTTACGATTCATCTTAGTAAGCGGCTTTTCAGTGATAGCTGATCGACACCGACGATTCCAAGCTTATACATCAGGCGAACCACTCAGTGGCAAGACTACCTCAACCAAGGTTTTCTAGCGTTAGCGCCACCAAATTGCACCCTTTGGCCAATGGCAGTCGGCCTCTAGAAGGTCGCCGAAGTTGCCGACAAACATTCTCTAATAACTCTGCGCTGAGACAGATTTCTGGGGATTTGAGGAGGGAACCCTTCCTCCCCACTCTCCCTCGCGCACCTCCTCGTTGACAATGGCTCCTTCTTCATTGACAGGAAACTACCTAGTAGGAAGCCAGGCCAAGTTAGGCCAAGCCACGCATAAGGTACCAGGTACCTTACTTACAGTCCTCATTGATTTCGCGTTCTTTTTTTCTTCTCTGCGTTTTCCATCAGCGGAGCTACTAAGTACCAGCACGGATGCTAAGTACTTAAGCAGGGCGATCATTTTGCTGCCACGAGGCTTCCTTGTACGGCCTGCGATCTGTATATCAGCATCGAAGCCGGGTTTTAGACAAGTAAATTGAACTGCCCGAAGCTTCAGAATATACGAATGGACAGAAGGAAACCTTGTTTGACGCATCGGCCTGCCCGAAGCCACGGCGAGTTCATGACTTGTACAGGAACAGAACCGTTCTCAAGAGCGAGACCTCGCATCGCAGCCCATTTCTTTTAGGTCTATAGTAGTTGTTGATTCAAGGACGTAGACTACTTCGGCAATAAGACTTGGTATGAGCTCGGGATTTATTGGTGCCGATAGCGGCCGACGTTCACTCTGGGTGCGTCTCTATTGATGACGTGTAAGGTCAACGATCAGGTTTACTATCCACCGGCTCCTTTGACAGGAGCATTGCTGGTGTCATCACTGCTCACATGCTACGGGAGGCCCAGAACATCCTTCACCAATGCCAATGCGCCTAAAAGCTGATTGTCGTGATACTTACGGGCATTCAACTGCAGGGTGATGGGCGCGCCTTCGAAATTGCCCTTGTCCCAAAGCTGCTTGACGTGTTTACAATCGTCGCTCAGAGGCGTGTAGTCAGCGGCGTACTTTTCACCGACCTCGGCTTTGATGGGGGTCGGGAACACTACGCCGGGGTAATCAACGAAGTTCCAGAGGGAAGTGTAGGTCCAGTAGAAAGCGCTTTCGTGAGCGCATGCGGGCCCGACGAAACACGGGCCGATAACCACATCGACATCCTGGGCGTTCCAGTTCTCAAGGAATGCGCAGCGGAACTTGTCACGTTCCTGGCGCATTTGAGCGACGGCCGTGGCAGTCTGCATTCCGCCGGGCTCGGCGTCCTTCCAGGTCTAAGCGCTGAGCGGGAGGATGGGCTCTCCCGTGGACGTGATGGCCTTGATGGGACCCTGGGCGCCGTCTGGCCAGTACATGCGGCGAATCTTGGACCAGGCTTCCTGGGCGCCATAGGGCGTGAAGTCCTTGACTTCCAAAACGTCGGCGTACTTGGGATCTGAGAGAAGACTTTTCGCCCAGGCTACGGCTCGCTTGACAGGTGGTTGCGGGTCAATGTAGTTGTCGTGGGCGATGACGCCAATCTTCAGACGCTTCGGGACGGGGGTTTTCAGACCGGTCCAAGGGATGGGAATGATTCGGGGATCTTCGAGGTAGAATTTGACCCCGAGAATGGTGCTGGTGAAGAGCTCCATGTCTCGCATGGTGCGGCACATGAGCCCCGTCGAACAGAGCACGTTGAGTTCGGCCGGGAAAACTCCCAGGAAGTCTTTCATGGGTAGAACGTACGAGGTGGGTTTGAAGCCGTAGATGCCGCAGAAGGCCGAGGGTCCGCGGACGCTACCGCGAATGTCGGTGCCGACGCCCATGACCGATCCCTTCATAGCTATGAGCGCTGCTTCGCCGCCAGTCGAGCCGCCGGCGGAGAGGTAGATGTTGAATGGATTAAGGACCCGGCCCCACCACGCATCGCTCTCGAGGTGCATGATGCCCTGGGGCTGCATGGTCTTGCACTAAAACACGGCCCCGGCCGCGCGTAGGATTTTGACCATCTGGCTGTCTTTCTCGTCCTTGACGATGCTGCTGAAATAGCCCTGGGACGAATAAGTACCGGCGATAGGCATGTGTTCTTTAATGCTGATGGGGACGCCGTGCAGGGGTCCAATGGTCTCGCCATTGCTGATGAGGTACTCGTCGAGTTGCTTTGCCTGTTTAATGGCCCTTTCCATGAAGAATTCGGTCAGGCAGCAGGTGAGCTGGTGTGCGATAGCGGCTCGCTTGGAGAAGGCCTTTGCAACCGCCACGGCGGTGTATTCACGAGCGGCGATTGCTTCGGCCAGGCCAGCAGCGTCATAGTTTTCGGTAATTTCGAGTTCCTCGGGAGTCAAGATGCCACATGTGCGAGGAAGCTCTGAGACATCTGTTGGGGGGTTGTCGGTGATCTCTTGTGGCAGGTAGAGCTCGTCCGGGATAGACTCCGCAAGGACTTGAAGCTTTGCAGCTTTCTTCTCCTCGAACTCAGGAGTGCCTTAAGCACAGCCTTGGGCTGGATGACGGTTAGCGGTCGGGCAACCATTCTCGAGAGTCAAGCTTGAGGATGTGACTTGTGCATGAATGTGTGAGATTATGCAGGGTGGAAGGCGGGCGTGGTGCTTTCTTATAGAGAGCAACGGTACTTCAGCCGCCCACAGCAGTCACAGCTGCGGTCTTGGATGTCCTCGGCCATGGAGTCCATGCCGCAGAAGCCATCTAGCCGTCCTTGCGTCCTGAGCAATACGGGCTTGAACTAATATCAAGAGCATTACCGTCAGGAAGCCTACACAGACCCGCTACCGTCCCGCTGTTATCGCCACTGGCAGCCGGGGTGAGATAAGTTGTCCTCGCGGCCAGGAGCACACTCGCTATCACCTGTGGTCGAAAGATTTGTTCACTGGCAGGCCCGGAGAACCACGTCAGGTGAGGATACGAGATGATAAGCAACGGCAATCGATGGTTGTGCTATGGGATGTCGGAAGGAGGTTCGCCTACCCAATCAGGTCTTTTACCGCTTCTTATGAGCTAGGCTGAATCAGGCTAGCATACTATTGTCCAGGAGATCCCGCTATCAAGTTGCTAGAGTTGACACTCCTCCTCCATTGTATCGAATCTCCTGAACCTGGGGGGATTTCATGTCGACAGTCTCTCCGGAGGCCGGGAGAATAAGGTATGATACCTCCAGAGTGGACAATGCACACCGTGGCAAACTGCTTTTCTTGTCGTCTAGCTCAGACCAATCAGGCGTTTTCCCGCGTATCTCTCGGCGTGGTCGAGTCCAGCTTCTTGGCTGTGTCGTTGTATGTCTCTATGCCATGTGTCAAATGCTCCCGGCATCTTCTATCAGGCTACGTGGCCACCAAGAGGCTGAGTGCCTCGACTTTATCTCTCGACCCAAGTTTTGAACATTATGTGTGGGTAAGCCGCCCCTTTGTCACGCAAACATTCAAGTCCCGAGCGACGCGGGCTTTTTGACTAAGACTGGGCGAGCGGGATAGTCCTCGTGGCCCAGCAGCTACCATACTTGGTGCACACCGCCGGAGCTATAAGTACCTCGATCTTTTCTCTTGAAGTCACCTTCTCTTCTTCCAGGTATTAACACATTCAGCCCGACTTGTCCTTTATTACAACGGACTTTCTTCGAAGTCATGGCTGCAGCAGTCGACAATCCGGAAACCGTGTCGGGCCTTAAGGTTCCTGGCACGGTACATCTAGTTGATATGGAACACACTATGCATGCCCTTCATGCCAAAGGCGGTGATATTGTGCTTCATCCTGCGCCCTCCAAAGATCCCAACGACCCTCTCAACTGGTCATCTCGGAGGAAGCTGATGGCAATGATCTGTTCGAACCTGTAAGTTGTTTCGAGGTCAACAGCCTATGGTATCGCTTATTTTCACGCTAGATACACATGGTTCACTGGAGTCGCCGTGTCGACTGTGTACTCTGTCCTCGTCCCTCTGTCCGAAAGCAGCGGTGTGTCTGTCTCTACACTCAACGAGGGTACTGGATACATGTTTCTTTTCCTCGGATGGGGGCTGCTCTTCTGGCAACCTCTCGCGCTGAAGTACGGCAAACGTCTAACATATCTCGTCTCTGTCCTGGGTGCCATTGTAAGTGTCATGTCCCCCCCATGAGAGCAAGAAGGAGCTAACCATCATTTCAGGGCACAAGCGTGTGGGGGTAAGCATCCCTTGACAGCCTAATACCACTCGAGCACCTGACGTTCTGACCAATATACTAGCGCCTATGTCAAGAGCAATGGGGAGTGGATTGCGAAGTGCATTCTGCAGGGGTTCTTCATAGCTCCCATTGAGGCGCTTCCTGAGATTTCCGTCACTGACGTTGTAAGTGATGTCTTGCACATGAAGAACTCCAAAGGTTGGCAACATTAACCTTCTTGTCTGCAGTATTTCACTCATCAACGCGGCACTCATATGGGCGTCTACGCCTTTACCCTTGCCGGTAGCAATTACTTCACCCCTGTGATTTGCGGCTTCATTGCCGAGTACCAGGGCTGGCGATGGGTCTTTTACTGGCCGGCCATCTTCCTTGCCTTTGTGTTCGTCTTCCTGTTCTTTTTCATGGAGGAGACGAATTATACACGCCAGAAGATTGAAATGGCGGCAGCCATCGACTCGCCACCTCAAGAGCCGACGATGAAGGTGGACCCAGAGAAGAACCCCACCGAGTCCAACACCACGGTCGCCCAGCCCTTGTCGACTGAGCAGGGTGAGATCAACGCTCCTCCCAAGACATTTGTTCAAAAGTTGTCACTATGGCAGCCAAACCCAGGTCAAAACATGCTATGGCGGGCGGTTCGGAGTTTGAAGTACCTTGGCTGGCCCGTCATCTTCTTTGCCGGGTTTTCGTACGGGTCGTACTTGATATGGTTCAACGTCCTCAATGCCACAGCCTCCATCATCCTCGGGGGACCGCCATACAACTTTAGTTCCTCCATGGTCGGTCTCAGCTATCTGTCTTGCACTATCGGGGTCATAGTCGGATCGCTCGTGTCGGGCAACCTGAGTGACTGGTTGACCATCAAGCTTGCCCGCCGCAACAACGGCATCATGGAGGCTGAGCAACGCTTGTGGCCCTTTGTAATCTGTTTGGTTATCTTGCCGGGCTCCTTGATCCTTTGGGGAGTAGGAGCTGCTCAAGAAATCCATTGGTTCGGCCTCGTCTTCGCCATGGGCGTCACCGCGTGCACCACCACCTTTGGAATCACTCTTTCTGTCAATTACCTTATCGACAGCTATCACGACATCAGCGGTGACGCGATTGTGACTGTGATTCTCGTCCGGAACACAATGTCGTTCGCCATCAGCTACGGGTAAGAAACTGCCAACCCATGACTCTCCTTGACGGTCTCTAACGATGATATAGGATCACCCCATGGTTGACCGATATGGGCTATCAGAACTGCTTCATTTCGGCAGCGTTCATCGGCATGGTGGCTTCTTCTGCGTTCCTCATCATGATCAAATATGGCAAGGGCTTCCGTGAACGAAGCGCCGCGAGGTACTGGAGCCTGGCCAATGCAGAGTAAGCGCAGGTCAAGAAAGCGCAGAAATAGCTGAGCAGGCCAGCGGGATGTCGGATCCTCTGCTGCTGGAACGGATATTTGTTCAAAGTCCGGGGTGGATAGATCCAGAACGTTCTCCGATGTTGGATGATATCAGTCAGCTTCTGGGTGATATTCACACAGTACAATTTCAGCTTCGGAATGCCAGTAGGCATGTATATACAGCGAGGCTTAGGATCTTGAGCATTCAAGTACCTGCTAGGTAGTCAGGCGGTACCTCTGGCCTAAGGTGCCTACCTAGATAGATGTACCAGGTGCCCTTAGCCCCTTAACCTGCTATAGAGTACAGCTGAGGGTAGATTCGCAACGTTAGCGCCAAGTCTCTCGGGCCCACCATGCCACTACCCAGCCTCGCCAGGTAGTAGATAACCCGTATTCCATACTCCGCACCTTATCTCTAATGGTGTTATCTCGGATATATGGTGTAGGTACCTACCTTTTGCATCTCCGCCCTTCTTTCTCCTCCCCGGTTCTTCTCCGACAGCTCCATGTTCAATCGCCTCACTTGGCGGGAACGCCCAAGAGGTCATCGTCCGCCAATTTGGCTTGCAAGGCATGGGCAAAGCTAGTCAGGCTCCCCGGCTACGAACAAAGACCGGGTGCCAGACGTGTAAGTTGCCCCAGCCCCCGCCCCCACGGGATCTTAATCCTCTGTCTAAATCACGGTGTCTACAGGTCGGAACCGGAAAAAAAGTGCGATGAGACACGCCCGGCCTGCCAGAGATGCATAGCCTTCGGCTGCCGTTGCGAATGGCCGACGTCCGAGGACCTGGTCGATCGTCGTCATACACCTGTTCGTCGGCAGAAATCAACCTCTACAGGGCCATCAACAAATAGGACACCCACCCATGGCGACGGAACGGGCATACTCATGAGTGGCGGTGACAGCTCCGCCTTCTGGATGGACCCGACCATTTGTCTGTTGTCGGCATTAGCAGCGCACCAGATCGTCAGCCGAGATCTGAAGCCCGTCATCTCGCGTCATTTCATCGATACATACTACGGTCTGCTCATCTTACCAAATTGTCATCCGGAGTATTACTGGGGATGGATCACGGAGATCTAGGAGCTTATGGTGCAGTACAAGAGCCTTCAGTATTCAGTGCTGGCCAACGCCGCGTCCCACATCCACTTTATCGACGACTCTTCGCAAATGCAAGAGCTCGCCCTGACATACTACTCACATGCTCTCCGAGGCTTGTCTGAGCTTCTGCCAAAAACCTCGCAACTTGAGAACCACAACGGTGTCTTGATGTCGGTGATGCTACTATATCTTCACGGGGTATGCGTTTTTCACACTGGCCCTTCGCTATAGTCGCGGGTTACTTGTCCGCTAATGCAACACAGTGCATGGGCCGAGGCACTTACACAGACATCCCACGACATGTAAACGCTGCCATACGCATCCTCACGCTCCGACTCCTCAGACGTCCGCAAAGCATCAGCCGACCATTCGACCGATTGGCTGTAGAGAGCGTACTGTACCAGATATTCCTCGTTACCACGGGTTCGTGGTCCGACCCGATTGAGCTCGACTACAGTTTCGATGTCGACTTCTGGTTGCAAGCCGAGAAACTACTGGCGAATTCGACGTTATTCCCTGATCGCTCCATGAGCTTCAACAGTCCAGTGCTCGGGATTCCTTTCACCCTGTTCAGGCTCACATTGGAGACAAAGCACCTGTATCAAACCCCGTCGCCCCCGGATCCACGCATCCGGGCGCGCTTCATGAGTAAATTGGAAAACTGGGAAGGAATAGTGCTGAGCGACCAGGACCTAGACTGCTTGGGACCCAACGAAAAGCCGAACTGCGCTTACCAGATATATAAGGATGCCGCATATTTGTACATTCTGAACACCTCCATGTTGGTCCAACAGTTGTGCGGGGCCGAATCGATCAGGGGTCCGCCTCGAGCGCATCCGAGTGAAAGTTGGCAGGTCAATAAAGCCAGTCAAATTCTGCGAGACCACCAAAATGACGAGGCGTGGGCCAGATGCTTTATCGGCAATTGGCCTGTCTATACACTGGGCTTCTTCATGAGTACGCCCGAGGACATCGCTCTCGTTCGGAACGATCTACAGAGGAGATGGGACCTGATGAAGTTCAGTCAGGTCTTCCGCTTCCGCCGTGACCTGGAAGTGACATGGGCAAAACGAGGATATCCGACATGAATTTGGAGGGCTAAGCCTACAAATGCCTTTGGTCGGGGCGTCAGATGAATATTTCAGCGAGATTGACGGATCCAGGTTCATCACAATAGAACCCCTTCTCACAACCACCACACCTCCTTCAATACTCTCGTAGAAATGAGTGCGGTGTTTGAAGCGAAGAATCCTGTCAAGGAGCGGTTGAAGAATCAGATCATCAGTCTGGACGAGGCAGGAATTATCATCACCGCGGAGGCAGATGTTGGATGAGGAAGAGATGTGGTCACTGCGATTGACTGCATGGTAAACAGAGCTTGATATCATGCTAGGGTGCCTGTTCTATGACAAGCAAGATCCCGGATGATACTTTCAGGTATACGAGTCTCTGTAGGATGGTCTCCCTATATTATTTATCACTAAATCTAATCAGAGACAGAGTATGACGATTTATCTTGGTCGTACCTGGCTGAAGCATTGGGTTGGCAGCGCCATCCCTATACTAGTTTCAAGGGTCTAGTCAAGCCATCACCATAGGTATACCTAAGGTAGCCTCGCTCGATACCTGGTAGGTTGATTGATTGATTGATTGATTGATTGATTATTTCGTATACCAAATAGAAGCTAACCCTATATGGATTACTACAGCCTATTCTAGGCGTATCCTATACAGTTCTTAACCCCGTATCTATTTGTAATAGTCTAACCCCTTTATTACGAGTACCCCTAGGAATACCCCCTAGGGGGCTAGGGTGGCTATCCTAAGTATCTAACATAATTAACAGAAGGGTCGCGGAAGGGCCCGTTATGAAGGCCATCCCTTTTCGTATCAACATTGCCCAGGTCTGATAGAGACAATTGGCCATCATCACTTTTATGAAGCAATGAAGGTCAATCCCGAACTATCTTCCTTAGAGCAATCTCCTGACTGATAGGCAGAACATTTCACACTGTACTGTGCTGTATTGTTCCTAGCCGCCAGTACTGTTGTGAAACCCCAATTAGACGCCCTTGATTCCGTGAGCTTGGCGGTCCTCCGGTCCAGCACCTTCCTACACTACTGGGCAGCACACGGTTCTCTGCAGTTCAGAATATCTTCTTGATTAGAGTGACGATTGCTGCCTTCCTTATGTATAGCACCAACCAGTTTGCACTGCATGTCCATAAAACTGGCCTGTAAGATCGCGATGAGACAATGCTAAGGCACCACTGAAGCTCGGGAGTCGCCTGGGAGAGACGTGTGTAGTATTGTATTTTTCCATCTGGATGTTTGGAAAGAATTGTGTGCAGCCCGAATCAAGCATGGAAAGTACTACTTATGAGGTTGGATCTGACTTAGCATGTTCGTGCACCTCCGGCAACATTCCCTGTATACCAGAACATGTACAGTACCAAACACCATTTAATGGAAGTAATCAGACCCACAGACACAAAGATCCCCAGCAATGCTAACCTTAGTCGATACTAATGCTTCCCATCTCCCCGGATTTCTTAGTGCCTTCACCGACGCCTGTTGCCATTGGACCGATACATAAAGACGTCGAGACGATTGCAATAGAAAGCCTGCCGTCCATCTTTCTCGCAAGTAGTCCATTGCGAATCTGCCACGAAGATAGACTTAGGTACCTTTGTACTCGACGCACCATCCCCACTCGTCTTTATACCGCATCCGCTCTGAAGTAACTTCAACCATGGGTCGTATTTGACGACCTTGTCCCGAGCTGTGCACGCTTTGAGATTGCCTGGAGATGTCTGAAGGCCTGTTCATTGAAGATCTGTCCGTTCCATTCCGTGCGTGGGTACTTGGATTCGATATGGTTCCCTCCACAGAAGGCCGTCCGTCCACTGCGTCTGGACGTCGACATGGTGTTCTGTGGCGGTGCCAAGGGTGGTCTGCCAACAGCCATAGGAGCTCCGGAGGCAGCGCGACCATCTCGTCCAGTTGCAGAACCGTAGCTCATGGACGACGCTGCACTTGGTCTCAGGCGCTTGATCGGGGTCACTTCGTCGCGAGCCAGCTCGTCTTCAGAGGTTTCCGACCCGGTCACAACGGCCGTTGACTGGGACGTGCGGCTGGTCGTCAAGCTTGTGTTGGGGCTGGACGCAGGCATCTGGCGAGCCCACCTGGTTAGCATGGGCAATAGAGCTGTCACGTCCTGTCTTTGCTAGGTCTCGATCATTGCGGTAGGCCGTTGCGCCTCTCACGAATGTGTCTCTGTCGCTCGTTGTTGTAAATGCTTTTGTCTGAGTCATATGATACTCGGGATTCCCTCCAGGAGTGAGAGGCGCAGTGAGATAGTGTGTATAGGTCTGAAGGGTGCCGGTGCCTGCGTGGTAGGTAGCGGAAAAGCTACGTGCTTTGTTTTCATACTAGTACTAAGTAGTAGGGCATGCCGTCGTACCGTTCTCTGCGCCATACCACTTGCGCAATTCGATTGCCAATGCATCTTGGTACATCTTCCAAGCATATCCGACACGGACGGGTCGGGTCGCCACGCCGATATCCTTTGTGTTTCCGCAAGTTGGCATAGGGAGTACTACAACTGCTGGTGGGAAACATCCATCTTGAACGTGGTTCCCGAATCATGCTGGTGAACGAGAGAGTTTTGCAGATACTGCTCCAGAGGTAACCTTAGGCTTGATGTGATTGCAGAAGTCGACACATTCGCGGTCTTTCAATACGCAATGGGAGAGCGATGATTGGGTTCGATTTCCATCTGAGGTGCCTGGTTGACCATTTTACCTCTTCCACTGCCTAATTATGGCGAGACTTAGGTAGAAAACAAAAACAAGTATTTACCTTTTTCAATACGGACCAGTCCGAGCGGGACGGCGCAAAACAAGCTGTACTGGGGCCTATATGGCGATGAATCCCTGTAAGTACGGCGTCTCTGATGCGTGGGATCTCTTACTTGCCCAGGCCTCCTCTACGTTATTACTAAGTGCTAACTACTTACTAAGTAGTAGTAGGTACTAGTACTATGTATACTAAATTAATAAACAGTAACTAATATCGAAAACCTCTCGAAACCGGATTGAAGCTATATCGAAACCGTATCAAAACTGTCTCGAAACTGTCTTGAAACATTTTCGAAGCCGTTTCGAAACTATATTAGTAAGTACTAGGGATTACCTACCTATTGAAGCTAATTCTTACTATATATATTTCATATTATAGGTACCTAAGCTGTTTTACTTATATAGGTATACTAGAGCTCTAGTCTAAGAAATGGTACTAGTACCTAGTAATAGTAGCTAGTAATAGTAATAGAAACTACTAGGTAATACTTCTCATCTAGAGCAAATTTCAGACTAGATTAAAACTAGATTAGGCTATAGAGAGTCTTATTTTATATTATATATCTAGAGACCTGTTAATAGGTAGTACTAGCCTTAAGAACTTCTTATACTTTAAATTTACTTCTAAGCGTAACTAGGTACCTAATATAGACTCAAGAGAAGTAGATTTAAAGCTTCTAGCTATAGATTCTAAGTTTTAGTTTTTTTAATCTAGTTTTTTTAATCTAGTTTTTTTAATCTAGTTTTTTTAATCTAGTTTTTTTAATCTAGTTTTTTTAATCTAGTTTTTTTA